CTCTCGTGTGAAGAGGGCATCTAGTTTTCCTCTGATACACGACCGATCATCTGCTTATCTCTACTGGACATTCTCGAGCTTGTATTACACTCATATTCATACATGTCTTCTCCGACAGCGGCGCTTCCTCTCTTCATTATTCGCAGGCAGGATTCAAGAAATCCAAGGCAGCTGTTTGTAGTGTTAGCACTTTGCTCTTATGTTCGCAGGATCCAACACAACATACCCAGATTCTCCCCCATATTACACATGGCCGCTGTACACGATGTTACAGCATCAAAAAATGGTCCACATAAACAATCGTCGTCTGCATTCGGGTCGCAACCTGCCACTACCGCGGCTTCGTTCCAGCAGTTCATCTGTGAGGGTATCATCAGCGCATATTCTTTCATATATTAATCAAGATTCAGTAGACAACTTACCGGACAGGCTCCAACCCCGGCGACTCCAGCCCCTACTCCCATAGGTCCTCCAGGACCTGGAGGACCCTGTCTACGTGACAAAGGCGTAGACGGCGATGTGATGGGTGACGCAACAGCAACAGTCGCTACAAAAGCACTAACAACAGCAATAGTGATGCGCATATTTACGAGCAGGGATTCAGGTAGTAACGATCGTGGGGCCTTTTTCAAGCGAAAAGAGCGTGAATGTTTAGTGGTTTTCTTGGGTTCGATTCGTATTGATTGAGCAATGCGATGGTCATACAACTTCAAGCGATCCAACTATGCGCGTTCCTTATATGAAATCGGCAGAGTAGGCTGTGTAGTAATTAGGTGGGTGGTCCAAGGTGGTGTTGTCAATGCGGGCTTGTTTCGCATTTCTGCCGCACCATCGGTTACAAGATGGTGTTGAAACGGCACCCACGTACTGGACTCTTGCTTGCTACGATTAACAACGATTGGAGAGATACGGAACTCGGAATCATTTGCTCAGTATGGTGCGGATGTCGAAGCGCGCGGTTTTGTCGTTCGTCTCGAACGAACATGTTGCGATAGCTATACGTTGGACTCGTGAACGGCAACTTGCATCGTCGCGCCAATCGTCGTTATGTTACAAATTCACTTTTTACGTCAGCTGATGTTGGCAGGACGAGGATCGCTATACTCACAGCAAAGGAAATGTATGTGAGCCTAGGCGCCTTCCAAGATATGCCGTAGAGTTCCAGATCTTGTTTCTACACCTTAAATCCGCTCAGCCACACGCCGGCCTTGCAGCCTGCTTACCACAAGGCATCCGACTCTTGTTTCAGTTATATACGTTCATGCCTCGTTGGTCCTCAGTCCAAACATCAGGCTCCGCCTTACTGCCTCAGAACAATGCATACTCCAAACATGTGTTCATTTAGCAGGTGGCTTTGTGTCACCTGTACGTAGATGGAGGTCCATGACACAGTAGTCTAGGAGGAAGCCCCCAAAGTGGTAATTGCTCAATGGACGAATGCGACTATGTAGCCTGAACCTACTACTCTGTGCTTTATGGTCTTACGACGTTGATCATACTTGAGAATTGCCTGCGCAGCGCTCGAATGCTTCGCATGACGACTTTGGATGCGACAAGTTAGCCAGCCTGCTATGTGTGTGCAACACCATACGAATACTATATAGGCCCCATACCAAATGAAGGTAGGAATCCGTGAGGCAGTTTCAGTTTCCTAAGACGTCGTCGCATGGCGTCGTGGTCTAGCTGCTTTGTCGGTCGACGGAAGGATTCCATCTTCTACACAGGTCTTGCGATGCATTAAGTACTTCCACAGCCCAAGGCCCGGTGACACCACAAAAGGGGTTCGATGCGTTTCTCAAGGGCACAGTTGCGCCGGCTTGCGGCATTCAAAACAAGATATCAAGGGAGACATCAGGCTCATCTTAAAATATGCATACATCCAGTTGTCCTACTCTGTAGTTCAGCCTCACCGTCTCTCCTTATTCGCAGCCACCTTTTGCAACGGCACCTTCGATCCATTCACTCACTTGTTTCCTCTTCTCATCAAGAACAAGCGGAAAGTGGTCGCAAACAACCCTGGTAACATCTACCTTCCTTCCCTCTCTCTCCGTACCAACCCAGCTTCCTTCTATAACATCGATGGCAGTCTGCTGCACCTCCGGCAGAATGATAAGATCCTCGGCAGCGAAGAGCCAAGACACTGGAATGTCTTTATAGCCAGGGTGGGTTATTGCGTCCCCGAAACAAGCACTGTAATGTTTCCCAAATTTGGCAACGTACGAGAGACCTTCTTCTAGCGTGAGATTGTTGAAGCATATGGCCGCTACAGCCGCAGGGTCTGGCTGTGACATCCACCCATTCTACAAAAAGCATGTCAGTCTCGCTGCAATATCCACGACAATAGAAGAATCGTATTGACTCACCTCGTCTACATCGACAGGAGCGCCTTTGCCGCCTACGAGTGTCTGACCAACGCTTTCACCGAGACGTGGTACTGCGGCTGTAAGGTACGCGATACGTACTACCCCTCCAGCTTTTCCTTGCTGCTCTCGCTCTTTCTTTGTCACATTTTTTAGGCTCTCCGTGGCTGCACAGCCTAGATTGGTTACTTGTCAGCAACGCATCCGTCTAAAGACAGCGATACGGAAGGTTTTGAACTTACCACCGTAGCTATGAGCGATTACGACGACTTCATTTCCGTCGTTCGCCAGTTTCATCACAAAATCATTGATATATTTTGCGTCGTCGTACATACTTGGATGGCCAGTACCGGAGCTGGCGTGGTAGCCGGCAGGGTAGCATGGTGGCTCAAGAATATGAATATCGTACCCCCTGGCACGGAGTGGTGTTATGAGAGGATCGTACATGCTAGCCGGGCAGAAAGAGCCCGGGATAAGGACAACGCTGGGATGGGAGGACATATTTTATAGCTCCAAGAATGTGAAGGTTGACCAAAAAGAAATCGATACGATATTCAGGGACTGGTGTGTGGTAGGTACGGCGTTGTGTATTATTGAAAGTTTGTCTTGGTCTGGCGCTGATGGACACATTTCGATTTCGACGGCCGATCCTTTATATACGCCCATTATACTGGGTGTCATCCATATTACTCAGGCCCCCAATCACCGTCCGTCTTACGATACGTTGACTGCATGGTGAAAAGGCGAGTACCGGAAGCTGCGCACTAGCCAGGACCCAATCTTTTACGACCAGTTCATAAACCTCACAAAGTCCAATAACCATACTTGCGGGGACAGTTGTGGATGGAAGATGACCAAGAATACAACGAAAAAGACGAGCGGGCTATGCATTCTGACATTCTGACATGTTGGGTGTCAGAAACTAGTCCCGGATAGAGAGCGCTTGTGCAACTACCGCTAGCCACTCTGCACGGCGACGATCAGAACGGTTTAGTAATGAACATCAGACGTCCATGTAAGTACGCCCAGTTGCTGAGTCAAAGTTCTTGGACGACTTAGAGCGGATGGCATGAACATCAATCGGTAGCGGTATGATAAAACCAGATAAAGCTCTTGGATATGAAAAGGAGGGTGAAGAAGGGATCAGACTATTTCGTTCCAGTTCATTCCAACGAGGACTTCAGAGCATAAGGTGGGCGTGGAAGTGAATTGGTAGGCAATATCAATTAAATTAAGAAATTAAGCCAACAAGAAGAAAGCTCAGGATATATATATTGCTAAAGCCGATATCTGCAGTTTCCCTCCATCGAACTACCGGCGACACTTAGGTCAATCACTCTAAGCATTAATGTTGCCAGAGTCCTTGGTGGTAAGGTCGTAAGAAGCAGCGCAGATGACCGAGTACTCATCTTGACCGTAGTAGTAGCCAGTGTTGACAGCGTAGCTTGCATCCCAGTGCTGAGTGTAGAGAGCGCAGTAAGTACCAAGAGGAACGCCGTTCTTGGTCAAGATGTAAGAGGTGAAGAAGTTGCAAGGCTTGTAATCGCCGTTGGCGTCGGCGAGGTGCTCCTTGTCGAACTTGGTCTGCGACTCGCAAGCGGCAGCGCAGAGGCTAGGGTCGTAAGGGTTGGTGTTGAAGAGACGCATGCCATTGTAGGTGTCATAGTCCTGGCCGTTCTTCTTGATGTAGGGAGCGTTGATGGCAGCGGGAAGATTGGCGGGAGCATTGAAGTCATCGACAGCGGGGGCGCCCTTGCATTCGCCCTTGCCAGCCTTTGAGTATCCTTGGCTGATATTAGCAAAAGATATGTGAATAGAAGGAAGAAAGCTTACCGTTGCTGCCAGTGATGACAACGTGGAAGTCACCACGGTACTGGCCCTGGTTGGTAGCCGACGCCTTGGCGACGGGGTATCCGTAGATGGAGCACTTGATGTTGGTCGTTGGGAGCGGGTTCTGGTCGCATCCGACGGCAGGGTCTGTGGTAGGGTCGCGCTCAAAGAAGATGTTGAAGCCAAGGCAGAACTTCTCGCTGTCGCAGAAGTCGGCGCACTTCTTAGGGTCGTACTCGTCCAGAGTCTTGTAGGTCAGGTAGCCAATCTGTTCAGTGGAACCGGTTTGATCATTGAAAGACTCGACGTATCCTTTTGGGACCTCTGCTCCCTTGGCCTTCGTCCTGAGCTCGCCTTGAGGGTCAAGGTAAGCGTCCACGGAGCCATCACCAGGCACGGTACCAGCACTATTCCGATTGTTAGCCACTTGGTTGAAGTGAAGGTGTTCTGAATACAAACTTACCCTACAGGCTGGACCTGGCAGGAGTCACGCTTCTTGACCACAACACCTCCAGTCTCGACGGCAGCAGCAGCAGACTTGGTGGCAGCATCCTGGTTGTAGGAGACGGGAAGCTCAGCTGTCTCTGTGGCCTGGGGCCCGAGAACAGTGGGAGTGGGGACGGCCAAAGCAGCCTCGATGTTGATCATCTGGGGAAGGGCAGCAGCCATGCCGCTAAGGGCGGAAGCAGCGAGAAGAACGTTACGCATTTTGAATGTTGCTTGGTGGAGATGGTGACTGTGGAGAGAAGTGTTGTCGAGATGCCAGTGAAGCTTGCTGAGTGCTGCTGTGGATGAAGATCATTAATTGACGAGAACAGACGTCTTACTTATACATCGTCAGGACATCATCATGGAATACATGGGGCATGATTTAGCCGAGCCCTGTATTGCTAGCTGCAAGCCGCAGTTGTTGCTAAAGCCGCTCGATAGCGCTTGGCGGCACGTATCCAGCTGGCCATGTTGGTCGTGAAGTCACACAACTTGACCAAATCGGGCCCAAAATGGCGAGTGTGTCGAGCTTGATGGACCAGAATGGAGCTTTGGAACAACGATGCAAGTTCCAGCTGTACTCCGTTGGCTTGTGGCTTGCAGACTCGTTGTGCCCGAAAGGTATCGTATCGCGATGGGCATGGGTTGGAGCAAGGGATGGCATTGAGGAATGATACGATCGCAAGCCACAAGTGTGGTGAAGCGCTGCACAGATCGCGTCCACCGAAAGGTCCAGGAGGAGTGCCGGGGACATAAACAACCCAAAATAGTGACGGGAGAGCGACTGAGGCTAAAGCTTAACGCACGAACGGGCCCCTTGTCAGTTGCCCACGCTGATCTCCTTTAGCGAAGTCAGGATGGGACGGGAGATAGGTCAAGCCAATTTCCACAAACGTGCTGGTATTCAGGCACCGTTCCCGCACCACCAACACCAATTCGACCAGAGTGGACAAGCGTGCCCCACTTCTGATAGCGCTAGCACGCTGGCTTCTGCGATTTCGAGAAATCCTCAACAACACCCTTACATGGCAACAGCCTTATCTTGCCAATGAGTCGTAATTCATCGTTGTTTCATCGAATCATGTTTGGACGTTGACGACTGCTAACGTGAAGTAGGGTGAAGTACCTGCCAAACTTCCTGTAACCACGCTACGACGCAGCTATATTCAGTGCCCTGACATCGCCCCGGTAGGCGGTCGACACCTGCTGCCTTTTTGGTAAAGCGTCGAACCCAAAAGCGGCCGGTGAGCCCACGTCACGAGGCTGGCGTCAAGGTGTCAATATTGGTCTACGGTACTTATCCCAGTTAGCGCACAGAGACCACAGCCTTTTGCAAGGCCAGACGCTATCTTCCTCGTCATCCGCCCTACCGGTTTGGGATCGTCGATAGGATCCGGTACCGATACTGTGTTCTCACATGGCTACCGGTTCCGCTCATACCAACTGGCTCGCGTTTTCTGGGAACCATGGAAACATCAGAGCTTAGCTGCCAACCTTGCAGTCGGAAATTTTAGGCACCCCACAGTATTCCAAACAATGCCATTACCCTGAAGATATCCGTTCGGTACCTTGAGTTGAGTCAGATAAAGTCCTCGCCCGGCGGTCTGCTGGATAGCTCTTGGCGCACTTCACTCCGCGGATCTAGACGCTGCGCCCACGACGAAAAACGTCCGACCAGACTTGGAGTCTGCCACGATGGCTGTCTCTAGAGGCGGGCTGAGATGCGGGGCTACTCCACAACTGTACAACAACGGGGATGAAGTCCACGGTGAAGCCGATGGTGATTGTCATGCATGCACGACTAAACATGTCACTTGCATAATGCTAGTCTTCGCGAAGGTTCGGAAGCGAGCAAATCTCCACGTGTGACTGCCGAGTGCTGGAATGGACCATGCCTGTAAGGCTGGTCTCAAACAATGGACTCACAGTGATACATAGCAGTGAAGAAAGAGCACTGTTCACGATGCCTAGAGAACGTTCAACCGGAAGGTACGGCGCGTTGTACGCTGACTCGACGCACCGTACCATGGTACACATTGTCTAGAGAAAACTCTGTATGGGATGCGAAGCCCTACGCACGATGCTTGGGCATCAGGGTCCTACTTCTTCCCCACCTTTGTTGTTCTGGTACCTTGAGGCTGGTACTAGATGATCGTGTTCACGCCAAGTGGACCTCCAAGAATCACGCAGCCTTACTAGAACTCAGCCTTCTACTCAATCATGCCCAATCAGAGGCTATTCAGCGAGAGAATTCAAGTGTCTGCACCGGTGAGCATGGATCCAGAGGATGCACTGCGGTGCTGCATATGTTTTGACGCTTACTGCACGTCTACCAGAGACGACGGTGCCGAAGTCCCGATTCAGCTGCCATATGGACATGTGTTTGGTGGCACTTGCATTACGAGGTGGATGCAAACCAAAACAACTTGCCCACTTTGTAGATTTGGGTTGTTTGACGTTGAGTTTGACCACAACAATGAATACGGCTTGTGGATAGGCGAGCACGAGCATGACTCAGCCATTCAGCCTTCCGGAGCCTTTTCGGGACACACTTCCACATATTCGTTTGCTTTTGACTTTCCAGGGGAGCGAATCACAATGAGTGAGCTAAGCTATTCTGCGGCTCGCAGCAGCACAGCCGCACACCGCTCCTTCGACGCCCGTTCCGGCAGCACTCTCTCAGCTACCCCACAATACGCCACGCAGCCTTGTCACTCCCACGCCCAGATGGGTCGCCGCTATGGCCGTAGGAAGACCTCGACATCCCATCTCGAGAGCGAAGATGTCTGGATCACAGCGCTAGGTCAGAAGAGAAATGATGTGGCTGCAGTCGGGGTAGACGACAGCTGGACCACGGCGCCCGGCGATGATATGGACAAGGCCGATGAGCCAGAGTTACATTGGCAGCTTTACTTACGCGAGGCGACAGCACTAAGTCTTCTGGATTCTCTGTTCGATGACTTGGTTGCTGGACATATGCAGTGGATGGCGGAGCTGAACCAGGCACTATACGACTCATACGACGTGTTCGATTTTCTTGTTTGATATCGATACTCAAGCGCAACATTTGAGTGCTACAGGTCCGTCTGAGAAGGGGTTGTGTCTTCTCAATCTAGTCCTATGGACCATGTCTCCCTCTATACGGGTTGAGGTTCAGCATGTGTTACTTTCATTCAACCATCCCAAAGTTCCAGTGAGGCTTTCATAATTTGCGTCACGTAGTTTACACACGTCTCAAATCATCGCGCATTCTCTTGAGCGTTATCACAGTCTGCTTATGCGAATGTCGGCATTCCTATCAAACTCGATGAAAAGGCCAAGTTAGCCTCACCAGCAGAGCTTCGAATCAAACGCCTTCGTATCCCATACAAACTCTGCATTGTCACTCTCCCAAGACCCAAGGCTTTCCCGAGAAGCTAAAGGACTAATCCTAGGACCCAATTCCGGCTTTCCCGCCCCATCTCGATCATTACTTCCCCAGCGGCTCTCCACACCGGTGGGCTGGTACAGATCCATGGTCTCTGATATGTCAGTGCCCTTCGAAAAAGCTACATATCTTCCAACTGGGCCATGAGATCTATCCACCTCAAAAGATTGTTCAATATGTTCGTCGCATAGTGGCCTCGCGCGCGATCCAGTTGTGGTAGTCAAGCGTGAAACGACCGGCACGCGAGTTCGGCAGTGTGGATTTGAGCACCAGAAGTTGCCTGGGGTTTTCGGAAATGCGCTACGTATGTTGGCCATAGTGTGTATTGTAGAAGTGATGACACTGAGTTGGCGTTGCCTGTTGAGAACCTTGGTGACTGGCGGCACTGTTACCGAGGTTATAGTCTGTGCGTCGTATGCTGCTAATGATAGTTTATCGATACATGTTGGCGCCTGAGCGTGGGGTAAAGTATTGGTGGCTGGGAGGACGGAGTGTGAGAAGTTTCGTGGGAAATGGGATTTCGAGGCGAAGCTTGGCCTGAGAAATGTTGTGCATTCTGTGCATGTACACGATATATTGGGCGGTATTTCTGGTGATGACAATTTGGAGAGCATCTCTATTGTCCAGGCTTTGAGTTTAGTACGTTTTTGCGCTCTTATTACTATATCACAATGTTATCTTTCCCTCCCGTAGTCTTTCCATCTTTAAGGCAACTATCTGTAAGAGACGCAATGTCTCAACACACATGAACGTTCTCTCTTAGAATCTCGACTTCTTTGTTCGTTGCCGTGAAACAAGATATCTGGAGTGCAGGCCTAGACAAAGCCGTACCGAAGGCGTTGGCCAAAATACCATGTTTGGCTCAATTTGTTTAGGGTCTTTTGCGCTTTGTTTATTCGCCTGCATCCCTGTAGCTGCTCTACAGCGTCTTTCAATACAAGACTTGTGTAGTGTCAAAGGATAACGAGATGGACTGTCGTCACACTGCAGCAATCTCATCGGGCGCAATAGAGTGTAGTGCAAATAGAAACATTTCGTAGCGTCCACGTGGCGGGAAAAGCAACAAGAGTCGAGCAATGTTCCGATAAGCTCTGCTGCCTTGCGTAAGAACAGAGCGGCGTTTATGTTGTTTTTTCCTTAGATAGATAGCCGGCATCATTTCCGGCATGCTGCAGGAGTGCCGTGTTTTAGATCAAGTTTGTGGAAAGTGCTGCGCACTTATGCAGACCCTGTTTGGGTTTGGTTCGGGGAAGGCGGCTTGCGTGGGGGCGTTTGCGCTAACTTGTTCATATGAAAAAGGGCTGGTGATGCGCAGCTAAATCAATGTTACACTCTGCCTTTACCTTTTGATTGATTTTGCGAGTACCATATCGCCATGATATTTGCGCGATTCCCGGGATATTTTGTTGATGGTTATTGGGATATGGCTCTATACGGAAGAGATTCCCTCATACTGCATCGATGATCTCTTTCCCCCTACATTCTACTTTTCTTTTCCATTTAACCGAATTCAAGTGTTCCATTTATTGTAGCTCCAATTTTAACAAGACCGTATTGGTATCAGTCTTGATAGGACACATAGCATACACACCATAGGTCAAGCCGCTGCGTGGCGCAAAAATAGTCGTCATTGTAACCAGCAGCTTTGTGGGATGCCCTGTCAAGACAGCGCATCCAGCCTTTGTGTCCATAAGAAACAGAGATATCGAACTGTGCGGGTTGTGAGCTTGTTGATATGGTGAAAGTAATGTGCTCCAGTGATGTGGTTGTAGTAGAGGTAGTTGTAGTAGTGGTGTGCGTTAGCATGGAAAGAGATGCCGGTTCTGGTGAACTATGCATGTTGTAAGCGTGCATACTGTCCGAGTTTTGTTTACATGTGGTAATGATCAAAATGTATCTATGGCTTGTTTCGAGGTCTACACTGTATTGCGACAAAAGTGGTGGGCGATACCAAGCTTAAGAGATCGTGTTGAAGATGAACACAGGCTTGAGAAAACGGACAGTGTTTGAAGTCGTGTAATTTCCCGTGGTACGTCCGAGTGGCAGACTCCCAGCGCGTGTTTGGCTGCCTAGAGAACCTATTGTAATCTGTGTCAACCTCAATCCCTTCTATTGTGGCCGCTGGAAACTATGCCCGATATCTCTATTGCGAATCAACCACTTTTATCTCGCTAAACATGGACCAACAGTGGCTTTTGTAGCCAATGCAAGCCAATGGAAGTGACTGCGGTGATGCTGGTGACATTACACCGTCGTGCTCGGGTATACGATTATCTTATCCGTATGCGAATCTACCGCTTCCGATGTGACTGTGCAAACTCCCTTTCATGAATTGGGAGACTGGACACATACTCGTCAAGAAGAGGCCTCAGATCTTCTTCAAATAACTCGTTTTGATCTGCCGCCATCTGTCGCCGCAGCGCATGTGCCTCACAAAGACCTTCTAGTGAGTCAATGATCTTCTCCTTGTCTGCTCATACCATGTCAGTTAACGCTTGTCCTAGGCCAGAATTCGAATGACTAGGGGTGTTGGCGTTCGGTTAGACTAACTAATCTTTGGGTCATCATCTTGCACGGGTATCTCTTTATCTGGGTCGATTGGAGGAACACCGCTCTCTCCCCAACGGTTGAAAATGTTGATGGTACCACAGTCACCGACGCCGACACACCACTGACCGTCACGGCTCCAGGCGAAGTGGCGGAACGCGAAAGCTTTGTACTTCGGAGTCTCGACGATTTTGTGAGCTTTTACCGAACGAAAAGGATCGGATACACCTCGATCCCGAGGTTGTTCCTTTAGCTTCTGCTGTTTGGCCTTAGTGTTACCCGAGCCAGCGCTGATAGCAGATGATGCAGTGGATGCAGAGCTTCCTTCTCGCACGTGCCTAGGTAGAGCTGGTGGTAAACCTTTTGTGCTCTGAGAGCCATCTTCTCCGGTACCAGAATTCTCCAGGCGTTGTAGATCCCAAAAGAAGGTCTTGCTTTTCTCGTTGCCTGCGACCAAGATCGGGTGTCGGCCAAGCTCGTGGAAAACGGAAAATCGTATGTAGAATTGATTAGTATGTGGCAGTTCGAATTGTAAAAGCCTCTGGAAGCGTCCGCCCCATGCTGACCGAGTACTTGAAGTAGAGTTTGCTGGGATAGTAACTGGGGTTCTACTGTGAACTGCGCTCGAGGAGGGAATCGGAGCGGGAGGGACTGTCGAACGGTCGGAGTTGAACTCGTCAATACTCCAGAGTATGATCTTATTCTCGCGACACGCATGGCTTAGGATCAAATCATCGTACCATTGGACACTATAAGGAGTAAGCGACCATTAGGCAAGGATCGAGAAAGAGAAGCTACCAGTCAACGAAGTCGGTATGGATCTCAGTGGTGGAGAAATGCGGATAGTGCACTATGGCTGGCTTGTCGGTTCCAGCGTGCTTGTCGAGATCATCGGGTACAGCCCACTTCACTCGTCAGAATCTCTTCTTCAAATTGTCAGTAGGTCAGGGTTAAGGCATCCTACCAGATTGATCCTAGTGTCCATACCTGCCGTTAGGATGTACCGTCCTTTAGGATGGTATGCCTACCAATGTCAGCATATTGTATTGGCCAGATTGACAAGCCACACACAAGCGTCAGCACCTGGTCCTTGTGGCCTTGCCCATAACAGATGGCTCCGAGGGGCTGCTTCTCGTGCGACGGGTGCAAGCTCCATATCCGGAGACTATGGTCAATGCTCACAGATGCGAGAATAGTGGGGTCTACTGGGGATATGGCAAGGTCGTTGACAGACTGTTGGTGTTAGAGAGGCCAGGTCGCATCAGGGAATAGATATAAATACATCGCCATGACCTATCAGCGTCTACGTGCAATGTCAGTACATGCAGCCTGACTAGCGATATAGAGCATACCGTTGCGAGCTTCCCCGTTCGGACGTTCAGAACCTTGATGCGAGAGTCGCCGGTTACGCACACAAGAGGGTCACCATTTTCAGCCTGGGACCAAACGACGCTGTTGTAATTGAGCTGCTGATTGCAAGAAGTAGAGTGATTAGCTAGGCCGAGCCATAGGGTTATATGCCTACCTTGTCGTCGGGTGCACCGTGTTCTGTGGTGTTCTCTTCGTCTTGGAACCACCGCAGAATCTCGACGGTGCTGTTCTTGCCCAATATGCACCTACATATGATAGTCTTGGCTGATGAGTACAAGGCTGACGGCCTACAGGGTGATACATACAAATGGACCTCCGCATACAGCGAAAACAGGATCGAGACCGGGAGCGGTATAGGGATAGAAATTTACATCGTAGAACTGGGCTGGGACGTGATGAGTATTGCATGAAGTGATGGTTAATGCGCATCCTGACTCACTGGAGCTAAGCCTAGACTTGGTTTGGGCCTGGGGAGGTGTTAGTGGTGGCTAAAAGGTGCGCGCAAGGCATGGGTTACGCCTAGTCTCACTGTGCCCCTCAGAGTAGGCAGTTCCCAGTTGCAGTCCATGTTAGCGTGCATATGATGGAGGTGATATGCAGGGCGCGGGTCTCGTGGCAGGTAGCCTGGGTCCGAAGTTGAGTATGCCAATCGGATATTAGGACGAGGCGAGGGCGAGGGACAGGGCTCTTAGTCTCAAAGAGGCTATCACTTGCAGCAAACAGGTAAAGGACGCGTCGACGCGGAAGAGCAGGGCAACGGAGCGCCGGTTTGTGCGCGGCCCAACAAGAAGGGGCGAATGAGTGGAGAGAATACAACAAGTGGAAAGAGGGAGAATGAGTCTTGCATGTGGCTTGTGGCGTAGTTTGGGGGATGATCGTCGATGATGTTGTTCGGTTGAGGGCTCGGGGTGACAAGCACCAAGGTCGGCCAGGACAGTACCACCAGCCAAGGCCAGCAAGGGAGCAGGGAAGGCCGGCAGCAGTGCAGCTCGATGCTGTGTGAAGCGGCTATCGCCCTGGGCAGGAGCTGGGGGACAGGTGGTGAGAGCAAGTCGGAGACGTGTCCGTGAGGTGTTTGGTAGTGCTAGCGCGGCAGTAGAGTTTGCATATCTATCGTCTACGGCAGTCGTTGACGACGTCGGTACTGCCAAGGCTAGTCGCATGGGTGACAGTTGCACGTTGCAGGCAGTGTAGATGCGCATTCCAGCCTCTCCATCCGTCGTGTGCGACGCGTCCAAAGCCGACTGCTCGGTGTGAATGGCCTGATGCATCATCCCTCGTCCTCCGTACTAGGACGACTGCCGTTGCCCCGCGCCGCTGCCGACGAGCTGCTAACCGCCGTTGACTGCAAGTCTCGCGTCGATCCTTGGGCGGCGCAACAAGGGTTCGCCGTTCGTCAGCTCATTTTCTGCACATAGCTTGCATACCTCACCCTACAATCCTATCCCATCGCATCCCAGGAGCATCCTCTCGCATCCTCTACGCGTCGCAGCAATCCTTTCGCCTCATCCGGCCGGCTTTTTCTCCCCCTGCCAACCAGCAGTGCTCTCAAAGTCCCGCCATCCTGGGCTTGGTCACGGCAGCCGAGCCAGCTCCAACGTCGACGCTGCTCACTTCGCTGATTTATGCACACGACCCAACTGCACTCTCTCCAATCCTCCGCTAGCCGCTTCAGGCAGCCGTCCGCCGCGTGCTTGCTCATATTATTCTTCTACGCTGCGACTGCCTGCCTCGTTGCCAGTGAGGGGCAACTGGTCGCTTCGTGATTGTGTATTACATCATACCCACTGACTCGTATACATTACCACCTTTCATCCATCCCATCCTATCCCATCCTAGGTGCCGCACCAGGCCCGGGTTGCACCACCTTCACTCCCTACTCTTTCCTCTAGCCGAACTTGTGCGCCTCTGTGCCACTTGGACCCTGCCTATTTGACCCGCCTACGTTCCCTCGCCTGATCTGTCCGACATCCTCACAATCTTCCACCGCCCGTCCCAGAGCGAATGATTAGATTCGACATACCAGGACGAGTGCGGTAGAGCAGGAACGACTCATCCCGAGCCACTTTGCTCCCTCGTTCCTGCCACAATGGATACCACCTTCATCACCATCCACGGTATGTCAACTAACCCTCCCCGCGAGCCACCCATTTCTCACTCCCGACAGACCTCTCCGATGACGCCCACATCTTATATTCTTCCGATTCTATTGTCGACATCCTCGGCCACACGCCCGATGAGGTAGTCAATCGGTCCGTGTGGCAATTTTTTCATCCAGATGAACTTCCTCTGGCCAGGGCGCATCACAGCCGGGGAGTGAGACTGGACAAGGCCGCTGTCTTGTCCTATTGCCGCCTGAAGAATCGCCAGGGGGAATGGGTCGGTTGCGAATGCTGCTTCTCCGTCGTCTACGATGTCCTTGTCTGCTGCACTAGCATCTATAGACATGGTATGCAGAGCCAGAGTAAGTCTTCTAACCCGTTTGGTCCTTGCGGCTCGCTGACCACAGCCAATCAGAACGTGCAGTCGAGGCTCCTATAGTGCGCAAACTGTTCGCCTCGTCACCCAAGGACCCGCGCTACCACATGTTATCGCATCTGTCTAGCAAGTTTGATCTCGGCCCCGATGATCAGACTCATGAGCCGCGAGCTGCCTTGTTCCTCAACAGGTTCACGCGAACCCTGACTGTCATGTACGCAACCAGTGGCATTGAGCAGATTATAGGTATCTCTGGAGAGGCTATGAAGGGACGCAGCTTCTATTACTGCATTGCTCCCAATTGTCTTGAAGACGCTGTCCGCTGTCTGGAGTCGGCTAAAGGAAATGACTCTATCGCTTATATGCGCTTCTTTTTTCGCGACCCTCGACAGGACGACGCACCTGATGTCTCCTCTTCTGAGAGCGAAGATGATATCATGACAGATGTCACATCCGACGATGAGTCTGAGGGTGGAGTAGGTCTCGGCGGCCATTCTACATTCAACGGTACAGCCAGGCATCCTTTAGACTCAAACCACACCACAGATAACAGTGAGGAGCGGTCTGCGTCGCGCACCAATTCTGGCGATAACCGCAATCCAAGCGACCCGCACCACGTCATGTTTGGTGGTTCTGCGCCCCGCTCATCGATATCCTCTGTCAGTTCGCCTCGTTCTGAGGTTCGCGACGATCCTATCGAACTCGAAGCTGTCATATCCTGTACTTCCGATGGGCTGGTCGTGTGTCTACGACGTGCGCGCCCCATGTTACCAGGCACAATGCCTGTTGCCCAGCCAGCACAGCAATACAATGGCATCTACGCCGCACCATGGGCAACACAACCCGTGTTCCATCCGGCTCCACAACAGATGCCTCAATATCCTTTGGGCGCCCGACATCCAGCCATGGTGCAGGCAGGACCGTCCATGGAATTCCAGAACAACTTCATGCAGAGCATTCGCGACGTCGCCGTATTTGCTTGGGCACTTACTGGCATCAACGGCAGTCTCGTTGATTATGCTCGTGGTAAACCAATAGGGGAGAGTCAGCCACCAGAGGGCTTCCCAGTCTGGAACCCTTTGCCAAACCCCGGATTTGGCAAACAACTGTCTGCAGCACCATCAGGTTATGTGTCGGGGTCCAATAGCTCGTCAAGCAATGACCCATTTGGATTCGGCGACCCAGGTCTCCGCTGAGAGACCAGCTCCGCATTTTGGCATCTAACAGACCCAACATCGACATGCGACGCGGTGTCACCAGCAGCAATGACGAGGGCGGTTTTCTCATCGACCGAGAAGTGCCACTAGGCCTTCATGCCACACGACTTTGATGACGGATGCTGTACGCAGCTTATGATTTTTATGTGAGCGATAGCGCGGAATATACCAGGGCCATATGCGGCTGTTATTACCATATGGTACGCTTTGTTGGACCACTCCTCTCTTTCTAATTCAACTACGCATAGCAGCCACTAAAAGACTAAATACTTTCGACTTTTCGTTGCTGTTTGCCTGTTTGTAATCGTTGCCATGCAGTCACACGAGCACCAGAATTACGGTCTCGCATCCATTCCGGTGAACTATCACATTCTGGGAAGCTTGGCGAATGACTGCAATTGCGGTCGTTTCGCTTCCTACTACGTCATGCGGCGAGGTGTAGGGGCAACTCAGACCCTGAGCTACCCAAAGACCACAACAACTTCTCGCAGATAATGGTCGCGGCTACTATAAGTTCCAAGAAGAGTTCTAAATGGCCACATTCCTAGATCCACCACTAGCGGGCGCACAAGACTGACAGGCTTTGTTGTTCGTTTTGGTTTCGCCCTTGCAGCAACCACATGGGGCTACAAAACCCTTGAATCGTGTTCTCTTTGTCTCGTTGCTCTTGAGGCTGACGCTACACTAACACTCGGCAAATAGAAACTCAACATGTACGCCATAAATATGGGGACTCACAATAAGAAGTACTAGGTATATGTTCCATCTTGTGCTATTCCTCTTACAATTCCGGTCGCTTGATCTGCTTCCGAGCCGTTATTTGCATCGCCACCGCAATGGTACGCTGACATGTTGCGCGTCCGATTATTGCAATCCGTTCTGACTCATTTTTCTTGGTAGGCTTCGAGGTCGCCTCTTCCTTTGGCGTTTCCTATGCCTTGCCTTGATATCCAAAGACCACTGTAATCTTCTCGAAAGCCAACACTTCTGGCATGGCCTCCCCAACACGTCGGATACCCTTCTGGGCTTCTGTATCTGTGGTTTGCTCTTTAACGTTTGTTGTTCTCCCATCCATATGCTTTGCGCAGGATGATTTCGATCTCAACAGTAGTAGCCCTACTGCATCGTCGACCCCAGCAAATAATTCAAGCTCGACAAGCTCTGCAGCTGTACAGACACACACCATTTCAGTCGGCCTAGCAGACCACAAATTCAGACCTGAATCAACAAACGCTAACATTGGCGATGTAAGTCATCTTCTGCAGGCGACCAGGAAGAAGCTCTCGTACTTATCGTTCCTGCCAGCAACCCAACAAATACATTGGAGCCCTACTGACATCTTAAAGACGATAGAATTTGCCTTTTACCCTCTAAACCATAGCGTCGTGCGCGCGGAATACGGCTTCCCATGCATCCCCTACGAAATGATTGGGCAAGGCAAAACTGGTTTCTTCAGCGGGTTTAAGCCCGTCGACTCTGTCCTTACCTCCCCGCCAACCTACAGCATTGAGATCGAAAACACCGACCCCATATTCTTCTACTGTTCAGCTGTAGGTTCTTGTATAAATTACGGCATGGTCGGTGTTATCAATCCGAACACAACGACCAGTGTCGCTCGGCAACATCAGCTAGCGCTTGATAGCAGCTACATGCTCAACCCTGGCGAACCATTTCCACCGGAGAGTCCAGAGTCGAGTAATACACCCATTAGTTCAGGGACAGCAGGACTCAGTGATGGCACCAGCAGCGAGAAGGAAGGCCTTTCGACTGGTGCCATTGCAGGGATTACCATAGCATGCTCTTCCGTTGTCATCATCGCAGCCTTGCTTTTCTTCTTCTGGGGCCGCACAAAGGGCCTAAGAGTCAAAGTCGATCAAAACACAGGAGCGGTACGCCAAGGCCCAAACAACAGGAGTCTGCCAGCAATCTTGGAAACCGGTCACACGCATCCTGCCATCCTCCGTGGGAACGAAGTAGGGGGTGTCTATCACCAATACCAACGAACGCCTCTTTTGTCGCCACCCATTGTAGATTCTGCATACCAACAATACAGCTACAATCAGTACAATAATGCACCAAGTTATAGTACGCCAGTACCATCGTACTTTCACCCGCCTCCGCATTCTACTCATGCACCTTCTCCTCTACCTCATCCGCCGCCGCCATCATCTTTGCAACAGGATCTACAGCAACAGCAGAATGCGTACAAATACGATATCAACAACCCTGCCGGTCATCCCGGTCAAACAATTCCTCCTATACAACGACAACCCCCACCTAGCTTCCACCACGCATCCTCCCAACGCTCCCTAGGTGGTGCATTTGAACTCTCACCTACAGGAGATTATCCAGCAACTCTTCAAAACAATCACGTCAATCCCTCTCACATTGGCAACAACGCCAACGCCGACAGCCCTGACATCATATCTCCATGTCCTTCCCATGCGCACCGTATAGCATCAACACCACACGTTCTTGCTGCCGCCGCCACTGCTGCTACCAACGAGGTAGAAGAAGCGATACCAAACTACTATGAGACCGTATACAGACATAGTCCCAAACATATCAACGGGGGACGGATTGGACCTACAGAAATAGACGGGAGGGCTGTGACAGGGGAGATTGCACCTGCGAGAATGATAGAGGCAAAGTGGGAGGAAGTTGGCGAAAAGACAGTAGGCTGAGGAGTGGTTGTTTGCAGGGGGCAGATGGTTTTCGTCTGTCTTATTCGTTCTCTTTCGATATTCGGTTTTGTATTGGGATTTCTATTGCTCTTAATCTATGTCTCCTTTTGTGGTGTGGAAGCACACTTCGTTTGAGGTTTAATTGAGTATGATATAGATGGATAGTAGCCGAATGGATGTATATACACTGGAGAAGTTTATTGTCAAAGACTTCATCATGTAATGTATTCTAGCTCCAAATCCCTCGGTACCCTGCCTGGTCAATGGGCGTCATGTTCGACTGTCATAACACACCTATAGATGCAACATAAAGGGACCAGTGACTGTTTGATGATAGTATTCACATGTGAATTCTTGTTTTCATTTCATCTCGGCTAAACACAGACGCTCAGCAATAGAGGACGCGGCTTCAAGACTCGGCTTCAGGCCGCGCAGTAGAGAAGAACAGGGCTGCCCGTCTTCTCAACTTCCATCTCTTTCATCCCTGGGACGCTCAGCGTGAGAGCCAATCAGCGCCACACCAGCTCCATCCGTACGTAGACCGGGAGGCTAACTTGCGTGCAATAGAGAGCTCATTGGAAGTATCCCGCTTTTTTGAAATCTCCATCAAATCGATATGAAGTAAGCCGACCGAACACTTCAAGTCGTTGGAAGAAAAGGATAAGAACAGAAGGAAATAGAAAAGTGAGAAAACAAAGGATCGTTCGACTTGTAATCATTACATGTTGTTACACTCCAAAGATAGAAAGAAAGAACCGCGGGTCGCCCTGCGGCCCGCGAACTGATTCTGAACAGGAGCAGGGTATCGTGAATCATGTCGCTGATGTCGAAGTAGAAGTAGTCGCCATAGTAGGCGCGACGGATACTTCAGACGGCTTCGCTTCCTCTGCAACGGGTGGGAGGATCGCTTCGACAGCCTTGGGAGGAGGTGAGTTCGTATTGGGCAGGCTAGCCGTCGATAACGTTGGCGAGCTTGTCGATTGCGAATTTAGGGGCGGCATAGCGTTCGAGCCAGTCGACTGTGTTTGCGCCAGCTTGGTTTTTCGGTTGCGGTTGGTGTAGTCACTTAGACTAAGCTTCTTGCGCGCTGGCGCAGGCTTGACAGCGTTGTTTACAGCAGGCGAGAAGGGCGATGCAATAATGGAGGCGCCCGGTGATTGCGCGACTGTGCTTTCGTTGAGAATAGAAGAAGTCGATCCAGGGGTGACAGCGCGGTTGTTGCTGGCGTTGACCAAATCGAGCTTCGCAGGCATCTCAACATGAAGATCCACAGGCTTTGGTGTCAGGCCGGTCGTAGATTTCGGAGATGGTTCAGCTGGCGTCGAAGCTGACCACGGAGGGTCGAGGGGTTGTATTGACGGTTGAGGAGCCTCCTTTGGAGCTTCCTTGGGAGGTTCCGGAGCAGATACCTCAGCTGGCTCTTCTTGTTTCGGTTCGGAGATTTTGACGGTTGTATCCTCAGAGTCAGTCATCTCTACGTCCACTGGAGGCTGCGGCATAGGCTCCTTTGCAGGTGTGAGCTCTTTGTGTCTTGTATCAGGTGCAGGCTCTGTAGAGATATCCATCGCAGAAGGCTCCTCAAGGGGTGGAGATGGTGGTAGCGGCGACGGCTTATTTGACGACACATCCTTCAAAGCTGGCGATTTGGCTTCCATCTTGACCGACGTGGATCGCATTCGCTCGCGTTGTAGTTTGTCCTCTTGCGCCTGCTGCAGAAGCTTACGTTTAAAGGATAGCGGGGGCTTCATTTGACGTGGCCTGATGCATGCTTGTGACTTTACATCGTTATCTTCAACTGTCTGCGTCGACGAGTCGACGTAGACGGGCTTTGGACGGGGCGCAGGACGGCCGTTGGTCTTTGTAGAGCTCCCCGATGTTTTGCGTGCTACACCGTGACTATGTTCGCGATGGCGAGCCGAGGGCGAAGGTTCAGGGTGTCCGAGTCGTCTCTGAGTATCTGCATTAGCAACAGGAATCGGGCAAGAGGACAAGCGTCTTACCGAGGAAGAGATGCTCGGAGTATTCAGATTCGATCCAGCACTGGTTCGTTTCCTCTTGCCCTTGTGCTCATCGTGATCAAGCTTCTGGAACAAAAGTTCTTGATGCTGGATCTTCCTCTTTTCGCGCTCAGAGAGTTTATCGCCTTCCAAGGACGAGAAGTGGGTTGCTGGTGTAATGTCGCGGCTGCTCGACTTGTGCGAGCCAGACGTAGAGCGAGCGTCCATTTGGTCTTCGTCGATTGTATCACGGTTGGCAGTTTCGCTACCAGCACGACTGTTGGTTGCGTGACCCGTACTCATAGGAGAAACCTGAGACTTTTTGACCTTTTTGCCTTTGGTCTTCAGCGTGGGTTGCTCTGTAGTCGTGTTGCGACGAGCGCGCTCTAGAAGGCACTCGTTGCCGTTGGATGTGTCGCAAGCGCAGCCTCCGAAGTTAGCTAAGACGCAAGAAACCCAAGGCTGTATTCTCTTGAATCCTTCTTTGGCGCCGTTGGTGACGACTCTGGCAAGCTGCTTTTGTACTTCGGAATCAATGTCCCAGCCAACTGTGAGTTCCTCACCCGGGCTGATCTCGCGCGTCGCTAAGAAGCAGAAGTGGTAGTCGTTGCTGGAGTCAATCAAAATCTTCATAGACATGTTCGGGTTGCAACTTCTTCGTGAGTATCGGAGAATGTTGCCTTCCCGACGGGTGTCAATGTATATTGGTAGGTGAGGAGGAAAGAAGACGAAGGGTTCGGGGTGTCGGAGCAAGTCCCATCTGTTGGATGCATCGGAATAGTAGTCTGCCTTTCGTCCGATGAGACCTTTGAGCTCTCCAACGTAGCCACCGTCTGGTACTGGGGTCTCGGCGGTAATGAAGTGCCATTGTGGGTGCAGGCCATGCGCTAGTATACCCGAGTCGACATCTGTCTGTTTCACGATCTCTGGCGCAGTTGACGTTTCGAGTTCCTGAATAGTAATATCAATGCGTGAGAAAATGTCTTGTGGTTTCTTCCCTCCACTTGCTTCGGCAAGGGCTTCCGGGTCTTGGAGCCACATAGCTATGTCGTTTGCGACATCGATGCGGGTGTACGAGTTGGAATCAGCTGAGGGTGGTTCGGGTTGTCGATAGAGGTGCATGAACTCGGACGAGTAGTCCTCGATAGGAGCCTCTGGGTTCGTGGGTGATTTGACAGGACTGTGGCCATTGAGCATAACCGAGCCGCCTCGTTTTCGTGATGTTGGCACGAGAGCTGGCGCTTGGCTAACAACGCCCACGGATCCAGAAGGACGATGGCTCGTCTTGGGACGCTTGTTGGGCGGTGGCTGGTCTCGTGGGCTACCACTCTTCCGATCAGGGGTGTATTGAAGGTCCCCGTTAGTTTGCATTGGCCAGCCATTAGATTGTACGGGGCCGTGGGTATCCTTGGTTCGCTTCTTAGGGTTCTTGGTTGATGCTTTCGGTCTGCCTTTGCGCTCGCCGATGCTATGTACTTCTCTTCGGAGGCGTTGCTTCTCAGAAGCGCTTTTTGAGTCGATGGCTCGCGGGAGACAGTCTGCGCACTCGTGTACATCGGGAACGTGTTGGGCAGATTCGTAGTAACAAACAATGTGCTGCCACGTGTCGCACTTCTCGCACAATACCGTGTTGCCATCGTCATCGGAGTATCCACAGATGCACTTTATCGTGGATGACTCTTCTTCCTCGATGGTGGCTTCTAGTGGAGGCGAGGCGGTCGCGAAGGTGGGTGGTGGTGGGCCAGCGTAGAGGGCGAGAGGAGCCGGCTGATGATCAGCATACGCCTGAATCGACGAGACGTCTGTCATAATCTGGCAGTGAGGCTCGCTTGTATGTGGTGTCATGTAGTGGGTGCTCAAGCTCTGTATTCTTGGGATCGCATGACGCCCAACGCGCGACCAGGAAGAGCAGGGCGAGCGACGGCGACTCGAGACGGATCAAGTGACCGCCGTCAACGGACAGCCGGACGTTGTGACGATTCGTCTAGCTAAGAGAGGTCGTGGCTAAGGGGAAGAGGGTTGCGTGGCCGGTTGCAGCGAGTGCGGACCGGGGGCAGGATGGCGACGGGGGGCTCGAAACGTCACTCTGGGAGCGTGACGGGAAGCCTATCATGAAGAGATGGTACTGGGACCGTGTGTGTTCGATTGCATGTAATGCGCCGGTCGGTGAGGCAGGGTGGTGAGGCTCGAGGCTCGAGGCGGCTTCGGAGGGAGGAGATGGCTGAAGGCTGCTGTGACAAAGGAAGCGGCGCGCGCAATCAAAGGCGTCGGCGTCGACAGTCGAGGCGACAGCGAGGTCAGTGTTGCAGATGGCGACGGTACGGCAAGGGCGGCGTCAGGCGGTATGGGAGTCAGAATGGCAGTGGAGAATGGAGCGTGCGAATGTCCTGAGAATGAATGGCCCCAACTCTCGCGAGCGAGAAGGGCTTAGCTCGCGGGGTCCGTGCACCACCAAGGACATGGACAGGAGTGAACGCTAGATGTAATTAGTCAACGAGGGGTTACAGCAAGTGCGAGATCAAATTCGGGCGCGTGTCGCCATGCTGGCGCCTTCCAAGGCGCAGCCCAGACGGACATGCGGTGGCTGGGGACATGCGAGCGAAGCCTTGAGCTGGCGTTCATCGCGTCTGAACAGGGAGTGGTATGAGCTTCAGCATCGACGGCATCAAGAGGATAATGAGAATGCAGCCGAGCCAGGCCCGATGGGGATAGCGCCATTCAGAATGCAGTCGCGCGCAGATCAAGTTCGGGGGGCCGAGCGCCGTCCCAAAGCTGCGATGAAATGGAGGCCCAAAGCCGTTGCTCGAAGCGCCTTCCCTCCCTCCCTCTCTCTCTGTCTCTTCCACCTGCGCGCTGCCTTCGCAGAAACCCGTCGCTTCTCGTCGCGCGTTGTGGCGACCGAAGGCGCGAGCGACTCGTCGGGGCAGGCGCGCCGGGGCGAATAAACAACGATAAGCTGCTGCCCCGCCCAGAACGCTGATGAAACATTGGATTGAACTTCGCCACCCAAACGTCATCCAACATGCAGCCGGGTGGGTACCCACCAGCACCGTGGCCTCATCGCGAGCTCTATGTATATCCCTCGACACCGAGCCCGTATCTTGCTTGCGCCCATGGAATCCCACCCTCCTGCCGCCCTGTGTCCTCCGGCTCCGCACCTGCTCTTGCTCCTGTACCTGCGTCGCATGTTTGGTACAAGCCAAACAAGCGGCTGAATGTCAACAAACATCAGCCTACCCATTACAAGACCACCGCAGCTTTAGACCCCAACAACATGTAGAACTCTTCCACACAGCACCAGGCTGGTCTATACCTACGACGATCCTCAATTAACGTTTCCCGCCGCTTCGTCTATTCTACCGTAGTCTGTCCAGCCGCCATATATCCCACGAATAGGCGTGATATCATGTGCCGTAGGTAATATACCACCCGCGCACTATCCAAGCAATAGAATCCTCCTGGATATATCGCCTGTCGTCAACATGTCCTGCGGGATCGTCAGGGACGACTTGTCCCTTCCTCACTTTCCCCGATGGCTATACTTGTTGGCCTTCTCACCATCTCACTGACTCTTCTCTTCTCTACCGCAACGGTCGTTCCCACCCCACAATCAATTGGATCCGATTTGTCAATCATCACACACAATGACCTGTATGGCAACCTCACAACTCGGCATGCAGCAAGCATTTTGCTGAGCACATCGTTCAACTACTCTGTTGCGACCTCAAAGTGCGCTGCTTTAGGCACAAAACTGTGGGACCCCCAACGCCATCTCGAGGACTTGACTTTCCTCCGGTACTTAGACTATGCGAACGCCGCCTATAAGGCTGGTGTCTACTGGGTCAGCAGCAATTCGACGACGAACTGCACAGCAGTTACTGCGCATGCTGAACTGGCATATTATCCTTGCGAAACCTACTTACCAGTACTTTGTTTCAATGCAGGAAACGATCGGGATCGTCAGGTAGCAATAGCGACTAACAATGCAAGAATCATAGGTCTTCGCGAACGATCCTCTTCGTCTTTCCGTTTCCTCGGCATCACATACGCTTCGATCCCAGCTCGTTTCGCCCACTCGACGTATTATCCTCCCCCACCTGGATCCAACATCACCGCACTCGATTACAGCCCGCAGTGTATACAGTCTGGATGTGGGGTTCAAGGGACCCCGGATTGCGCCGAAGATTGCCTCACGCTCAATATATGGACGCCGCATCTCCCCAATGTTGATAATGCAACGCGTAAGGGGAAAGCTGTTATGGTATGGATACATGGCGGAGGCTTTACAGGAGGAGCAGCTAGCGATACTACATTCGACGGTAGCGCCATGGCCTCTCGGGGAGACGTTGTTCTGGTGACCATAAACTATCGATTGTCTACTTTGGGTTTTCTAGCACTTAGCAACACTTCGTTAACAGGAAACTATGGGCTTCATGATCAGAGCGTTGCGCTTGATTGGCTTCGCGCGCACGTTGAGGACTTTGGAGGTGATAAGGACAGAATTACTGTTTTCGGGCAGAGTGCAGGAGCGGCATCGGTTAGAGCTCTGCTTGCATCACCACAAGCGCGAAACAAGGTCTGCGGAGCGATTATGATGAGCACGCCACAAGGCGTAGAATACGCCTCCACTTTCTCCAGGTACCTAACCATAGAAGAAGCTACAAACCGAACCGCGGCAGCCATCGCTGAAGTAGGGTGTACGCCATTGAAGGGTGAAGACACAGTCGCCTGCCTACGGAAAGCAGATCCTCTTGCCTTGGTAGGCATTAGAAACGTTTCACAGCCGTCCGGAACTGTTGCAAGGTCAGTTATCCACTCATATTCAAGAATGAGAGATTTCAGATCACATCTCGTGTTTATTGGATGGTCGTTTGATATTCCTCTCCCTCTCAGTCTTATGGAGTAACTCTAGGCTTAGATATGGATTTTTTGTTTCCCACACCAACTCCATCAAACACCTCTAGGCTCTACCGAGAATTCTCGCCTATCGCTCGCATTCTCTCAGAACACATCCTACCTCTTTCATGACTCTGCACTACCTTTCACTTCGAACACCTATCAACTGGAAACCGTCAATCAAACATGATTGTACTTTTCTTTGAGCTGAGAAACAGACGGAGCTCCGATCTAATAGACTTTTAGATACCCCGTGGTCGACGGCATATTTTTGACGAACGCAACCCTTCCTCTCGGTCCAACAGCACCAAGATTCAATATACCCATAATGTCTGGAATTATGCGTGACGATGGATCACCTTTCACCTCGTATCCTACTTGGTCTAATGTATCTGCTGTACTATCCTCGCAAGGCTTTCCTGCCTCGGCTATCCTTTCTTCGAACTCGTTCCCGTTCCCTGAAGGTGCGAATAGCACTCTACGCATCTTCAATCTTACGTCCCGGGTAGCCACGGATGTGATGTTCAGGTGTCTAGCCCAAAGCACAGCGTATACTGCTGCAAAGAACGGGGTGTTCAAGAGTGTGTATAGCTACGAGTTTGATAGGGCATATCAGATTGAAGACTGGAGTCCTAATCCTCCAGCCTGTGAAGCGCCAGTCACAGAATTGTATCCGTTTGGTGATCCTAATGCGCCCTGTGGGTTATTCAGCTCTAGGAGTATCTTTTGACGTAAAAAACATTGCTGACTCAATCGCAACGTAGTTTACAAATGCCATTCCGGTGAGCTGCTTTCCGTCTTCGGCAACACTATCCCTCAAGGGCGACCGCTGCGGGACGACGACGACATCCCATTCAGCCAGTTCATTGTAGACACCTGGACGGCTTTTGCACGAACGGGTAATCCGACGCCTGACGAAGCATTCTTGATGGCACGAGGTTTTACGAACACAAGCAAGATGGTAAAGACTACGGGTATCTGGGAACCGGTCAATGCGGCGAAGCCAATGCTGAAGGTGTTGGATGTACGAGGAAGAGGTAAAATGGAGGAATTTAGAGAAGGAGCACAATGCGAAGTGCTTGGACAGAGGTTGGATTATTACGATTCATAAGACGTAAATCATTGGGAAAGAAGCTAGGTCAATTCTGTTCGCTGAACACTACGCGAGCAAAGGAATATCTGATACCTGCAAGTCTGGGTTCCTACTTTCCGGTCCGCTATTCGGTGTCTCGTTTCGACACTAGAGTCCATTTCCACTGCATCCGTAGGTTCGGGTGGTCTTGTATATCGCCATCATCGTTCCCTACTTGCTCAATGGTCTCATCCTCTACCCCCTCGTCCACATCCTTTTCATAGATCTTAGCTTGACTCCCTGTCGCTAGCAATGCCTTCGACTCGGCACTCCCTCGTCCTTCTTCCAACAAACACCCATGCGCGTAACCTGTTTTGATGTTTTCCATGCTGTTAGCTGTAACAGGCTCCTAAATTCCTGGATTAGCGCCGCACACTCAAGGTGTCTGTCTTGGACATTCTTACCGGATGGTGACTAGTCTCTGTAAGAGGTAAGGAAGAAGGATATGATGATTCTCGCTGCCACTCTGCAATGTTGAGGAGGAGAGATTCATACAGCTGTTTCCATCGGCGTTGTGGTGGGGGTGTTTGATTTGCCATTATGATGGGTGCAAGTGTAGGTGTATGTGTGTGACGGCAAGTCAAGTAAGAGGGAAGGAGAAATGCGAGCATTTAGGTTTTATCACTTCTTCTTGTTTCGAACTGAGTAGCCAATCAAAGTCGATCTGAAAGGATACTGGAGTTAATGGATCGTAAAGTAGATATAAGTAAGTATGTTGGCTCTTCTCGTCCTTCCTTGTCAGTGCTATTTTTCTGTGTGAATACGTCGGCAGGGTTGATTCGGCAGATCCATTAAGTTAGGGCTCAGTGAGCTCAGTCCTATATATGCAAGCGCCAGTTAATGAAGGAACGCGGCGCAGCAACAGCAACAGGCAGCGAGCGCTCCATCGTGCAACGTCGTACATGGCGTTGTCCAATCCGATGTTTGGGGGCAAGCCCTGCGCCGCATCTCGATTTAGACAACGGGTTGTCCTTTGTGCCCTTCGTAGAAGCCTCACCAATCGGATATTTCTCATGCAGAGCGCTGATAAGCGGGCATGAACCTCGTATGTAGTAAGAATTGCGACGATGTGTCCGCGGAGCATGACTCTGGTAGTCTGGACTATTCGAGCAGACTGTAGATGATGCGTCGCTCTTGCATATAAGGAATCTTGGAAGAAGCAATCATATGTGCAGATGATCGATTCAGGCACCTAGTACGACGATTTGTGTGTACAATCCAGACCCGAGAAACAAGGTCTGTTTGGCATGTACCACAGGATACAGTGCCAATATGAGAGATAAGCAATGACAAATGTTTCTTTCTTGAGTTTCTACTTCTATCCACAAATACTGTGCAGGCAAGACTAATGCTTCGCCGGTCTACCAATGTGTACGGTGCAGTGGATATCACTTAGGAAGCCTCCAAATGCCGTGTCGTCGTGCTCTCATCCCTCATTCAGTCATCGAGACGTATTCGTCTTTCCGTTTGATTGACCTCAATGCAGCCCCATGGCGCAATACCAATTGTGTCGTATCCAGATCTAGCGACCACGGTTTTTTCCACTTCCAAGCTACCAATGCTTCTGAATAAAAGTATCCTACAGTTCCTCTTGCACTTTTTTGACTTCTTCCCATAGCTGCTGCGCGTTCTCAGCCCTCAACTGTAAAATGTCAGTTCCGTACATGTATTAAGGCTAGATAATATTCATACCTTTAGTAAGTGCATCTCCAGCTCGCCCTCGAGATTGGGCGAGTTGAAGAGTAACCGCGTGTCCTTCGGCTTCTCGCCCTGTGCATCGCCGCCGAATACCATGTTACTTGTGACGGCAGCGTTGAGCAGCAGTCGATGGGTGCCTTCTGCGCGTAGGACGAAACGAGCCTTCTTGGGTTCGTCAATTGTGATGTTGAGCTTGAATGTTCCTACGCCACGCTCTTTCCACCCTCGATTCGATCCTTCGCCAGCCATAGTGTAAAGCTTTGCGCGGCCGGTCCAAATAGTCTCTTCGCCCTCTTCACCGGTCTCATGTGCTACAAAATGGTCAGCATTGTAATTCAGATGAACAGAAATTGACATACGCTGTTGTGAAAGGAGTGGCTGACTCGAATGTCGCTCTTCTTTGTCTGTGGCCTTCTCTGGGTCGTCATCATCATCGTCTTCGTCATCAGATGGTTCGCCGATTGCGGCTGCACCAAAAGGCTTCTCTTTCTCCTTGAGACCCTTAATCTCCAAGCTACCACCGGGGGCAGCAAAAGAGCCTATGGGCTTGGCTGCACTGAAGCCCCCAAAACCACCGCCTAGAGATCCTCCAAAAGAGCTGCCACCAAATCCGGAAGTACTTGAGCTTCCAAGCGCCCCGAAGCCACCACTTGAAGATATTGAAGGAGCTGCACTTCCTGCAAAAGAGGACAATTTGCCCGCGCTCGCCCCACCGAACGGCGAACTAGCATTTGGCTTGGAAGCAGCAACGCCCCCAAATGGCGACGTAGATGAGGCGGCAAAGCCACTGAAACCAGATCCTTTGAACTTTTCGTCTGATGTTTGAGGTAATGACTCGGCTTTATCGGAGGCCTTTGGTTCTTGAGGTTTCGGTGCCATGGCGGCAAAAGGTGATACGGCGGAAGAATTGGCAAACCCACCGGTTAGCGATGTCTGGGTGGAGAGTCAGTATGTGTCAATCACGTAGCGTTAGCCACCATACCTTGGTTTTAGATTCTGTTGCATCAGTGGTAGGTTGAACTTCCTCCTTGTCTCGCAATCGCTTAGAGTCTCGCTCATCGCCCACCGACTTTTCTGCAGGTTTTCCATTGGTAGATGCACCTTCCGAAGCTTCTGCGCTAGCTTCGGTATCCTTCTCAACCTGATCGCGTGTCCGCTTGTTCTTGGGGCTTGTCCCGGCTCCTGAAGCTTTGTCGGCCGTAGTCGTTGTGGAGGCATTCTTGTTTGGCGATGTCATTTGGTCGTCTCCATCGTTCTCTTTGATGCTTGTGATAGTACTGGGAGAAGGCTTTCTAGGCGCAGCAGCCTCCAGGTCGGCTGTAATATCCCTTGACCTTTTGCGCGCATGCCGTTCAACCTTCTTTTCCGGGTGCTTGTCTACTTCTGCTTCATCCTCAAAGTCCTCGCGGCTGCGCTTTCGTCGTAACCGACCGCGCTCACTATCTGAGCCAGAGGCGCTGTGTTCGCCTACTTTGGCGCTACCGTTGGGTGCATCGTGCATGCGCCGATCGGAACTCGCGGTGGGATCTGATGTGGCCTGCGCATCGATCTGTGTATCCTTGAGCTTTTCCCTCACATTCTTGCCTTCGCTGTCGCTGCTCTTATCGCTCCGCGCTGGAGAAGTGGGCACAGCTTTGGTGGTGTCTTCAGAGGCTGTAGCAGCTGTGGCTGTGGCCTGCGGTTTCTCTGGCGCGTCTGTCATGGTGGTGGATGTGTCGTGTTCCAGACGCGGGGGATGTCAAGGTTGCGCTTCGCGGGTAGCAGAGTAGGGTACCTAGGGAGAAGGGCCGGCGATGCTGGCCTATGAGAAGCGTTTCTCGGTCGATTGCTGGACTGCGTATGTAGTTTCGGGATGTGAATTGAAGCAGTGCGAGCTTGAATACGGACAATAGCAACTAAGCTCCGTGGTGAAGACCAAGTTGCGGTGGGCGACGGGGACAACAGCGCGGAGGTGGTGTGTCGGCAAGGCTAGTGGCGAGCTGACTGGCCGACAATGCGATGTGAAGGCGCTTTGTCCCGTAAGATAGGGAAACGAGGTCGGAGAATGGGTGTGGCTATGAGCTGCAGGCTTGGATCGTTCAACGGAAGAGAGCAGAGCAGATGGGCCTTGTGGTTAGTGGAGTCGGTCAATGCGCTCTAGTACCAAATTTCCACTACAATGCGCCGAATGCAACACTGTTTAATTACACCGTCGAGTCGAGAACGCAACAGGAACGAGAGAAGTGCAGAAAGGGCGCGCCGTATGTGGTGAATGGCTAACTGGGTGCAAAGTGCTGGCGCTTCTGTCGGTCGTGGTCGAGTGTGTTGTCGCTGCAAAGACCAATGACGAAGTGGGGAAGACACACGGCTAAACATGAACACGGGTAGCAGCAACTTGTGCGTCTACCGCTACTTGGGAACGTACGTCGAGCTTATTTTCATGTCTGTCTCGAAATGCATCTGACATGTTGCATTCGTTGTATTGGAGTAAATATGCAAAAGATATGAATAGCCATTTCCACAGCTTGTCCGAAACGCCAGATAGTGCTGTACCATGCCCCGATACTTTTACATGCATAACATCTCAGCACTAGCTGATGAAGCAGAGGCAGCCTAGAGCCACGTAAAACACAAACAAGGGGTATACTGCGATGCCGACACGGTTCCTCACCACGCCCGACCCGCCCATGATGCTCACGCCTGCTGCCAACGACCAGGCGATGAGGACAAGGTAGACGGGGATGCGCACGATCATGGGTATGCCAACAGCACTGAGGATGGAGGCGATTACGAGCGGGAAGAGGGTGTAGCCGATGATGGAGATGGACTGGAAGAAGGCACTGGAGGGCATTAGTATAGGAAGGGTGTGGGATTGCAGAGAGGATATACATGTTGCCCCCGAGTAGCTTGATCTGCAGCGTCACGACTGCCTCGCCTATCCAGACCATGGCGAAGACGCCGGAGAAGACGAGGTCTTTCTGGTCGCCCTTTGCGCCCCACGAGAGGAACAGACTGAGCAGCAGGCAGAAGATGAGTGGGCCCCAGAGATCCCAGTCGCGCAAGCCCTCGCTCATGCCGCCCTGGAGGATGACATCTGCATCTGGCCATCGCCCTGCAATGTTCCTGAGGCCGCCGCCAAAGCCGTCGGCTTCACCGCGCTCTGCTGCGCCAATGCCTCCGCCACGCTGCATGATGCCGCCGAGCAGGTACTTGGGGTACAGGACCTGCTTCATCTTCTCCCAGATGGCGAAGATGTCGCGCGACAGCGTGTCCCATACCGTCTCGTCGATGGTGTTGGTGGGCGCGCGGCGGTCTTCGCCTGGAATGCTCGATGTCAGGTAGGATTGCGTCTGCGCAGCGCCGCGCTGCATGTTGCCCGTCAGCGGCGCGCGGTCCGACGTGCCCTGAAGAGGATCGTCGAGGTCATCGAGGGTAGCTGGTGGTGGTTAGCTCGTCGTCCATGGCCTCTCGTAGATGCATGCATGCGACACACCATCGTCGGGGTCAATCAGGTCACGCTCCACGGCGTCGTCGTCGTAGGGGTTGCCGGTCGTTGCGGCACTTGGCATCATTGCCGCCATGTTGGGCTCGAGAAAAGCCCTGCGTTCACGGGTCGCGGGCTAATTCTCCAATCGGCAGGTATCGTGGGTTGTTGGAGAGGCTCTGCTGTCCTCAATGCAACGCGCAAGCTCTCGGGAACCTCCATTTTGAGGGTGCGCTACTCGACTCGGCTAGCATCCCGCCGACAGGGAAAGCTTGACCGAGTTAGCGTGCAGGCCTTCACTGACTGGCGTCACTCCCATCTATTTAGCTCACGAGCCATGCATACTGCCCCTGCGCCCGTTTCGCCGTATTCCCCAGGCTGTATATATACTACTAACCACCACCGTCCGCCCTGATCCCATACCAGGAACAATTTCTACATCATGACCGACCCCGTGCTGAACGACATCTCCCACAGGCGCTTCAACATCCTACGAGGAAGCTGGATACTAGTTTCTCCGCACCGCACAAAGCGACCATGGCAGTAAGCATCTTGATGGCACTGATTACTCGATAGTCCACTGAAAACCTACAGAGGCATGCAGGAGTCTCCGTCCAAGACGACCCTCCCAGAATATGACCCAGAGGTATCCCTTCGCCCGGACTCTATCTTTATCCAATGCCAACACTAACCGTCCACAGTGCTATCTGTGCCCCTCAAACACGCGGGCAAATGGCGAACACAACCCCAAATTCGACAAAACTTTTGTCTTTGTCAACGACTACAGTGCCGTCATGGAAGAGCAGCAAGAGTATGACCCCAGTAGCAAGGACGGATCGCTCGCTTCTAGATTACTCCGCGCCGAGGCCGTTACTGGAAAGTGCTATGTTATCTGCTTTTCCCCTTCTCATAATCTCACTCTTGCCGATATGTCGCCGGCGCAGATCGTTCCTATAATAGAGACCTGGACGAACATCTACGTTGCACATCTGGATCCCAAGTCGCCACTGGCCAAGCTTGCATCCGCTACTACTCTCCCGCCCCTATCACAGGGCACTCTTGCAGTTCCGAATGCTCAGTATCGGTACATGCAGATTTTCGAGAACAAAGGCACAGCAATGGGCTGCTCAAATCCCCACCCGCACGGACAGGTCTGGACTACCACGTCCCTACCAGAAGAGCCTGCGTTGGAACTTGTACAGCTGAGTAAATACCGCAAAGAGCAAGGAGGCGCTCACATGCTCGTTGATTATGCCGAGTTGGAATCGAAAGAGAAGACCCGTACTGTTTTTGAGAACGAGAGCTTCTGGGCGGGTGTGCCTTACTGGGCAGTGTGGCCGTTTGAGATCATGGTCGTTCCTAAGCAGCACAAGCGGTCGCTGGTCGACTTTACCAAAGACGAGCGAGCACAGCTGGCAGAGTGTATAGCAGAGATTACGAGGCGCTACGACAACCTCTTTGAGACTCAGTTCCCTTACAGTAAGTCAACTACAGTTGGACTCGCAACACAGTGGCTAACAAAATCAAGGCATGGGTCTTCACCAGGCTCCTCTCAGTGGCACAGCTGATGAGATTGAGTCCAGCCATTTCCACATCCACTTCTACCCTCCGCTCCTGCGAAGTGCCACAGTCCGCAAATTCCAAGTTGGCTACGAGATGATGGCCGAGCCTCAGCGTGACATCACCCCAGAGCAGGCTGCAGAGCGTCTTAGGGCATGTGATGGAGAGCTTTACCGGAAGAAGCTCGAATCGGCCCCAGCCACCAACGGCGTAAATGGCGTAAACGGCGTGAACGGTGTCAATGGTGTTAACGGTGTCAACGGCGTGCACTAGAATATCATTTGCTAACTTATTCACTTTGCGTAAGAAGTTTCACATGCACATAAGCAGTTGAGGAACTCTTAGCCTGGTAGCTCATACGCTCACTGCACGCATATTAGAGACGGCGGGAGAGGTGATACCCAAGAAGAAAGCGATAAACGATACATGATAAACGTTGAGGGCTGTATATAGCGGGGCGCTGCAACGGCGTTTACAGGAAGACAGTACATTTCATAGGTTTTCAATACAAATTCATGCATAATCTTGTGAGCGACAGCTGTGGATGGAGTGTCCATGTGTGCAAGTCCCATGTGATGTATCCTTCGGGAAACGTCATAGGGCAGGTGCCCCACTACGAACTTGATCTCGACCCCGCTACCAGCCAGCAAGGCCCCAAGCTTCTCTCCAACTAGTCCACCACAACCACCTACATCTCTATACACCCTTTACAAACTACACGTATTACAGTAAGAAGCGCCCGATACCTACTGCCTGGAACAGCGAAATGGAGAGAGCTAATGCTTGTAATATAGACCAAAATGCCAGGAGCCAAGTACACCCAGACCTACCAAAAGGTCAGCGCCATGGGCGAGAAGCTCAAGGCGGCTGGCAAGCAGGGTCCTAGCAATGACGAACAGCTAAAGGTACGTCCTTCTTTTCTTTTGTTTCGGCTTTCCCGTTCTAGCCTAGTGTACTACTTGACTCCAGTTCAGATGCTAACTCTTGTGTGTGATTATAGTTGTACGCGTACGCCAAGGTAGCAGAGGGCAAAGACATCAACGACGCCAAGAAGCCTGGCATGTTTGATCTTGCTGTATGTTCTCGCATGCCTTCTCTACTCCTCCGTATTCTCCGTCGTAATATACCGCCTACATACCATTCCCCATACCTGCACTCACCGGGCAACTTCGAACAGCCATGTAGCGACACAAACTGACAGCATGATTAGGGCAAGGCCAAATACAACAAGTGGAAGGAGGTCGTCGATGCCGGCACTACGCAGAAGCAGGCCGAGGACGAGTACGTCAAGGCCGCCGAGGAGATACTGGCCAAGCACGACAAATAAGCGTCGGGTGATCGGAGAGACACTCGTGAGACTTTAGTATCACCATGGCTGTGTTATGCTATATATAATCTTGGAAAGTACAAGGACAACAAATGCTTCCATCAACGTGCTCGTATGGTCAGTGTACTAGTACGCTGCTAGCGAAATTGCCCAAGAATCTGCACGTACTCTACACGGCGGTTGCAATAGTGCTGTTATCAACGCCCATAGCCGCCCCAAGCGTGCCCATTCCTATCCGGTTCCAGATATTGCATGGTGGCACACCAAGGCTTCTCTTCAACATTGTAAGGACGAAGCGGCAGATCGTACGGCATGCGGAAGCCTACGACAGTCTCCGGCCCCAACAACTTCGTTCCTTCTGTTGCCATCTCTGCGTTGTAATTAAGGGCAGGAAGGTCGGCAGGCTCAGGCGTGTCAGCTCCAAACACTGGGATCACGGCGACTTCTTCTGATTGTGTCTGAGCATATAGGCCAGGCCAGATAACAACACCAGCTTCCCATGATTGTATCCAGACCTCTTCTTTCTTGTTCACTACATCGCCCCATGCTTGTTTGCTTAGGTTGGCGCTCGTCACCATTGCCCAGTCGATGGTTCTATGCTCTTCGTCGCCGAAGCGTATGTAGGTCTTGATATGTGGTGCCGCGGGGCCACGATGCGCCTGACGTTTCGGCAGACCATCAGAAGATACATGCTTCCAATGGCATAGTGTTGGATGCATGTACTCTAGCTGCTTTTGTTGCTGTGCTGATTGGAGTTTCCAGTGAATTGATCCACCAGACGCATAGCCATCAAGGGAGGTGCGAATTTCTTCTGGTGTTGGGAAGATGACACTGTATCTAGGTGACAACTTTTCTGGGCTAGACCCACGTTTGGCGAAGAAAGATGATGCCTTTGTGAAAGAAGGTGGGGGTTTCTCCGAGATAACAATTTTGGCTGTCGAACAACGGGCAAGCACTGATTGGAAGTTCGAGAGCCACGTCGGTGTTGCACCCAATGTCGCTATGGAGGATATTTGGGTAACGATGTGAGGGCGCGAGTCGTCTTTCGATCTCGAAACGGGGATACCAGAAAGTACTTCTCGTAGTCCTAGCCATCCAAATGAGGTTACCGAAGGACTGGCTGCAGCAGGCTTCTGTCGTGATGGCGCACTACCGATGAAAGCTGCCCTGATACTTGCAAAGTCATAGTCTGCGAGTTGTGTAGTCAGACCATTCAACCGTTTCCCGTATGCTCTAAGATACTGCAGTAAATCGACTTTGAAGCGTTCACCGCAGCCAATAGGGTGGACCTCAAGAGGATCTATCTGTGGAGTTGCTGCCTTGACTGAAACAGGCAACAATGGCGACTTCCACACTGCCTGTGTCATATTGGCCCAGTCGCGGTAGATCATATTGGCTGTATGAATGACAACCTGCGCAGTATCGTCATGTCGGAAGAGGATAAGCATCTTTGAGTGATCTGAATATGCGTGTAGGAAGTCAGTGTATGTCTCACACGTGGTTCGTACATGAGCGTTACTGACGGGTGCCAAAAGGATCTGGAATATATGCGCTCAGCAGCTCGATATTAGGATATTGTTCTGCTGTTTCCTAAGTCTTCGTTAAAATCTACAAATTAGACACGGAGTCAGGGAACTCACGAACAAGGAAATTCTGTTACTATCATCCTAGAAGATCCGTATTACGAAGTCAGTGTGTGTCTCACATAGAGTGTATACGGGGCATCTCTCACCCGCTTCCAAAAGCCATGTATGATCTTTACTTTGACCATATCCCTCACATCGCTATCGAAGTGCTGCCTAGACGACACCATTAGTGGAACTCATGTGGCAATTGTCTTGAGCATGCACTTACATGACAAAATCCAGATCAAACAAAAAGTTGAAGTTCCAGCATTCTTTGATCAGAGGGTCACCCAACAAATCTGACAAACTCACAGCGTCGACATTCTGGTGTGCAGACAGCTTCTCAATTTTGGTCAGTTGTATAGGCGAAGGCAGAAACCGTGTTTCCTCTTTGCGACTACTTTCGTTATCTGGTGGCTGATTCGTGGTTAGTCCAGCCGGGCGCGACGCCAATGTTTGTTCAGGTATGCTATCGAAGTTCCAAGTCGGCGTGAACGACGGTGGCTCAGGACTTTTGCGACGTGATAGTGGTGGGCTTATTGGCTTGTTGAGACTTGCGTGAACGGCAGGCTCCGCGACTTCCTGGTTCGAGGCATCGTCATCAAGCTTGCGGCGTTTTGGTGGCGGAGTAATCCCCGTCTGTTGGGACGCCATCAATGAGAGTGTGACAACGGTGATGATTTTGAAGTGATGCCTGCCCTGCGTAGTAAGAAGGTTGAAGACAGACCTGTTGACAGTAAGGCACGGACCAGCCGATTGGAGAAGGCAGTCACTTGCGTTAAACGAACAGGTGGAAGGAACAAAAACAAAACCCACCCTGGCCAGCCACATAACATCACAATAGGGCAAGCGTATAAATATCTTAGGGTAAATTGTGAATGGATATCATTCTCGGTCTAGGCCGTAAAGCTCACTTTTCAAAGCATGCGCTCATCAAAGGCTACAAACATACGCCATCTAATCGTGCTGAGCATCGTCTCCACGATGCTCGCTAGCGAACGCTGTGAAATGAAAACAGTATTATGCCTACACAAAACGAAAAGGCATCCCAAACGCCAGGAATCGCTAAATCGAAAAGGACAATGCTTTAGGCCGCGCTGGCGCTGAGCATGGGCTGCGCGACCTTGGTAACCTGGTTACCAGCCCGGATGATTGGGTTGCCTTGTTCGTCCTTGACGATGTTGACCTCCTTGTTCTCCTTTTGGGCGCGCTTCCAGATCTCGACCTCGCATCCACCACGAATGACACCCACCCTCATGGTAGAGAGTAGGTTGTGAGCAGCGTTGGAGTGGAAGTAGACACCGCCGTTGAACATAGCAGTGGCGTCCTTGCCAATGCCGCTCTTGATCAGAGTCTTGCCTCCGGGGTGCTCGTTGATGAAGTCGGTAACATCGTGTACAACACCAGCGACGGCAATCAGACCACGGCCGTTCTTAGCCTGCTCAACATAGTCGTCCCACTCGATGACAGGAAGCTGCTCAAGAGGTACACCCCAGTCGAGCTTGGCGCGCTTCTGGTCAATCTTCTTCTGAAGCTGCTGGACGCGACCCTTCTCGATCTCGTTGGCACGGAACTGCTTGAGGTTGGAGGCGAGACCGAGCTTGCTCCACAGCCAGATGGACCACTTGGTGGGGTCGTACTGGTGCCACTCGATAGCGTTACGGTAGTCAGAGGGGAACTCGTGGTGGAAGTTGTGGTAACCCTCGCCGAGAGTAACAAGGGCGGTGATGACGTGGTCCCTGGGGCTGTTGCGGTCGTCAAAGGGCTGGTCTCCGAGCCAGTGGGCAAGCGAGTTGACGCAGAAGGTAGCCTGCTGGACGAAGAAGATGCGGAGGATACCGGCGTAGATGAAGCCACCCTTCCAGTCGTTCCAGAGAAGACCAGCGACAGCCGAGGGGAAGATCAAACCCATGAAGATGACAACCTTGATGTAGTGCTTGTGCTGCCAGACAACGACGGGGTCCTCGTTCAAGTCGGTGATGTCGGTGCGGCCAATACGCTTGGGGTTCTGCTTCATGACCATCCAGCCAAGATGGCTGTAGAGAAGTCCCTTGCGGACGCTGTATGGGTCCTTGTTGGTGTCGGTGTAGCGGTGGTGGGCACGGTGGTCGCGGCTCCACCAGCGGATGGAACCCTCAACAGCACCGCCGCCAACAAGGGCAAGGAAGACGCTGAGTGGGAGAGAGGCGTTGTAGGACTTGTGTGCCCAGAGGCGATGGTAGCCAGCTGTGATGCCGAGACCAGTCCAGAAGTAGTATACGACGGCCCAGAGGGCGGTCTGCCATTTGAGAGGAGTCCAGAAGGCGGCAACGCAGCCAGCGAGAGGGATGCCGATGATGAAGGTAACCTGGGTCCGACGTTAGCCAATGCTGCGGGGTGCATGTTTACGAACAAACTTACGTTCAGCCAGTTGACGTGCTTGTACCAGTTGGCCTTGGTGATGGGCGTGTCGGTGATATGTGGCTTCTTAGGGTCGTACTTTGGGTTGCGGTTCGGCTCCGAGGTGCTCGCCATGGAAGACGGCTGCTTGACGTAGTCGGGGTCGACGGCCATCATGCCGGCGGTAGGCTGGTGGGAAGGCATACTGAGGGTGTGGTGGAAAGGTAGTAGTAGGGAAAGCGAGGGATGTCGAAGAAATTCGACTGGAAGCAACTAGCGGCTCAAAAAAAGATTGAGCTCCGGTTGGCCTCCGGTGGGTGTGAGTTCAAAGCTCCAACGGCAACGATGGAAAGCTTCACCACGTTCAAGTGAATGACGAGGTTGAAGGGGGGAGGGAAGGAACAGCGAAAGATGTCGGGTGGGAGGGAAAGCAGAGACGGCAGCCGCTGTTAATAAGGCGGCGGGATGGTTGCAGAGTCCCAACACTCTGCGGGCGTGTAAGCGAAAGACTGGGACCTTGCATTGTCGCTCGAGAACCAGCAATCGCCGTAACTTTTGTCATACCAAGGCTAGCGCCGCACACTAACCGCTGTCTCAGGGTCCCGCACAGGCAAAAAGACGGCGCTGGCTGTAACAGCGCGAGAAAATTTCGGGCCTAACTGTCAAGGTCGTGCTGATCTCGGCATCGAGAACAGACCTGGGTGGCGGTGCGTGGTGCGACGTGCAGAATATCCATCAATCCCAAGCCGCCACCTTCCCCAGATTCTAGCAATCGCTGCCCCTCGGCCGCACTATCCACTTGAGAGCTCTCTGTTGCTTCTTCTCGCCCTCGTCCTGCGAAGATGATCACAAAGAGCGGTCTGGTGCAAATCTTCGGCAGCGCATCCCGGCGAGAAGGATTGCCTTACTGGGCATAGAACCTCACGCCGTGGTGATGCCACAAGTCTCGTCATCGCTAGCTCGCTACCTGTCCTCTCCGCTTCAGGCCCCGCTTGGCCACGCCTGCATTCAAAGGATGAGCCCGATTCAAGCTGACACCACCCTCGTTCAGAAGTTTGTTGATATCGCTCTGCGTCCGCACTACCGATATCTTCTGCAGCCTTACGTAGGGTGCGGCCCGCCAACTCCAGCCAGTCTGGGGAACTTGGCTGCGACGACGTACTTCGAGCAGTGGCAAAATGCTCGTCTCCCGATGCATAGTGGAGCTCGTCCATGACTCTCGATGGCGCTTGAAGAAATTCGTCTATGCTGCAGAACGTTGGAGACTTTGAAGGGTCTTCTTCCGCTGGCGCAAAATCCCCGGCACGGCTTGAACCTCGGGTGGCCGGTCGCAAGCTCTTCTCGATTGGGATGGCGCTTCTCAACACCTGCTTTGTCTGTCTCCAAGCCATACAGACGACTTGTTCATATCAACCTCGACGCGCGCCCACCATCGCCGACTCAACACGATGCATCAGTCTGCGAATCAACGCACGCTCATCTGCCTCGGCTCTGTGGGTCTTCTGTGTCACACCCGCTGCACCCTCCAGTGTGGTCTTACGTTTATGCCATGAGGTCAGTGGTCGTCCCAACGCTTCAACGGGTAGGGCTGAAGGCAAACTGTTGGTATGCACGCGCGAGCTATGACGAGCCCTTCTTGCGAACGTTGGTTGTGGTACCCTGAATGCGTAGCCTTGTTCGACTTCTGCCAAGGCGCAATCTGTGACAAAGTCTGCCGTTGGTTATTCCTCGATGAGACGAATGCTTCTCCTCTCTCTTTGCAGTATACCAACACATCAACATAGTACCGCTTCTGTCATCTGGGGCTACCTTGGCATGTACCGTCTGTTAACGATAGCTGAATCCAGCCAGCCAGAGGTCAGCGGTCAAAGTGTGCGAATATCAGCACGATTGCTCGAGATGAACTTGCGCTCTCCAAATAGTGGGAGAATCTTGACATTGTATGCTGTTGGAACGAAACGAAGAAGCTGTTAGTAGTTTTGATGCAGTCCCCAAGGAGTCTGTTGTGGTAAGTGTCAGCCTGGTTGTCAGCGAGGCTCCGATCACCGGCTGTTACGCCAGTCTCCAAGAACACGAGTCCCCCCCAGAATGAATGCGCAAAGCACCGCACCATCGGTATCCGGCGAACAGGATGTTCTGACGACGTTCGGCATTAGATCTAGATGCACATTCACTTGATTCCAGTGTGGGAGGCGTCTCCCGCAATATCTCCTGCCCTCTATCGTCGGAGTGGACCGCCCGCTAAGCGGACTCCTAGGCGTCCACAACCAATCACGTATTCCCTGCCTATCAGTACAGGCGATCGCTTTAGCACATACGCGGGTGTCGCCCCCTCTGCCACTGCGAAATGCGCGCCTTAGCGACGAGTTTGCCGTGGAGAACAGTAATTGTTTCCGGCGGCTCACGACTATCTTCGGCCAGCTCCAATCTTTGGCGGTCCTTGAGTGCCTTGAATCTACGGCTAGGACGTTGTCGATGAACAATTGTGTATCGTGAGTACTGGCGCGAGAGATAATACTCCTTCTCCACATGTTCTATATAGATGAGGAGCCAGCTCCATCGGTTTGAGCCGTCACTCTGCCACACATCGACTGTTCCCACTTGGACTAAGGTTTCACCATCTTCACGTCACTTCCCCGCATGTCAAACTCCAAGTGAGAGATTCGAGTCTTTCAAGAGCCATCCTAGTGGTGAGCAATTCTGCACGCGATAGCCCGTAGCCGACCAAACGTTCCATCCGACCCTCCCACTGGTCGTGTAGTTCGATATCTTCAGCCACCTCGCCAATCTTATCGGGATCTTCAACATCGAGCGCATCCTTATCGGAAGTTCGACGACTAGACATATAAGAGTTGGCCTAAAATTTACACATCTGCTTCTGTTGGAACGCGCGCACCTGGCGTTCAGAGCCTGAGCAACCATGGCCGACATGATTGGTCCCGACCATACGCCAAAGCGAAGCTTTGGAGAGCAAGCAAGGCGCGCCATGAAGGCCTTCACGACCAAGTATGACCTCCTTTTGTGATTTGCCTGTAACCCTCTAACAACGTTTACAGAGATGGGTTAGTTGGCACCTACGACTACGGATTTCTCTTCCGGCCAAACCTGCCTTTTATGAAGAAGGAGCGAAGAGCAGCGCCCTTTTTCGGCCTTAATGATCATATGCCAGTACTACTGGCTCTCCTTCTCGGATTTCAGCATGCACTCGCCATGTTAGCAGGTGTCATAACCCCACCGATCATACTTGCCAACGCCGCCAATCTCAGTTCGGACCAACAACGCTACCTTGTTTCCACTTCGCTAGTAGTCTGCGGAATCCTATCCTCGGTTCAAATCACGCGCTTCCACATCTGGAAGACCCCGTACTACATCGGTACAGGTCTAATTTCAGTTGTTGGTACATCTTTTGCGACTATTCCCGTGGCGACTGGCGCGCTTAGCCAGATGTACGCGACTGGATATTGCCCAACTGCTGCTGATGGCACAAGACTACCGTGCCCTGATGGATACGGTGCTATTCTCGGTACTTGTGCTGTATGCGCGTTGCTGGAAATTGGCATGTCCTTTACCAACCCGCGTATCCTCAAGAAGGTTTTCCCACCCCTAGTTACCGGTCCTACAGTTCTGCTCATCGGTGTCCATCTCATCGAAACTGGACTCCAAAACTGGGCCGGCGGCTCCGGTGACTGTCAGTCCCGCCCGGAATCTGGACTCTTCGCGCTATGCCCCAACATCAACGCTCCTCATCCTCTTCCCTGGGGTAGCGCTGAGTTTATTGGTCTTGGTTTCAGTGTCTTCATCACCATCATCATCTGTGAGCGGTTTGGCGCACCCATCATGAAGTCCACTGCCGTCGTCATCGGACTCCTCGTCGGATGCATAATCGCTGGTGCAACCGGCTACTTTGACAAGTCTACCATTGACGCGGCGCCTGCTGTATCCTTCATCTGGGTCAATACCTTCAAGCTCTCCGTCTACGGGCCCATAGTACTCCCGCTCTTGGCGGTTTACATGGTTTGCGCCATGGAAGCCATTGGTGATATTACCGCTACCTGCGATGTTTCGCGCCTCGAAGTCGACGGCGAAATGTTCGACTCCAGAATCCAAGGTGGTGTCCTCGCTGATGGCCTGAATGGTATGATTGCTGCCCTGTGCACTATTACCCCTATGTCTACCTTCGCACAGGTAAGTTATGACTGTACGAAATGCATGTGAGGCATACACTGACTTCGCATCTCCACATCTGTAGAACAATGGCGTGATAGCTTTGACCCGTTGTGCCAACCGGAAAGCTGGTTATGCGTGTTGCTTCTGGCTCATCATCATGGGGATTTTTGCTAAATTTGCTGCGGCCCTTGTTGCTATCCCATCAGCAGTTCTCGGCGGAATGACGACCTTCCTCTTCAGCGCTGTAGCCGTATCTGGTATCAGAATTATAAGCACCATGCCCTTTACCCGCCGCAACCGCTTCATTCTCACTGCGGGATTCACACTGGGTTTTGGTGCCACTATGGTTCCCGACTGGTTTGATCATGTTTTCACATACGACGGACCAAACCACGCACTCCAGGGCTTCTACAACGCTATTGTCTTGATTCTGGAGACTGGTTTTGCCGTTGTTGCTCTAGTCAATGTCATACTCAACCTTGTCTTACCAGAGGAGATTGAGGATGAAGAAACACCAGAGTTGACTGCGAATGAAGTTGATGAGCCAGCGGACAAGGAAGAGTGGGCGAGGATCAGGAAGGGAGCCACAGATGTTGAGGGACGACCGAGTTCGGATATTGAGCCTAGCAAGGCTGCATAAGCGTCGTTTGAGCTGTCTGGTTTTACAAAAAGCGGGTTTTCATGCTTAAAAGGCATGTCGGCGTTATAGTGTTCTGGTAGTTTATGTTTATAAAGAGACTGTTCATCGTCACTTCTACCCGAGGCCGCCCAGGTCACCTCACAATGCCAACGTGCACCACGAACCCACTCCCCTCCTTCAACCCCTCACCTAGCATGCTATCAGGCACCTGCCAGACATGAAAACTTCGATGAAAGCTTTTCAACCAAGTTTCAAAGACTTCTGGACTACGTAGCTGCTGCGCTATCAGACATAGCGTGGGGCTCCCACTTCCCTCTTTCAGCCTACATAGTGCAGCACACGTTGCATTGAGCGGCTCAACGAGGGCTTCGTTGTAGACACAGTCACACGCTACGATCATATCCACAGGGTTGAGATGAAAAGTGGCGTCTGTCTCCCAGTCAAGCTCCAATGTTGTGATGCGGTCGATACCGCCGCCACCACCACCACCACCACCACTCTTTGAGTGACCCTGATGTTTCTTACTCCCCCTCCCACTGTTTTTCTTCACTGGTATCACAGTACCGAGGTTTTCGGCGATGTTCTGCCGAAGCAGTTTAAGCACGTAGTCTTGATCGGTGGCCGTATAGCTTGCTACTCGGGAACCCAGGCAGAGCGCCACGATGCCTGATACACCTGCGCCGAGCTCGAGTATGGTGGAGCTGGGCGTGATCAACTGATTTGTGAAGAGGAAGTTTGTAGGGGAAGAGATCCATGTTGCGAATAAGGGTGTGACTTTCCATACCACTGCATTAGTGTTAGTCGGCGTAAAAGGAACGAAAGGCAACAGTTGTATCGTGATGGCGACAATTATCATGGATTCGCTGGCCTATCTACTGCACGATAGTATAGTTCAAAAGCAACGAGCTCTTTCGTACAGAGCTACGAAGCTGACATGCTTTTTCGCGGGAACTCCCAAGGAAAGCCAGACTCAGCTGAGTTCTGAGAAAGGCTGGGACAACGCATGACCCCGGAGATCATCACAGCAGAACTTACTAGCACCAGTAGTCCCCTCGCTACGATTTGAGGTCAAGAGACCCTTTGAGTGATGAATGACCAGATCATGGCCCGCCACCGTAATCTCTAGGGTTGGGTCCTGCGAATCGATGAAACCGAGTGACTGAGAAGGGATATCTTGCGAGAAGACGACGAAGGCTTCTGCATGATTTGATGAGTGATGTATCGATGATGACCACTTTGTTGTTTTTCGACATTTTCCACATTAGAAATGTGTAGGAGCGAATCGCAAGGAAAGAGCAGTACGATCAGCCGAGGACCAGCGTAGTGTTGTGATTCGATGGTGAGATTCCAGGACACCAGGGGCGTCTTACATACCTTCTTCAGGGTCCAGGATAGGTTCCGTTGCCAGAATCTCCGTGATGAGACTCCGCATCTTGGCAACGCTCAGGCGACAGCGGGTTGCGAGTATGCGCACGAGCCTTGTGCCTGGTGAAGGTTGGCACTCAAGCGAAATACAGCGTCAGAAGGAGGCTGCGCGGCTTGGAAGAGTCTCTGGCTTGCTTGGCCAGCTGAAGACGGGCGCAACTGCACTTGGACGACAGGTGACGTCGAGCAGGTTTCAGACACACAAACGACGTCCAGGCAGGACGACAGGAGGCTGACACGACCTGGCAAACCTTGCGATGTGTGCTGCGTTGTCGATCTTCAGTCGCATCTCGTTCGACAGAAAAGAAGTGGAGAAGCGGCTAGCCCCAGTTGCCCAGAGCTTGCGGTGGCTTAGTGAGGTCATTGCCTAAGAAGCTCGGCCGCCCAAGCAAGTCGATTTAGCGACACGAGCATAACATAGCGCATAAGCTCCCCAACACACCAACCTCATCACATCCGCCATTCTCCGCTGGCGACGACACACTCTACTTATACCCTCTCGCTGCTGCTGGCACTTTTTGTGATACCCTTTGCCCTATACCCCCACATATACCCACACTCAACACACACGATTGTCGCTCTGGACAGCTCCCACCCCAGAGTCGCCAAGATGCCGCAAGACCTCAAGAAGCTGATGCCCCAGGCCAAAATGTACCGGTCGGGGCCCTACACGTGCGAAGCTGCGAATGCAGAAAAGGTAGAAGGGGAGACAGTCCCGCGCCGCAACCTGGCCGCGAAAGAAGGCCTGATAATGAAGCCCCACGACAACGTAGCCACACTGTACGACGTTCTGCGACACTCAGCCGCCAAGTTCGGAAACGCAAAGGCAGTCGGTGCGCGCAAAATCGTCAACGTACACGAGGAGACGAAGAAGGTCAAGAAGATGGTCGATGGCAAGGAGCAGGAAGTAGATAAGAAGTGGCAGTACTTCGAGCTCAGCCCGTACAAGTACAAGAGCTTCGTCGAGTTTGAGAAGATGGCTCTCTCGGTAGGCTCGGGACTCAAGTCGCTCGGCTTCAACCCACAGGACAGGCTGCATCTGTTCGCCGCTACAAGCATGCAATGGCTTGCGTCCGCACATGGTAAGTAGTCGCGTGTATGTATGCAAAAAGCAACAACTAACCATGACTCCAGGCGCCATCTCCCAATCCATGGCCATTGTTACCGCATACGACACACTGGGAGAAGAGGGTCTCAAGCACTCCATGCTCCAGACCAACGCGAAGGTCATGTTCACAGACCCAGAGCTACTGCCCAGGCTCGTCAACCCAATGAAGGAGGCCAAGGATGTTCAAGTCGTCGTGTACTGCACCAAGAACGACCCCAAGCAGAAGGACATCGACACCCTCACCCAGGCCCACCCGCACTTGAAGGTCATAAGCTTCGACGAGCTGGTCAAGATGGGCGAGCAGAGCCCTGCAGAACCCATCCCACCCAAGGCCGACGACCTGGCTTGCATCATGTACACGTCCGGATCTACAGGTACCCCGAAGGGAGTTATGATCAAGCACCGTAACGTCGTTGCTGCTAGTATGTCACATACCTCAAAATCATTAACAGCCTACTGACAGCTTCTAGTTGCTGGTGTCGACGTCATCGTTGGCAAGTACCTCGGACCAGGCGATGTTCTCATTACCTACCTTCCCGCCGCGCATATTCTCGAGTTTGTCTTTGAAAATGCCGTACTCTACTGGGGCGGTACTATGGGTTACGGAACCATCAGGACGCTCTCAGACCAGTCGGTGCGCAACTGTGCCGGTGACATCCGTGAGCTGAAGCCGACTGTTATGGTCGGTGTGCCTCAGGTGTGGGAAACCATCAAGAAAGGCATCGTCAACAAGGTTGAGGCAGGAGGCGCTGTCAAGAGTAACATGTTCTGGGGTGCGTACGCTGCCAAGGGCTTTCTTCTTGGCTCCGGACTACCTGGCAGTGGTATTCTTGACGCCATCGTCTTCAACAAGGTCAAGGAAGCCACCGGTGGCAGGCTCCGAATTTGCATGAACGGTGGTGGACCCATCGCGAAGGAAACCCAGCGCTTCATCTCTATCGCCATTACGCCCATGATCAGCGGATACGGTCTGACTGAAACCTGCGCTATGGGTGCGCTCATGGACCCCTTGGCTTGGAACGAGCATGCTCTCGGCGAAATGCCTGGTTCAGTCGAAATGAAGCTCGTCGACTTTGCAGACGCCGGCTACTTCTCCACTAACAACCCACCCCAGGGAGAGATCTGGATCCGTGGTGGTGGTGTTGTGGACGGTTACTTGGACATGCCTGAGGAGACCAAGGAGGCGTTTACCGACGACGGCTGGTTCAAGACTGGTGACGTCGGAGAGTTTAATGCCAACGGTGAAATCCGCATCATCGACCGTAAGAAGAACTTGGTCAAGACGCTCGCTGGAGAGTACATTGCGCTTGAGAAGCTCGAGTCTGTCTACCGCTCAGCGCCCATTGTTGCCAACATCTGTGTCTATGCTGCGGAAGACCGTCAGAAGCCTGTCGCTATTATCGTGCCTACCGAACCGCAACTCAAGAAGATTGCATCGGCAGAAGGTGTCAGTGGCGACTCTTTGGAGGAGCTAGTTCACGATAAGAAGATTAACTCTGCTGTGCTCAAGCAATTACAGCAAGCCGGTCAAAAGGGCGGCCTGGCTGCCTTCGAGATGATTGAGGGTGTTGTATTGGCAGACGAGGAATGGACACCACAGAACGTAAGTACCAATGCGACACGCAAGTAAACCTACAACATGCTAACAACATATCAGGGTCTCACCACTGCTGCACAGAAGCTCAACCGCAAGGGCATCTTGAAGCAATACCAGAAGGAAGTTGACCAGGCTTACGGCAAGTCGTCGTAGAGGCATGCCGTCAGAGGCGCGAAAACGACGTTAGGCATCATATCTTGTTGCAATGCTTGGGTTGTTGGCTATTTTCTTATGATTATATGAACCCAGTTGCGGAGTCTTCTATTCTGAGTGGCGGAGCAAGCGTTGTAATTATATCCTTGATGCTATAGCATGGCGCAAAGCTTTTGGTTGTTTGAATGCGTAGTGTACTTAAGGTACTATCCACAAGTTTCCATCAATGCCCACTAAAAATGACGAAGAACTGTTCCTTTGTGCGTTTATACATTATATCGACATACGAGGGGTGGAAGGTGGTGAGAGCCGTCTCATGTCGCTTCGTAGCGGCTTCGTTCTTCGGCTCGTGTGAGGTGAATTGTGATGGGAATCAAAGGTAAGGACTTTTTGTATGGGCGCACATATAGGCAAGTGTAGATAATATATCCAATGGGTTCAACGTTGTACTACGTTGATAGCTGTGCGCCATCTTATTGCTTCTTGGCGTCCCTCTCAGCCTTCCGAAGCGCGCGTTTCCGGATGTTCTCGTGCATGCCCCTGTTCACCTTGACTACAGTATCCGAACGCTCACCCAAGAAGCGCGAAAGAAACCAGTGCATGAGTCCGTGACTCCAGTATGGCGTACTTGTGAAAGCCACACCCTGTGCACCTCCACTTCTTCCAATCTTGCTCAGTGTGGCGTTTACGAACTGCTTGGGGTTCGGCACAAGGGCGGATGTCTTACGGATTTTGGACATGGCGGTGGTGACGAGGTGGGATTGGACGCACTGAACGTATACGCCATGGGGCTCAAGCTCAGAAGCAAGCGCGGTGGACCACTGTTGTAGGAATGCCTTGCTGCCAGAGTAGGTTGCGAGGAGGGGCGTGGGGAAGAAACCGCCAAAGGATGCCATGGTGAGGACGAGGCCACGCTTGCGAGACATCATGCCGGGGGTAACAAGCTGCGTGACGCGTAGCGTAGCCATACAGTTAATCATGATGATGTCGTTCATTTCCTGCTTGGGTGTCTCGACAAATGGCACGGGGATGCTGTGGCTCAAGCCGACGTTGTTGACCAGTATGCTAACATCCAATCCTTCGATGAGCTTCTTCATGTTGTTGTAGTCGGCATCCTTGTTCAGCGCAAAGTCCATGGCCAGCGTCTTGACGGCGATTTTGGGGCCATACTTGGAGGTGATGTCGGCAGAGAGGGCGTCGAGCTTCGATTGCGTGCGCGAGACGAGGATGAGGTTGTAGCCCTTTGCTGCAAGGGAGAGGGCGAACTCCTTGCCAATACCGTCTGAAGCCCCAGTGATGAGTGCCCAGGTACCGCGGGGTCCGAAGGTGCTAAGCTGGCGGGGGTTAGGTATGCTCTGGGGAAGTAGAAGAGTCATGTGGAAGGGCTGCATACCGATTTTCCTGGGAGCACGAACAAGCTCAGGAGAACCCGGACAGTGCTGACAATGGGTGCTGCGAAGGATGCAATGCCGACAAGCAAGAAGCCATAAACGGCAGCCTGCACAAAGGAGTTGCTCGCATCGATGTGAACACCAAACGGCTCGAGGATGGCTGTCATGATGGGCGGATGCTAGGGTGACCAGAGGTTGGTGGTTGGGGAGGTGAGGTCAAGGAAGAAACGCAAGCGGCTGCAGCACCCAAGTTCGCACGCTCTGTCAGTCGTCGCGACTGTCTTCTCACTTCTCGCCTGGCTTCGCTCTAGGCCCTGCCGAGGCTGGCGGGACTAGCGCGACGCTAGGCGTCGGCACCGGAGAAACCTGTCGTCCACACTTGCTAAGCGTAAGCGAAAGTCAGAGTGGAAATTGTGTCCAGCAACATCGAAAGCTCGACAATACCACCCGACCCGCAACCATGGCGACCGAACTCACGTACGTTGTGCGAACCCGCGAACAAGACTGTCGACAAATGCTGATTGCGAAATAGTGTCCAGTCGGAGCGCGCTTTCCAGAAGCAGGTACTAGACGCCCGTTTCGCGATTTCCCAGCACACACGGTACTAATGCGATGCGATAGCCTCACATCTTCCTCAACCACAAGGTCGGCGGACCCCGCAAGAACACCCGCAACAGGAGATGGTACAAGGACGTTGGTCTGGGTTTCCGTACCCCCAAGACCGCCATTGAGGGTACCTACATCGACAAGAAGTGCCCATTCACCGGCATGGTCTCCATCCGTGGCCGTATCCTGACCGGAACTGTCATGTCCACCAAGATGCACCGTACGTGAATACCCAGGTCCGGAGCGCACACAGGGCTCGGCCAGCACCACAAGAAAACGCTTGGCAATGGGGACTAACGCAGTGCAGGCACCTTGATCATCCGCCGTGAATACCTTCACTTCATCCCCAAGTACTCCCGTTACGAGAAGCGCCACAAGAACCTCGCCGCACACGTTTCTCCCGCTTTCCGTGCTGAGCCCGGTGACCAGGTCGTCGTTGGCCAGTGCAGGCCCCTCTCCAAGACCGTCCGTTTCAACGTTCTCCGTGTCCTCCCCCGAAAGGGAAAGGCTGCTAAGCAGTTCAACAAGTTCTAAGTGCATAGAAAAGGGATGGTGTAACGGTTCATGATCAACAACGGAAAGAAACTTGGTTGAGGCGGAGCGTGATGGTTTTCGATATGGTCGTCAAAACTCGGCATCAAGGGTTGAGGAATCGGAGTCCCATGGGCCATGTATGTTTCTTCAGCTACGATCAATGAAAGTCCTCGAGTGGTCAAACAAGCCACCGAGGCGGGTCAAAAAGTCCATTGCTGTTTGTATTGGATCGTGATGAGTTCTAGTCAACGTAGCTTGCGTTGGGAACTCGAGTTCTCTTCATGCCCGATCCTACCATGACATGCCCTCGATCTAGGTCGTGAGAATACTCCATGCATCAAGGCATCCGTGTATAGATTAACATTACATCACCATCTTTTATATCAATACCCAGTGTTCTCCCCCCTGTCTCTCTAAGCCTTTACGTAGAAATTCCACTGCATGAACATCCAGATCAGACTTGAAGTCGCTACCATCACCGGTCCAGCCAACGGCTTTCCCCATCTTGTCGTCCCGAACACGAACCATTCACTCATGAAGTGTCCCCATGCTACGGCATAAGTGGCGATAGCCAATTGGTAGAAACTAGGGTTGTTGATGTTGTAGGCAGCGTAGAAACGTACCACGCCCGTCAAAAAGGTCCATGTCCCAAATGTGCGTGAAGAGAGAGCGGTTACGTGTTTTGGCGTAGTAGGTGGTGGGTCAATTGGAGTAGGGTTGTAGACGCGCGAGGTGAAGGACAGCGTGGAGTAGCATTGGATACTGTTTCCGATGGAGATCAGAGAGACCTGCGGAGATTGTTAGCTGGCCCAACTGGGTGGAGAGACGATGTAAAGGTGACAATTGTAAGGTTGCAGAACAAAACGTACGATCAGAAGCCATTTGGGTAGCAGACCCTCTGATTGAGGGAGGTAGGATTGAAGCACATCCATTACAGTGAGCAATTGGGTGCTTAGATGGCAGTACGGCGTTCGAGAATTTGTGCGCACGTCGAGCGTTGGATTTGGGACGTTTGGGACGTGTTCAGCCTGGTACAAATGCGAGAGCACCGAAGGGTCTTGGTCTGTGCCCCTGAGTCGAAGACATTTGGATTCATTCCTCAACTCACAGTCATGGACCTGTCCTCGCAATACGGGAAAAAGAAAGGACCAGAGTTTCAGCGACTAAATGTAAGCATTCTATGTGAAAGGGTAATAGGAACGCGTGTTGAGGAAACGGGGTCACGCATAGTTGGAGGTGCACAACGCGCGTCTAAAGTAAGACCAGACTGTGTAACGATAAATTGAAAAGTACTACTAAGGAGATTGATATCTGAAGTAACACTGCTACTACGTTATCATTCAACAATGTGCTCAGTGGAAAATTGAGGCACCAGCGCGAGGTTGTAGATACGAATGCTTTTATCGATAAGGCTTAGAGAAAATACTGATGCTTCAATATCTCGCCCCAGACCATAATGACCATCACGATATTTCTTATGCATATATTACGCGCCGGAGGTGATTATGCTCATGTCTTTACAAAATGGATCAGACGATGACCACCATGATGAGGAGAGGGGCGACCCTGTATCCGGCGCGGCAAACACGGATGAAGAAGCCCACCTGTTAGGAAGGGAAGAGTTGGATTTTGAGGACTATATGCCACCTACGCGTGCCAGTCGACACACATTCTTGAGTTTCTTGCGCAGTCCAGAGCCGCCTCGCGTCCAATCCATACAGCCGATCTTCCCGTCGGTTCAAGCGCGCCCAGTACAGTGGCTTGAAGCATACAGGCTCAACAACCCTATTTCGCTCGTTATCGTGCTGCTCGTGTGGCTCCTGGTTTTCATATGGTTTCTGACTGCCCAATTACCGCTTCGAGATGGGGACGGTAACAGCGTGCTCAACCTCGACTGCACAGATACACTCTGGAAACGAAAGAACGAATGCGGTATCGACGGAATCAATTGCCGGCCCTTCAGCGACTATTCTTTCGCCTTCCAGTGTCCAGCAAAGTGTGGAGGTGTGCAGATCCTGAATCCGCATGTTGTTGGGCCGCTTGAAGTAAATTATCGGCCTCTTGTCATCGGCACAGAAGTTTATCGTGGAGATAGTTTCATCTGTGGCTCAGCGATCCATGCTGGGATTGTAGATGATCAGAAAGGTGGTGCTGGTCGTCTAACCCTCGTTGGCAACTATGACAATTTTGCCAGTACCAAGCGTCACGGCATCGAATCCTTGCCTTTCGATTCCTACTTTCCGCTAGCTTTTTCTTTGGCTTTCGATGACAGCTTCCAGGCCATCTCTGATCCTCGATCAGCATTGCTTCCCATCTCGATTCTATTTACTGCCGTACTTGCTATATTCTCCACATCGCCAAAGATCTTCTTTCCAATCTTTACTCTCATATTCGCCCATGTGAGCTTTTTTTCTGATCCACCGTCGGCATCGTATCACAATACCACTGTACTGCCAGATCACATATCCATGTTCACAAAACGACTTTTACCGGCAATGTTCGTAGCAGTAGTGTTGTACTCTACTGTCATTAAGCGAACCTTGTCTGGGCTGACTGCTCAGTTTGAGAAAGCAATCTTCTGGCTTGGTGGATTCTGGATTGGAGCGTTATCAAATTACACCTTTGATTGGATACCTATATCGCGACTTACGGCACACGATCTGGAACAACAACCGGGGGCGAAGATAGCCTTGGCCGCAATTATTGTGGTACTGGCCGTAATCATTGTGGGTCAAGTATACTACTTCTGGCTCGAAGGACGCCTGCTCCGATACCTTGGCTTGTACGGAATTTTCGTTACCAGCATCTTAATATGCTTGGTTATACCAGGTGTCAATCTGAGAATCCACCATTACATTCTTGCGATGCTGCTGCTGCCCGGAACCAGCCTTCAGACACGGCCATCCTTGCTCTACCAAGGCATTCTATTGGGCCTCTTTGTCAATGGAATAGCGCGTTGGGACTTTGACTCTGTTCTGCAGACTTCTGCAGCACTTCGCGATGATGCAAAGTTCAACTCGGTCGTTCCCAAGATACTGAATGCTGTTATCGAGTCCGATACCGAGGGGACCGTTGCGACATTTTCGTATGACGTACACCCGATCGGAGTCAATGGTATAAGTGTTTTAGTAAACGACGTTGAGCGCGATCGTACGTTCTACGATGGTGGGCTAGTTGCGGCTTCCTTCAAATGGGATCGGCCAATTGACAAAAGGATAAATGAGTACTTTCGTTGGGCATATGTCATAGACGGGCGAACGCTTGACTATTCAAGGCCAATTACATGGTATGGTACTGGTACGTGGAGCAATGGAGGCTCGATGGAAAAGAAATGAGAACTGTTGGCTGCACTGTTGCATTTATGAGATTACCCAAGGCCTAGGCTCATGTTAGTGTGGCATGGTGGATCTCCATGGTCTCATCTCTTCGAAAATTTCAACCGTTGTAATCAAGAGAATACGCCGGGGTTTGGTTGTTGTTATCTTTCGGATTTGGAGACCCGTCATTTGCTATAGGTGGCATCGAACCATGGTATCAACTCCATAAACCCCGCCTTCATCGTCACAAAGCCCACATCACTATACGGTTCAGCCACGAGAGACAAGTTTATCCAAAGGCATCTACGCAGCTTTTCTTCTTTCATCATTTCCTCCTTCCCTTCCTCCCAGACCAACCTAGCCTTCACTCACTACTATCCAAAATGGTAAGTCGCAACTGTCGTATGCTTCAGCTACAACGCACATTACTTCGTCCAAATGAATGACTGTCTTGTTTGAACCAGTTGTGTGGTTTTTCTTGACAATCACAGGGTGTTCTTCGATCATACGTGCACAAGTTTGCAATCTATACTGAATTTCAAGTAGCACGGAATACTCCTCACAGCCACCGCTGCGCTTTCCACACTGGTTCCTCGCCAGATGCGAAACTGCCCCTCTACACCAACATGTCCTCGATGGAACGGCTGTGTATCAACCTCCACCAACGGTGCTGTATTCCAGCTCAGCTGTGCAACCGACTACAACGGCCCCGTCATTGACGCTGCGCAGGTGAACTAAAATCGAAACGAAGTCCAGATGAAATACTCACATCAATTTAGGCCGATGCGTTCGTCGACTGCGGAGATGCTTGCTCTCGACGTTCCGGTTGTGTTGCATTCAATATGAAAGATGGTTTCTGCTACCTTCTTGGCAAGCCCGTTGGAACTGCCCGAATCTCGTGGGTCGATCGCTAGCGCATCGGTACTTCTTAACACTGTTCGGACATGTTCCATAGCTCTAACAACGTAAACGCCGGCGTACAACTCAAGGCCCCGACCGACCCAGAGCTAGCTCCTGGCTCTTCGACGTGCACTACGGTGATCGACTGCCCCACCAACGACAAGTGTAGGTACCTTACCAACAGCAAGTCGTTCATCGCCGAATGCAACTATGACTACTATGGCGGAGACATCGCTCTCAAGTCAACTGATACCATGACAAAGTGTGTGGATGAGTGCGCCATCTTCCCAGGATGTGTTGCCGTCACTTGGGTTGATAGCAACTGCTACCTCAAGAACAATAACACCAAGATTGTCTACAACAACGACGTGGATAGTAAGTAGTTTGTGTACTTCCCGTTCCTCTCATGAAGCTAACACAAGTTCAGGTGTCGTCCTTGAAGTCTAAATTTCACGTTAGGAAGAGAAGCCAGATACTGTCAACACCGCGCGATATCCCCAAATGGATGAACACATTAGCGCCAGACGAATCTGGGGTCGAAGAGGGTGTAGATTATTGGACTTTCTAGGTCATTGAAACGTCTTTGGGCTCTCTTGCCTTCTTACCTTGCTGCATAACGACCCACGTTCATGCTATGTCAACCAAGCAGTGAATAGCAGGAACTAAACATTCATTTCGGTATCCATCCTCGAGTGCAGTATCGATGCTTTCGTAACTCTTGCATGCCGCGAATATATAGACGGAAGTGTTAATGCTTGATACGCTTATCATGAGCTGGCTTTAAGGGCTAATCATAGTGTCGAGGAGTTAGGCTGATGTCTAATGCTAGGGCAAAAGGAAAGTAGATCGACAGTAACATGATCAGAGCGACCATTTTGCCGTGATCTACCCGTCATTTGGTCTTGATAACTGTAGCGACTATACAAGCCTCTCGCTGCAATCGAGCATTTTCTACGTTTTCTCTAATCTTTTCCCGTGCGTACGTTCGTGGTTATACATGACGTCATTGTACGTTGCTGAGTAGCGTAATCCAAAGAGATCTATGGATAGTCCCCCCAAAAAATCTGGGATACAGCGTAGGATAAGATGCTTTAGCGAAAACGTTGAAGATGAGACTGTGGCCTCGGGTTCGGGCGCAAAGGTGGCGGCGATCATGATCGCCGTTGATAGCCACCCCACTAACGGCGATGGTGACTCAACCAACCAGGACCTATATAATCAAGATGATAAGCACGAGGGCTTCAATGTAGCCTTACTCTCAATTACCATCTCGATGGCGCTCCAAAGCTTCTTTATCAGCGCTATCGCAGCCTACCCCACAGTGACCTTATTCTTTGCACCGTTCCTGCTCCTGTTCATTCGTTCCATATATCGCGTCTACTTCCATCCGCTATCTCACATTCCAGGAACATTGTTACCCAAGTTGACTAGCATATTCCTCCATTATCACGCTTATATCGGAGATGAAGCAAGCACCATCCACAAGCTCCACGAACGGTACGGCCCGTACGTGCGTGTCGCACCCAATGAAATTGACATAAGCGACGCGGATGCTATACCTGCAATCTATGTTTCAAAAGGAGGGTTCCCAAAAGCGGCATGCTACGCCAATTTTGATATCGACGGCCACAAGACTATCTTCTCGACGGTTGATGCGGATTACAGGAGTCCGAGGGCAAAAGCCGTTGTCCCACTGTTCTCTACCAAAGCGCTCAGAGAGAACGAGAAAGCTATCTGGGGGTGCGTGGATCGCATGATCGAGCGGCTAAAGGAAGAATCAAAGACAAGAAGGCCGGTCAACGTGCTTAATCTAACGCGAAGCTTGGCTGTAGACGCAGTTTCCACGCATCTTTTCCGGGAGAACTACGATGGAGTCAGCGAGCGCGGTCCCGTACTCAGTGTAAGCGCATTCGTAGACGCATTTGTAGCGGTCGGCCGCTTCTTCTACCTCCCAAATATCGCTTTCGTATGGCTAGAATGGGCCGTCGGTAAATGGATGCCCGACCCTGAGACCGAAGACAGCATGATGCTGGTCGAGAAGTTTGTTTCTGCCTTGGTAACCAACACCTCCGAGAAGTCAACGACCTATCCAGGACGTCTACTAGCCGCCGGGCTTAGCGACTCGGAAGTCAAAGCGCAGTGCAAGGATCTTGTCTTTGCGGGTACAGATTCCACGGGAATGAACTTGGCTACGATCATGCTGAATCTAGCATTTTATACCGAGAGATACGAGACACTAAAGGAAGAGATCAGGAGTAATGCTGCCCTTGGTTCTGATGCACAAGAAGTCCAAGCGTTGCCCTACCTCAACGCTGTTGTCAAGGAGGGTCTTCGAATTAGCATGGCCAATCCGACGCGTTTGCCTCACGTTGTACCTACGGGAGGCTGGACTTTCAAATCCACCTACTTCCCTGCTGGCTCTGTTGTCGGCTGCTCAGCCTTTGAGCTACATTTCAACCCGACTGTCTTCCCCGAGCCTCGCAGTTTCAAGCCCGAGAGATGGTTGAACCCGACGGAAGCGATGTCAAAGTACTGGTTCGCATTTGGGGCAGGTAGCCGAGCGTGTATCGCAAGAAATTTGGCAACCTTGGAGTTACAGTTTGCGACAGAGCGATTAGGGAAGAGTGGTGTCCTTGATGGAGCTAAAGTGATGCAACAGGAAGTTGAGATCTATGAGTGGTTCAATTCAAAAGTGAAAGGCGAGAGAATTGACTTGGTCTGGAGATAGACAACAAGGCTCTTTGATGCATTTGGCTGCATGGAGTCTTCAGCGTACAGAATCAATAGACACTTCATGAACAGAAGAAAGCTGAACTCTTGATACCGACGCCTGTGCGTGCTGCCGTTTGATCGGAAAAATCTCACAGGTTTATGATTTCAAGCATCATCATAGCTCTTGCACCTGAATAGAAGACACCAAAGAAACAGCAACACAGAGAACCACACGACACAGCAAACACGATTATTAGAGTAACACCTCTAGTACAGAGCAGCATTGACGGAGTGAAAATCAATCGAACAAGTGACCTCTTCCTAGGGCTTTAGATCAACGACAACTCTACCAAGGGTTGTCAAAGCAAGAAGTAATGTGCCTCGGTGAAAGGTAAAAGACAATTGATGAACACACACATGTGTCGAGGCAAACAACCCGAGAAACTGTAGAAAATGTGTGGTATTCAGAAGCAAACGTAAACGCTATCAACAAGTACAAAGTAACAAAGGTGAAGAGGAAAGAAGGAGAAAGCTGTACGTAAAGATCCAGGTGCGTGTTTGGACCATTGTCAAGCTGAGCTGCGCGATCGACAAAGCATGAAAGGGGACAAACAAGCGAAACCCAACAACTCCGCTATCCCATCAGTTGGTGTCATTGTGAGATGACTCAGCTGCGCCATGTAGAAGAAAGATGCCCGCCAACTCGGTTCAGGGACGACACTTCTCGCCAGTCTCGAAGCACATCTCGACAACCTCGCGAGCTCCATTATGAAAGCACCTCTTCTTGGTGCCGCAGGTGAACTGCCAGTCACATATCTATAGAAGTCAGTCAACAGAACAAACCAATAAAGATCAGTATACAAAGAAAAAAGTGTCACCTACTCCACAAGATTCGTCATCGACCTCGCACAGATAACAGTCCTCCTCAGCAAAAGCAAAGTTTGGCCTAGTACCATTGGAGACTGCAGGCTGTAGGTGGCTGGCTGAAGCGTTGGAAGTCGAGTCTTCGGCGTCATCGAGTACCAAAAGCATAGCAGCGGAGCCGAGGAAATCGCTGGGAGTCATGGATGCATCGTTTGCTTTGAAAGCTTTGGCATCCTCTGGCACACTCACACAAACCTCCGATCCGCTAACGGCGTCTTTGCAAAGAAAATAGAAGCAATCTTCGTCGCAAGCAAAATCGCATCCCTATTGTCAGCTGAAGTCAGTCGAGAGTTCTGCGAGCACACGAAAAGCGATGTGTTGACTTACATCACACTCCGTGTTACCGTCGCAAGTGTTGCAAGTTGTTTTGGCCATGGCAATATCACGAGAAGACATAGGCGCAGGAGTATGTACCGCACGAACTGATCTGGCTACCGTATGTGTCGCGGTTGTGATCATGGTCATAGGAATCTCGATCACAGACGGGGAGCGCGAAGCAGTAACGGTTGGGGGCTGTACGACAACGGTGGAAGCTGGATCCTGATAGTGGTAGACGATGGTGGAGGCCGGCTTTTCCACGGTGACGGTGCTGGGTTGAGGACGCTGGCGAGTTACTGTCACAGTGCTGGGTTGAGGATGTTGAGGAACCACTATCACAGTGCTGGTTTGGAGACGGGGAGAAGATACAATGACCGCACTGTTCTGCGGGGCCTGGGGGTATACAGTGACGGTACTAAGGGGAATCGGAGGTACCGAAAGGATGGTCGTAGTGATCGTCGTGGGGTCCTGAGGGACTACGACGACAGTGGTGGTACTAGCAGGAGGGGCAGATGCAGTAACCGTGACAGCTGGAGGTGAGGGTATAGTCGATATGGTGACTGTGGAAACCGAGGGAGGAGGAATTGTCGAGATGGAGGTTGAGTAAAGTACGGTCTGCGTCGTAGTTGTAGTTCCTGGCTGGGGCATGACGACAACAGTTGTTGTTTCGCTTGGTGCTGAAGCGGAGATATTGAAGCTGGGAGGCTGCCACTTCGAGCGAATGCTCATGCAAAGGGTCAGGCGAGCAGCTAAGTCGTTGCACACGAACTTCTCACATTCAGCGCAGTCGTTGTGACATTCCTAAGCAAAGCAGGATTAGCAAGCCATCGTGTAACACTAGGGTCTACGGAACAATCAACATACCGGGCAGGTCAATGCGTCACAGGGCATACACTGCGACTGTTTGAATGCAGCATTGCGACGAACATGTTGCTGACTACCGACATCATTGGAAGCTACTTCATCGCGAGGGGCTAGTACACTGTGTCTCGGGGGAAAGATCATGTGTGTGATCGTGTTTGTGGCGGCCGTACTTGTGATGGTGATGGTGGAATCAAAAGTTGGCGTAGGCAGCACAATGGAACTGGTCTCAACACTGGTGCTGGTAACGGTCTCGTAGATGGTGGCTGTGACGCCTGGGATATCAGTGACGCCTGTGTGATTGCGAATGGCCTCAGCAAGCTCTGGCTGGATATCGAAGCAATGTGTTTGATAGCGCAAATATCCATCTTCGCATTGGTAGTGATCGCAATCTCGGCAACTGAATTTGGAATGGTCACAGTACTACCAGTCAAAGTCAGTAAGAGCTCTGCATATCGATGGACGGAGAGAGTAGAGCATCATACATCGCAAGGGTCTTGACTTGTACACTGCTTGCACGTAGCCTCCGACAGGGTAATGGTGCGAGACGATAACGAGTCGGCGGACGATTCAGCAGCGATATCACTGTCCTGATAGTAGGAGCAGTAGTTGTTCGCGTCGCAGCCGATGTGCCAGTTGCCATCTACAGGGGTTGATCGGGCCGTAACAGCATCTGCGGAGCCACTGGTTGAAGTTGACAGGATTGTCAGACCGGCTGGCGTGGCGGCACCGACAGCGATGAAGCCAGCGATGACGCTAGTAGTGAGACGCATAGCGGAGAGCGTGGTCAGAGGATACTGGGTTCCGCTGTTGATCAGACGAATAGCGTAGAGGTCCTGGAGAATACCGAAGTAGACTTGGGTATGGATGCTCGATGGATGGATTGGATAGAGTTGCTGGGGTGAGTTGTGATGTGAGAGAAATGGAGGATGAGGACCAGAAGACGGGATTATATACTCTGGAATTGACGTGCACGGTGGTTGGATGGTGAGCAGCAGCAGAAAGGTGCTGCTGCTCCATCATTTGTTATGTTTACTGCTATCCTAGACAGACGAGGTAAGAACACAGGCGATCGATGCTAATACTGCGCCAAGAACAGTAAGGCCTACTCCCACAGGTGGTATTCGGGGAAGTAACGACGATGAATCCTTGTAGCATAGTCAACCACCGCGGGGCATCTTGTCTTGATTAACTCTCTGCTCTCCGGCCCAGCATCCGCAACGAGCGCGCTGACGGTAAATCCGAACAAAGTGGCATCGGCTTCAGTGGGCTTGTGGCCTCCAAGTGCCCAGAAGCAGTCGTTATCATCAGCTTGTCTTCGGCTGTCCTCGAGCAGACCATTTATACCCTGCCAGATATCCGTGCGGAAACTGCGAACCTCATCATTCGAGAAACGACCGGTACCTTGATCTTGCAGTTTCCTCACAATGCCCCGGTAGGCTAGGTAACCGAGAATGATACGCTGCGGAAAGGGCACCTTGGCCAGGACGTAGTCGCGCATAGTGTAATAATTATCGATCCAGCGTTCGCGAGAATTATAGAAGAAGAGCCTATCTTCGAACAGGGCTCTGATACCAAGATCGTAGGCTATATCTCTGGCGGCTAACGCCGCGTTCATATCAGATAGCAGGCCTCTGCTGATGAGCTCTTTCGTGATGAGCGTAGTGTCAGCCAGTATCTCGGAAGGAGCTCCCGGGCATGATAACTCGAGATAGGGGATTTTGCCTTTGGGTCCAAAGATTGGACCGCCCACACCGTGTTGGTAAGGGATATTGGCTAGACGCAGGCGGAATTCGAGCTTTGTGACAAAGGGCGACCACGTATAGTGGCCAGGCTTGTTTGCGCCATGTATAGTGATGCTTCGCTCGACACTGGTGTCCATTAGGTAGTTCTATACACTAGACTGATTGAAAAGTTAAGCTGATGTGACGCGAAGGCATGCATGCTGCCAGCAGCACGGCCATATATGGCAGTCCATGTACGATGGCGTGCCTGATTATCGTACATAAGCTTGATAAGCACAATGCTTTCAGATGTGAGCAGAGGCAGGCGACAGGAAGCGAGGTCATGCTGCTTCGAGTTACAACATGGCTGCAGCCAATCACGCGAAGGTCTGACGTAGCGCGTCAGTCCGGCTGTGGGGAAAGGCGCGACTCCAGGTCAGGGTCGACTTCGACTGCATCTGGCGAAAGTGAAGAGCAGCGTACAGCATCGCGTTAGTCATGATGGATTCCTCGACACTATGGCACGCCCTCTTGTCGCTTTTCTCGCCTCGTTTGCCTTGGACCCTGGCAACGCGCTTTCTGGCTACACAGCAGCCCTGCACAAGCCCACCGCCCGACTAGGCAACCGCTGCAGCTTCACCTGAGCAATCATCTCCCCTCCATTACCGCCCTAAATCATTCCAACACCCACGCAGCTTCATCTTCACTGCCATCACCTGCACCTCAATGTCTACCATGGCCAATGATAAAGCCGCATCCGCCTTCATGGGCCTTCCGCTTGAAGTGCGACACACCATCTTCGAGTACGTAGCTGCCCGTGACGTCAAGCCCAAGAAACTGCTCCGTTACTGGTTTGAGAAGAAGGAGGTCAAGGCACTTGTTGAGCAAGAGGTCACCAACAACCCCAACGGTCCTGCGCCCCAAGTAGTGTATGGTAACGACTACGATGAGTACGAAGACGAGAGCGCCGCAACTGATGAAGACGGCGACGAGAGTGACGACCCAGAAGAGACTGAGAGCGCGGAAGAGGACAGTGAGACCGAAGATGAAGATGAGGACGAGGACGAGGACGGGGATGACAATGAAGAGGCAGAGCAAGAAGAGGATAGCGAGGGTGAAGACGAAACCGAACTCGAGGAGGGCGACGAAGGTTTCACCGACAGCGACAGCAATACTGCTGCCACAGCCGCCGCCACTCAGCCTCTTCCTCCGGCACCTGTGGTTCGGCCCCATGGTAAGAAATATTTTTTGGACAAATTGCATATGAGACACACGCTGATTTCGTACACTATCGTCTAGCCAAATGGCGACATATTCCAAACTTCATGCGCCTCACCCAGTGCCCTGCGCCAGTCCAGCTCTTGTTGGTCTCACAGCAGCTGAATAACGAAGCCAAGAACTGGTTCTACGACGTAGCCACCTTACGTATCGATGCTACAGGCAGCTTCGCCCATACGTCATTCTTCGAAGAAGCATTCAGCCAGATGTAGGTATCGCTGTATGAATCGTATGTAAAACACACGCTGACCTGTTGCATTAAAATTAGCACCGACGCAGCGTTCTCTCCCATGGGTTAGTAATGTCCCTGTATGGACTGCAAGTGAAACATGTACTGACTTTATACATCTGCCTGTAGAAAACATCCGCAAGGTTGACATCACCTTCGTTTGGGATTCGACTTGGATCCGCGCGGACACTACTGGGTCTGTCGAAGCCATTTTCCCCGCCCTTCTTCGTCAGCGGTCAAAGTTCGTACACCAGATCCTGCTACAAGCGCCCGATTTGCGGGAGGTCACCATTCACTGGCAAGTAAACTCCACGTGCGATTTGTCTTCGGAAACATCACTGACCTGACATCCCTCAGGCATGACTCTGCCCAAGACGACGAGAGCACTAACCTGATGCTTGACAACCTTGAGCCATTCCATACGCTTCCTGCTACCGTCAAGGTCGTTGAGCACTATATTGTTGCGGATGCAACGCCTAGGAAACGCAGCGTCGCTGGCAAGCGTCGTGTTGAGTTCCAGAACATCCTCGACATGGGTCTCGATCGTCTCTTCTAAAATTCCCTATGGCGTTTTGCATCGTTGTGTGGTGAGACGTCTATATCATCTTCGCGTTTGTAAGACGGGCAGTTGTACGCCGACGTAACCGGGGTTTACCTTCCTCTTCCATGGGGTCTCGCCTAAACAAGCCGGAACTTCGCGTCCTAGTGCCTCAACTACATGCGTGGCATTACCTTTTGTGAGCACTACACACCAATCTGGGATACCGAGCGCACAAATGCCAGCGGTTCCGCGGTTATGATCGGCCAGCAGCAGGCTTCCACAATTCCAAGTTTCTCAGCCTTGTCGTTTCCACTCATGCTCCGTTCACTGACTTCCATAACTACAATTTTGACATCGCAGTCAGCAAACTCAAGTTTATAGCGAATGCGAAGTGCAACTTTTCAACTTGTATTCCCCCATGTCCTGAGTTTGAGATTATTGTTCGCTATTCTCGGACAAGCGCAAATGATCGACCTTGGGTAGGGGCCACAATGCGGGGAAGGACAGCTGATGTGCTATTTGCACTACTATCCCCAATAGCGCAAACACGAAAGGCTGTCGTGAGTGGGTGGCATGGTAGATCATTTAGTTGACGTTGGTGCTAAACAGCTCGTGGCGTCTCCCTAGGCTCTTGTATCACCATCTAGATCGCGGAAAAGGCCCGCTCGCAAAACCGACGCCAAGCCGAAAAGAGCGGAAGATGGGGTAGTGGGGTACTCATGTTCCTGAAAGGCTTATAGGCATCCAGTAAAGCCACGTGTGATAGGCCTCCAAGGGGCCGAAGTCTAATGTCAAGGGGCAATAGAACACTAAAGGTTTATTTAAACACCCTGTAGGGCCCTCCAGGTTCACTCTCTGCAATCGTTCCGTCTCCTGATATTGAGCAATTCTCCAAAGGTTTTTCAAGTCATAAACACCTTTCGTCATGGGTATCTACAACAAACTCGCGGATGACATTGATGAAGTAGATATTATCATAGCCGGAGGTACGATGTTCCTTATGCTCAATCATTCCCTCACTAACTTTCTTTTCCATAGGTGGGACAGCAGGATGCATTATAGCCGGTCGACTCGCTGAAGATGATCCATCTCTTTCTATTCTCGTGATTGAAGGTGGCGCAAACAACAAAGATGTCGCCAGCGTCGTCAACCCCGTCTTCTACCTACAGAACTTGCTACCTACCACGAAGACTGCTCTCTTTTACAAAGGGAATAAGTCTAAGCAACTCGCTGATCGTGAGCCTATCGTGCCATCTGGCGGTACGCTAGGCGGTGGTAGTTCCATCAACTTCATGATGTACACACGAGCACAAAGATCAGACTTTGATAGCTGGAACACACCTGGTTGGTCAGCTGAAGAGATGTGGCCGCATCTAAAAAAGCTAGAAACCTATCATGGGCCGGGAGCCAAAGAGCATCACGGTCACAGTGGGCCTATCCATGTCTCAGACGGAGGCTACCGCGCAAAAGCCGCGGAAGACGACTTCATAAGCGCAGCTGAGAAGGTCGGCTACTCCGAGATCGACGACTTGCAGAACTTGGACAATAACAATGGCATTGCGCGGTGGCAACGCTACGTCTCCCCCGAAGGCAAACGTCAGGACACTGCACACACATACCTCCACCCGAAGTTGGAGGATGAACGGTATTCCAACCTTCATGTCCTTGTTGAATCAAAAGTGGTACGCGTAGTTTTTGATGACAACAAGCGTGCGACTGGGGTTGAATATACACCAAACCCCGAGTTCCAGGCCACCATTGGCTTAAGCATGCACCCTGTCAAGCAGGTTCGCGCCCGCAAGTTGGTTGTCGTTACATGTGGTGCGTGCGGCACGCCGCCTGTACTCGAAAGATCTGGTGTGGGCGCAAAGGAAGTTCTCGAACGTGCTGGTGTTCCACTCGTGGAGGAATTACCGGGCGTAGGAAAGGACTACCAAGACCATCACCTCCTCCTATACCCATACAAGACTGCTCTTGCGCCTGATCAAACCATCGATGGTATTTTGAGCGGCCGCGTCGACGTCGCTGAGATGATGAAGAACAAAGATCCCATGCTAGGCTGGAATGGCATTGACATATCTTCCAAGCTTCGCCCTACCGAAGACGAAGTTACCTCTCTCGGACCAGAGTTCCAAGAAGCATGGAAACGTGACTTCAAGGATGCGCCCAACCGTCCATTAATGCTGTGTGGTCTAGTATCATGCTTCCTAGGGGATCCAGCGAGCATACCAGCAGGCCAGTATGTCACAGCAGGTAATTACACCGCATACCCCTACTCGCGAGGACACATGCACATCACTGGCCCCAAACACGACGACGCACTCGACTTCGACGTTGGTTTCTTCAACGACAAGGATGATATTGATCTCAAGAAGCAAATTTGGGCGTACAAGAAGCAGCGTGAGATCTTGCGACGGACGAAGTTCTACCGCGGAGAGCTGGCTGCGGGTCATCCGAAGTTTGCCTCTGATTCCGCTGTTGCAATACAGGAGGATGTCAGTGGTCCTCTGGAGGATGTCAAAGACCTTGTCTACAGCAAAGAAGACGATGCTGCTATTGAACAATGGCTACGTGAGAATGTCAATACCACATGGCACTCTCTCGGCACATGCAAGATGGCACCAAGAGAAAAGGACGGTGTCGTCGATGGATCTCTGAACGTGCATGGTGTCAAGGGCTTGAAGATTGCGGACCTGAGCATTCCTCCAGAGAACGTTGGTGGAAACACTAACAATACGGCACTAGTTATTGGTGAGAAGGCGGCAGATATTATCATCGCCGAATTGAGGGGTGGTGCTGGCACGCCATAGTCTCGAGAGAACCTTTTGATATGTATTTAGCGATAATGAAGTTACAAACATTATGCATTTCATAAATCGTGAATCGGATCTTCCTAATCAATCTGGACATATTGTGCCAAAAACAAAAGGCGTTTGGGTTGAGTGGCCTGGCTGCGCTATCAGAACTACCTTAGATGATGTCGAGGACTTTCTAGTACGCGAGAGCCGTCAAACTTTAGTGCGGTACTAGTCATACGAAACAGACAACCTTGAATAGAACAATCATATATGTCTTACGAGATGAAGTGTCAAATTTCGAGATGCTACGTACATAGGCATTAACCTATAGCTTGTACCTGAACCGTCTATTCTCGCGATCTGTCAAATCGAGGAATTCCTCATTCTCCATATGTCTACCGTCATCCTCCTTGTCTCTCTTCTTATTCTCCCACATGTAATACGCTCTCAGTACCAATGCCATAGCCGCAGCGAACGCACAAGTAACAACGATAGTAATCTTTGCTGGTACAAAATTCGGTGCATCGTCTTGCCTGAAGGTCAGTGGCCCGATAATATTTCCCAGACAGAATGACATGAGCAATATAGCGTTCATGGTAACCTTCTTTGTGTGACCGGCAATATTGGCTGAGACCCAGGAGTAGAGGAGCGGTAAGCTAGCGCCAATGCAGTTGGTAAGATAGTTTCCAATGAGTTTTCCAGCTTTGGATTCACCTGGGAGGAAGGCCATGAGGCATCCACCAAGCGCGCCGGGTACCAGCAAAGAAACGACGTTTAGTGCGCGTTGGTTAAAACGGCCAGCAAGGTATGTGGCGATGAGAATTGAGATGATACTAACAGCACCGGATGGCAACTGCAGTAATGCTGTGGTCTTGGGATTGAAGCCAAATGACTTGATGAGCGTGGCTTGGTAGGAAGACACTGCACCGTTAGGTACATTAGACGATATCGTGATGATCGATAGCATCCACGTCTGCGGGTCTTTGAAACAATCGATGACTTGGTGGAACTTGAAGTGCGTGTTCTCTATACCCGTTTGGTTCTCGCGAAGACGTTCGATAGCCCATACCTTCTCCGCTGGGGTGAGGCGGGAACTCATGGGGTTATCGGGAAGTAACAACACCACTGTGTGAATTAGTGTCGTATCAAAGTCGAAAAGTAGTAGTTCACATACCAGTGATACCAACAGTAACGGTGATTAGACCTACTACAAGGAACATGATCTGCCAACTAGTAAAGGTGTCACTGTCGTAGTGCTGGAACCCGAAACTGATCAAGCTTCCGATCATTGTTCCTGTCCCGACACCGAGATACCAGATGCCTAGAGAAGACAAAATCAGTATATGCCTTCACATGCATCTCGTACACGTGCAACTTACCGGTGCGGAGAGGTTGTTCGTTCTTTTTGTACCACATGGAAGTTATCAATATTAGACTGGGGGCAACAGCCGATTCGAAGCAGCCTAATAGAACGCGCGTAGCTACTAGAGCGCCATAGTTCTTGCACACACATGTGAGTGCAGTGACGAGACCCCAGAGAATGACGGCTGCGCCAAGGTACTTTGCTGTAGGGAGGCGCTGCATGCCGTAGCCATGTGGGAATTCGAGTGCGAGGTATGATACATAGAAGAAGAGTGCGAGATTCGAAAACTGCGACGTGCTTATGTTTGCATCCTCGTATAGACCCATCACCGCAGCGTAGTTTACTAGTGGGAACCCGTCAGTACGTTTGATTGAACACAGACGACGCAAGATTGTAGAGCTAACATACCAAGTGTTTTGTCCAAATACTGTAAACAGTAGCAGCACCACATCAACGGCATGATCATCCAGTCGATCTTTCGCACAAGCCTCCGCTCATCCTCAGGCGTGAGAACTCCCACATCGTGTGCCGATTTGAGGAACTTAAGCGCTTCATCGCCGTTCTTGGATGGCTCCTCGACGACACCAATTTCAATGTCTGAATGCGGTGGCGATGGAGAAGTGTTGCCAGACTTCGATTCGTGAACTACCTCTTTCTCCGGAACGCTCATTTTGCTGGGTCGGGAACAAAGATGGATAGTAGAAGTTTCCTGGATCGCTGGCTATGTATAACGCGAGGCGATATGATATATACCACCGTTCTAAAGCCTTACCATTCCGGCATCTGTATTGCCGTGTCACCTCTCACACGCATGCCGACCTCGCAGCCGGCATGTAGCATTACCTATCGAGGCATATTCATCGAAGATCACTCCCACTTTGTTAACACGAGCCAAACATCGTTCTTCCGACCAGCATCCCTTATCATGACCCCTGTCTGGGCAAGCCGATGAACGCGCCAAAGACCCCAGATCTGTGACCTTCATCGAAGCGGGCATAGTGAGATCTTTCTTTCCGAAGAACAGCCAAGAGTGCAGCGTGCGATAGCAGATTGATAATGTGTAGACATGATGATGTCAGTGGAGATAGGAATGTGGTTGATAACGTTGTCCATTCGCTTGCCGGGCGCTAGGTGGGGTTAGGAAGGTGGTGTGTTGGACCCTGAGGAGGGGTAGTCAACGTTGTGGGCAACTGTATGCTTAGTAACTGCAAAAGGTAATGAAGAATGCTCGGAAATACGCACTGTCGACCGGGATGCTATGCAAGAACGTGTTTACCTTGATCGCTTTCCCCATTGTTGAACTTCTACGGTCCATCATGGCCGGCATAGAAGACATAACGCACCTTGGGTCACGAGAGTCAATAATTGTTTTCACGACTAAAACATTTCCGTATGAAACCCTGCCTTGGAAATTGCCACCAACACTGAATAATAGAGTTATGACTAGGGTAGCATCTGCAAGTGATGCTGTACGATCAAAAGTTTGGGTATCGATTTTCCCTCGACAATCTGTTGCCATATCCAAACGCCAAGTGAACAGACGATTAGACAAGGACACTATCCAGCAACCCTTCGATCCAACCCTCCCAACTTCCCCTCTTTAGACCTGCTACCCCCTTCACCACGTGGCCCTCGTTCTTATCAACTTCTTTTTGTAACCCTTCTTTCGCACCTTCGCCCTGCGCTTCCCACCACTCTGCCTCGGCCCTATCTTTCGCTCTCTTGGCAACTCTCTCCTCATCCTCGACACGGTACAGATCGCATTTGTTGCACTCACCGCAAGGCTGCCCAGGTCTCTCACGAAAATGTCCGCAAAAGTGTTGATATCCCTCGTTCGCAAGACCTTGTCGGCAGATGTAGCACATGCTATACCCGCACAGACAGACAAGCTTGTTACAGCCTTCAGACTTGACGAAGCCTAGGTTGCACTGAGGACAGGTGCGTTTTACGGCGTCTGTGGTAGCGCGTTCGAGTGTGAGACGAAGAGATGTGAGCTGGGAGGAAAAACATGTGTGAGGGTCGTGCCAGGGAAGGCTACACGAGAGGCAGGATGCACGGCCGCAGCTCGGAGAGAGACATTGAAATCGAAGACCACGACGCTTTAGGTGGACACGTCTAAGGGCGGACCGGAAGGGTGCGATGACAGGCAAGCGAAATGTAATGGTGACGAAGGTATAGATGAGTATGAGGGCGAAAAGAATAGCCCGTGTAGCTTGGAAACAGAGCAATTCGAATAAGGGGACGGATGCTAAGGAAGCAAGTACAAGTGGGCGAGCTTTGAAACGGAGGCTGGCGAAGAGATTGGTATCTGGAAGAGCAAGGTCATCCAATTCAGCGTACGAGCAGAAAGGACATTGCACAAGTGGAAGCTGAGATCTTGTAAGCGCATCGCTAGCGAAGCGCTCGTTAAGTTTGGTGAGGTTATCCTTTCCATCTTGCTCTTCCAAGAGCGCGCGTCTGACAAAGCTGAGGGGAATGCAGCCATGACACTCTTCGGATCCACCTGTCATAGGCGCTATGCATTTCAGGGTACACAGATCAGTGTTGATGTTGCGCGCCCAGCCCTGATCGTAGAGTGCAGCGTTGATGGCATGTCTTATGCAACGGAAGCAGATGTAGTGGCCGTCGATGTCACATGTCGACATTTGCTGGAGCGTATTGGGAATGAAGCAGCATTCGCAATCGTACATCTCACCCTCTCGCTCAGCCTCCTCTTCGTTCCATTGCATGGCCAAGTCGAAATCCTGCCGTAATTGCGCTTTCCGGTGCTTCTCATGTTCCGGCACTATGAGAGCATTATAAAGCTCCTGGTTCAATTCGTCGCTCCTTGTCTTTACAAGAAGTGGCATGGGTGGGCGGTTCAGCCTCTCGTCGGCGGGAGTCCATATGACCAACGGATGGTCATTCGCGGTCGGCGCCTTCCGTCGCATTAAAAAGTTGGTAATACTGGACCTCCAACTCCTAGTCGAAAGTTCCAGCAGCGTGGGTCGTGCATGTGTATAGCTGTAATTATACTCGGCTAGGACAGCCTTGATAGTCGAGTGGCTCAGGCCTTTGAATTCCTGGTATAGTGCTTCTTTGGCAGCGTCCTTGTATCTTCGTGACCGGAACTTGTCTTCTACCGCAAGCGGTATGCCTCGGGTGTCCTTTGGAGCATCTTCTTTCCGATATTTGTATTTTTGCGCCGTCTCCCGCTGCTCTTCCTGCTCGGCTGGCATCCTGTACCGCCCTCGCACATATTTGTCGCCATGCTTCAGAAGAGTTTCGGTAACTACCTGTAGCCTACTCTCTTCACTAAAGGTAGACAGCATCTCTCGAAAGACCTCGGGTTGGATGTCTGGGAAGATGTCCGTGAGCGCTTGCAGGGCGGCATTGAGGTCGCGAAGGTCAGGCTCATCGAGGCCATGGCTATCGATCGAAGGCGGAGGCTGGATCGCGGGCTGCGTGTTTGTGGAGGCGCGTCGCAACTTAGGCGGCCGCACAAGGGAGGCGAAGACGGTCGACATTGGACAGGGAGCGCCTAACGCTGCGGCGAAGGATGTTTGCCAAGCATATGAAAACGGGCAGCGAAGAGACGTGTGTGGAAATTAACTAGACATTACAAGTACTAAGGGAGGGCAAGAAGTGTAAAAGTAAAGCATGAAGCCGTCGGGTGGTCGTGTGCAACCCGGAGAGTTGAAGGATGCTTCCAAGCCCGAGAGACATGACGCGTAACCGCCGTATCAGTCCAGGCCCTGCCAATCATCATCGCCTGCGCACGTGAGACCTGCATCTCTCATCACGAACACCACTGGTACACTCTTCCACACTGGGTTTCGTCGCCTCCAGTGAAATCTGGTTGCATATTCCACATGTGCATTGCTTCGCTGACACGCAAGTCGAACTGTGCTTCCGACGTGTGGGCTAATCTTGGTTTTCCCATGTTTGGATCCGACATGCTACGTGCACCTTCTTCACTCTCACTCAGCCAATCCGAATAGTCTTGGCAATCTACATGTCAGGCTGTACAAGCATTGCCTGATATTGTTGGCTCAACTGATATGCGCATCAACTGCATGCCCCGCTCTTCTATGCTCTTCAGCTGCCGCATAAGCTCGTGACAGGACAACGAACAACCCAGAACATGTCGCAGCCTCTGCTTCAGCAACATGTTGCCAGATCAAACATGGACGATGCTACCAGAACACCAGGAAAATCCAAGAACGCGAAGTCAGTTCCTGAGGTTACCGCAACGATGAAAAGCCGGCGTAACGGTACGCGGTAGGTATTGCGTCGACGGCGACAATTGTATATATGTGTACGGATATCTAATAAGAATTCAGCCATCGTGATGATAAGAAAGCAGCAGCAGCGATCCCTGTAGCATCAAGCGTATTGAGCATAAACCATCAAGCCCAAATGCTGGGTGCGAATAACGTGCCTCGGCCTGTAACAGCAGAACCTGTTGTTTCTAACAGTGACAACGCTCTCCAGCCGAAGAAACGTAAGCCGCGTTCCACACAGGCGTAAGTAGACATTACCATACTCCATGAACTCAAGCTGACTTCATTCGTAGCGCACGGGCAAGAAGAGAAGCAGGGACTGCAACCGTAAAGACCCCTTCGATAGAGACGACACCACCGACGACATCGCCATTGGTAACATCATCAGTCAAGTCAGCACTTCCGCAATCGACTCAAGGCGAAGAAGTCTCGCCGAATTCAACGTCAACCCAACCAACACGTCCCTTACCTAAGGCGCCTTCTTGGAAAACATCATGGATGTTTCGGGACACTACCGGGTCGCCTCTGCGAACAATAGAAGCAAAATCGTTGGAGCCAGACAGTATCCAGGTATCTTCCGAGGGTGGCTTCGAGACCTTGTGCAGTTATAATTGGCAGAACAATGGAGCAATCTACGTTCCTGGCGCGCCTCCCAGATGGAGCCCTCCTGCTTTACCGACCACTCTGACTCAGGATACCGGGCGACAATTCATCGATCAAAACGCTTCTCGCGTGCCCAAGTTTCCTTTTGAGCCTGCCTTCGCCGCCCTTGCTGTTATGAAACCAAATGCCCTATTAGATGAAGTCGACATCATTGTCAACCGCAACAGTTTGCGCAAACTTCTCGACTTCTCAGCTGGGAAGAAGCTGGATGCGTTCTGTATGGGTTTACATATGATCGACAAAACACTTGTAATCAGTCGCAAAGAGAGGAATGCTCAGCAAATGATCCACGGCGCATCCAACGCAGGCTATGGACATAATTTCGAGAAGACCTTTACAAAGCCTGATCATGGGATGGGAAACTCCAGTAGTCATCATAGGGTCATCCGGTACCACATTGGCCCTCTGAACTGTGTCGTTCGATTCGAAGTTGACGCATATTATGAAGATCCGGACACCGCCCATAGTCCAGAGCCTACACGTCCTTCCAAAGAATCCGTTGACACTATTACCGCTGCTATGGCGCAATTGGACATGGCAACCCTGCCGCCAACCCAATCCAAGAGTAGGAAAGCTCCTGCCGATAAGTCTACTAGAGTTGTCGAGAAAGGGGTTTCCGTCGATCCTTCGAAGCTTGCTGAAATTAAAGCTAAAAAGTTCGCACGTCTTAATGAAGCACTACCGCAGCTTTGGTTCGGCCGCACACCCTATTTCATGAATGGCAACCACAACAAAGGCGAGGTACACTCGATTAGCATCAGCCATGCTAAGTCTGATTTCCCCCGATGGGAGGAAGCCAATCAAGATAGGTTGCGCAAGATGGTGAGTTTGCTTGCGGAATTGCGGGGTGCCGTCGCCCTTGTACAAGGGAAAGCAGCGGTATTAGTGTATGATGACAAAGGTGGGCCATTGAAGGTTTATGCGATGAAGAACAATCAGGGTGTGCTGCCCAGTGGGATTATCGCGAAGCATTGGGGTAACAGCAAAGAAGATCCCCAGTGAGCGAATTCTACATGTTGCAATGTCTGGTCACAGTATTTACAACCTTACTCGTTGAAACGAAGCAAACAAGTACGACACACAACACAATTAGTACCAAATACCCTATACTGGGAGAACAGGTAGTCACTGATCTAGGCTGGCACGCCAGTAGGCGCTTCTTGCATCCACTCCCACGTAACCTGAATCCTTCCGTTGCCCAGCCCATCCCAGTGCTTAGAATATATATCCGGCTGAATATCCAGATCCGACACGTTACACCCTTCGCAACGATCTCTCACCACAAATTCCTGTTCCACAAGCCTCTCTCCGCTCTCGTCACCTATCCATGCTCTGATTCCTTGGTTACACAGCGCACTTGAGCTCTGATCAATAGAATCCCCGAGTTTCCCATCCGGGTTCACACCATCTGACTTCCATCCCTCTTCCAAAGATGACCCCCCGATCTCTCGTCCCATGTCAAACAGCTCCCAGCTTATCGCGATAGCGAGCTCATTTGATGTCATGCTGGGGGATCCGCATGCTCCTAGACCAGGGTTGAAGTAAGTCAACTGTCCGACTTGGGGGTCCGCAGGAACAATGTTGGGAGCTACGTAGCCTGTAGGAATGGGGAAGGGGAAGAGATTCGGCCAGTCTTTGGCCAGATGCGGACCTGTATAGACTGGTGGTGTTCCGACCGCATTGTTAGGCATAGTACGCAGGCTGGTGTAACTGGCGGCTTGAGTACTGTAGGTAAGCATGGAAATGGTCCATTCTGATGGTGGGGTCAGAGAGGGGTGTTCAGGCAGAACTCCGATTTCAGAACCGGGTGTTACAGTTGCTGAGGTTGGCGGGACTTCAGGTTTCAGTGGGCTAGGTGAGACGGAGACTGAGTATAACATACTGGTGAAACTTACGAGTAAGGTTCTAACGGACGTAGAAACTGGTACGGTCGGGGAGATAGCAGAACCAGGATTTGTATTTGCCAAGGCGTTTTGTTGCAGCGAGATGCTTGGGATTGAGGAGACAGTCCCGCTGCTGGATGTTTTAGATTTGACAGCTGTACATACAGTGGGCTTTTTACTAGATGTTGGTGGTACACTGCTAGGAAGTCTCACCAAGGGTCTCCCACTCATTGTGCCCGTATCCACATCTAGTGGGAAAGGTGATCGGGAAGGCGACTGACGACGCTCGTGAGTTTTCGAGGGCAATGCGGAAGTTGATTCACCCGTTACTATCCAATGCAAAGCTTGTCGACGAGCGGCGGCATTGCTAATCGCTATACCAATAAGCTGTGCTATAGTACCAGCATTGTTACTTTGAGCGGGATGTGTTGTGGTTGTAGTCGGACGCACTGTGATAGAAGGAACTAGATGTCGAGTCTGCTGCGTTTCGTTTTCGTATTCGCTGACCAAGGGTAAGAAGCGTCGGAGGTTGTGTAGGTTCTTCCATGCAAGTGGTGCTACTAGCCGTCTCGCTATCGCACTGGAGGAAGCTGAGACAACAGCAGTATCTTCCCGTAGGGTTTCGACAGCTGGAGATGTAGTAGGCGAAGGCGTCATGTCTGGACTGAGCGTCGAGTCTACGGTGGCAGATGACGTTATCGTACTTGGAAAGTTCATCTCATAGGAAAGTACAGAAGTCGACAAACTAGCAGTATAAATAACTGTATTTGTCATACACTCTGAACCAGCTTTCGTAGGTTTGGGTTCTAGCAGCTGTGAGGAAGCAAAGTTGCTCCTAGCACTTGACACCACTGGCTCAGATGTCCGAAGGGTACTCATAATCGTAGTTGTTAAGGTTGTGGTTGTAGTAGTTGTAGTATCTTCGCAGTCCCCTGAGTCTTCCCTTCGATCCAAATCCGAGTGTAGAGTCAAAATATCACCAGGGGGAGCATCCTCATGTCGAACTAGGTAGCCACTCCGTCGGACAAGGTTACCATCTATATCCGCAGTTTGCAAGAAGGAGGAGATTTGTAGAGAACTGCTGGCGCTCGAACGTGATGGCCGTACTGAACTGGGCTTAAGTGTGGATGTAGGAGTAGGGCTTGGGATAGGAGTTTCGCTAGTCTCGAGAAAAGATGTCAAAAGTATGACGCTTGCTGAGTTGCTCTCCAATTGTGGCTCGATACTTGTGGCTCTCCTCAGGGCTGACGACTCCATTGATGGCAACGCTGACGATAAACTAAGCGTTTTGCTTGCCCTCATCCCCTTGACCTCTTTCTCTAGGCTAGCGGACTTTGCATGACTCAACGCTGCCAGGATACCAACAACTAGGGTTAGAATAGTCAACCAGCATAGCGTACAATACCATGTGGAGTCTCGTTTGAAATCGGAGACCTTTTGCTTGTGAGACTTCTCAGTCATTTCTCTAGATCCTTCTAGCGCCGAAGATTTGAGCGGTACTTCGATAACCCCTAATCCAGCAGAGTTGTCTTTTGTTTCACTTGCGGCTGTACGTGGTAAAGTGTTGTAGGGACCTTGTTTGAAAGCGCTGAAGGAGTCTTTGCATAGATCCTTGTCGCCAAAGACTAACTCAGAATATGCAGAGCTGACGTATTTACTACGCTTTTTGTCTGTTTTATCCTCGACTTTTTCAGCGCTACTGTGCTGTGGTAGACCACTACCGATATGCCTGTCTTGATCGAATGTCTTACCTTCAGAGAAATTGAGAGGCAATATGTTGGGATATAATGTCTCAGGAGTACTTGGTAGCTCCTTTTCGAACTTTGAGGCCGGAGCTGGAAACTCAGCGGAGATAGGTGAGGTAGATTCATTGACTGGGATGGGATTGCTTATGGCGTAGCGTCGCCCACCTGCAGAAGACTTGAAAGAACGTTCTCTCTGCAGCTTCGTAGGCATAGATATACGCGCAGTACGGCATAAGCCACTGTGGTGTTCTGATTAATATGAGTTGTTGGGGCGAAGGAAGTCACTATCAACGTAAATGGATGTAAGTATCAAGCAAAGAGCAGAAGAAGAGTAAAGTCTCAGTGAAATTGGAGAGCAATATATGCCGCATGATTTGATGAGTACCATGTAATGTCGTAACGTGTCACAGTCGACTCAACCCTGAGTCACGACCATGTCCAGACAGAGAAGTCACGACGCTCACGCCCAGGACCACTCCACGTTGACCCTGCCCTTGTCTTTATCAGCCAACTTGGCGAACATGGCGGGACTGACGTCGATATTGTTACGATCGCACCCAACGCCTGTATTGAATCAGCAACAGTAGTATGATGTGGTGTGAGATAGATTATGCCATCTGGAGTACTTACACCTGTCGACGATGGTGACCATAATGCTGGCGTCCTTGCCGGTCCTCTCGTCGATGCGATGAGCTCGGATCTTCTTGCCACATAGCGGATTGGTGTTTGGGTTAGGGCCGACCTGATTCTCGTCCCCTGGTTTTGAGATGCCATGTCAGTGTATGTCTTGTAGATATGTTGAGAAAAAGTCAGTGCTTACAGATGACGTGTGAGATGGCCATGACAGCGTCCCCGTCACCATGATTAGTACCACAAGCACCAAGCGCAGGGTTGTAGAAGGTCATTTCGCCGGTGGTCTGGGCTCCCTTGGGTGGGGGAAGAGCATTGTTGCTATGGAGCTGATTAGTGGAGGCTGTAGAAGATAGGTAGAGCATCAACAACGTACTTGGAGCCGATAGACAAGCCTGCTGCAAGACCGATGATGAGAGCAAGAACGGAAGCAAATGTGATGCCGATCATGATGAGTAGCGTACGGCGGTTAATGTAGTTGTTGAAGTATCTTTGGTGTGGTGGCAGAAAGTTGTTGAAGTGACGAGAGAGTGTCGAGCCAAAAGTACTTGTTTTTATACCAGCAAAGATACCGCATCCGAGTCCATACCGTCTTCCTGAGTAAACGGGCTTATCGTCAAGTGAAGGAACTTCACGTGGGAGAGTGGTGACCGTGTTGGCATCTTTCGTTTGTTGACCAGGGGGTGAAGGTGCTGCCCATTGCGACCCGAATGTAGCAGTCGAATGATCCGAATCATTGAAGTATGCCTGTGCCGGCTCTGGAAGCGGTTTCCGTGGTATCACTGGGGTGTTCATGATTGTATCTCAAAGCGCGTAGCGTACATATAATCCAACGTGGTGATTGGGGGTATCTCAAAGCAAGCAAACGTCATAACATATTAAGGCAATCGTCGTCGGAAATGAGTGTACGCCTAGGCAATGGCCGGCATTGACAAGATGAAAGAAGGGTTCAGGCGGAGTGTGGAGAAGACGTGTGCGAACTTGTGGGTCGCAAGGTGAATGACAACAAGGGGTAAGGGCGGTTGCATCTAGCCCTTTCGGAGATTCACGATTCGCCGAGGCTCGTCCGAAACCGTCGACTTCACATCAACTTGACAGAACACTGCGCATAAAGAGGGTCAAATTGTTGTCGCGTTTGCTCTCAAGGTCCGACTCAACCAGCGGTCTGTAACATAATCTCCTCACAAATTCACCGCTTGGGTATCCGCTTGCAGGTCTCGATTCTTACAAACGCACCGTACGCCGCACCTCGGTACACTCGCAATCACAGCGCATCGACTCAACGAGCCCCGACTCATACTGCGACTGGAGTCATGGCGGAGCAGAGCATCAACGTACCCCAAGTCATCGTTTTCATCGTCGTCACGTTCCTCGCTGTACGATGGTACTTAAGGAAACCCACGGCGGCGGCCCCAGGCACGCGAGCTGCGGCGAACCGCGCTGCAGTCCGCGTAAGCCCTGCGCAAATAGACCAGGTCGCTGAGATGCTGCCGCAGTTGAGCAGACGAGATATTGCATGGGATCTGCAAAGGAACGGTGGTAATGTCGCGGCGACAACGGAGAGGGCGCTGAGCGGGAGGGGTTTAGACACAGTAAGACTCACAACCTGAGCTTTATCGATGCTGTCGACGTATGCTAACACATGTCTAGGCACCGCCGTCCTTCCAAATACCTACACCTACACCACGAACTGCACCTACACAGGCGCGAGCAGCCCCAGCCCCATCGAGACCTGCGCATCCAGATCTGATAACACGATACAATCTATCCTCGAAGCTTAGTCAGGCCGACCAACCCGTACAGGAGGAGCAACCTAAGACAAAGTCGTGGAGTGCAGATAAGAGTGAAAGGCAAGCAAACTTGCAAAGACGGCGAGAAGAGATGATCCTGGCGGCACGGAGAAAGCTCCAAGAACAGGAAAAGGCAAAGGCTTCGGGCTCTGCATAGTCATTTCTGTACTCTGTGTCGAAAGTGGGAAAGAGACAGTATAGCGAGCCATAAACGCATGTGTTGGTAGTTATACCCTAGATCGTTTCCGCAATGCATCCTCCCATATACAACTTCAGATCATGTTAAAAACGTTATCGTGTCTACGGGCTGATGATCTCATAGGCCGGAAACATAGTCAGTATTACTGAGTGTATGATCATTATGATTAATGAGCTGATGTTAACATCGTCGCTCTAGGTTGCAATGTGTGTGTAGCAGTGAACACTCTCTACGGGTAATTACTCGGCGCCCACGTTCGCTCTATGGCTTTCCTTGAATCATACTGTGCAAGGTTGCCATTGGCGGCCAATAATAACACGAAGAATTGCGGGACGTTGACGCTGGGGGCCAACGCCTTCCCCAAGAAATCGATCGGTTCCGATACCCCTTGTCGAATCTCCAGCTACTTAGATAAAACCGCCGCGTAGCAATCTCGACATTCAGCATGTTGGGGTTCACTTCGTCTTCCCTTCCGTCCGTCGAATGTCCGGAGCAGAGGTTTTCAGTGCATTAGGCACCCCTGCACGAACGGCTGCACGGGTTCTCCTCGCACCACGATATGCTGTTAATGGCTTCCAGCCTCTCCGAGGGTGGGTGGACAACGAATATGCACGCGCGCGATACGGGCCGTGGTACATGTGGCGTATATGGCTTCTTTTTGATTGCAAAGACCTCGAAGTGCTGGAGAGTTTGATCAACGACGGACAAGACGAGCAGGTACTTGAGATGCGGGATGCGAAGTTGAAGCAGTTCAAGCTAGTCACGTTGGTGGTATGTATACCTATTTTCAACTAAGACATGGAGACCACATGAGTGAGCAGCTCAGCATTGGATGTGCTGAAAGCTGATATGGACACTTCAAGGGCGCCCTCTTAGCAACTTTAGCTCTTCAGGCACTCTCCCTCCCTGTCCTAGAGGAGACCATATTCGTCGCACGCGCAAGCTTCATCGTTAGCACTATGCTCTCCCTGCTCGCCACATTCTTCACCCTCATCCAACAACGCGAAGTTGGCGTCATCCGCGATGCGAGATCCTTTCGGAGATGGCTCTCCAATGGCGTCCAGTACTATAACGCCCGAGAGCGCCTTGTATGGCAGAGCTCTCTGACGTCCCTAACGTTAGTGGAAGCTCCTTACGAACTGATAAGCTTAGCTGTAGCGAGCTTCGTAGCAGGCATGTCAGCATATGGTACGTTATGCCTGTACGAAATGCATGTGCGACATTCACTAACTTCGTATCTTCACCTCTGCAGTGTGGGATGTTTGGAAGGACGGACTAAAAGCTCAGAAAGAGCAGGGTCTGGACGGTGTAGCAGTGGTAGTGTACTTTGCTGTTGCGACAGGGTTTGCATTTACAATGTTTCCAGTGTTATTGGGACTAAAGGACCGAGAGGAGAGTGTGTATTATAAGAATACAGAGATGTAGGGTCGGGATGGAATGCTTAGGTATCTTGACGACTATGACGTCACCTCAATACTCAGCAACACTACATTGACGACTACTCTTGCGCCAGCCACATATGACTGTTTTATCTTTCAATTGTTAACACTAAGATGCTTCAGAAAAATTCAAATGATCACACGGACTCAAGAAATTCGTTTGTAATATTCGTGTTCCGACGAAAATCGGATCCTGAATGGAGAAGCGGAACTACGACGGAGTTAAGCTCAAACAGGATCATATCAAAAGTGTCCCCGTCTGTATTGACGTTAGCTCTTACTTGGAGGGATGTGCATTTCTTGGCTGGTTGCTGATTGTTGGAATATATAAGAAAGTGTCCTTGCGTGAAAGAAATACTAGTAACAGCGTTTACAATACCAATTGTCTACCTACGACTGCACGAAGTTCTTCAACATATCATTCACTGCGTACGAAAATGGCTTCACCACTACCATACAATCGACAGAATGCGCTTGCCTCGACCATCGCAGTGGACAATGCATCCAACATAGCTGGCAAGATTGTTATTACTACCGGTGTGACGCAAGGTGGCCTAGGAGCAACTTTCGTAGAGGAGGTTGCAAAACACAAACCCGCTCTTCTCATCCTCGCTGGTCGTTCGCCATCCAAAGTCCAAGTCACAGCCGACAAGATCAGGTCCAACCCAGCGAGTGCCAACGTTGAAGTGCGTATTCTAGCCTTGGATCTTGCCTCACAAAAGCAGATCCGCGAAGCCGCAAAAGAAGTTTTAGCATACCCAGAGTCCAACATCGACATCCTCGTCAATTCAGCAGGCACGATGGCGGGCCCTTACCGCACCACAGCTGAAGGCATCGAGAGCCAATTCGGATGCAACCACGTCGGACATTTCCTCTTCACCAATCTCATCATGTCCAAGCTCCTTGCTTCCAAAGCACCAAGAGTTGTCAATGTGGCTAGCGACGGCCATCGCTTCAGCGGCGTTCGTTTTGAAGACGCAAATTTTCAGAATGGCAAGGTGTATGACCAGTGGGAAGCCTACGGTCAGAGCAAGACAGCGAATATATTGTTTTCGTATGCGTTGGCCGAGAAACTAGGGTCAAAGGGACTGAGAGCTTACAGTCTGCACCCGGGAGTGGCGTTGGGAACATCTCTTGCTGAGAAGTTCGATGATGAAGACATGAAGAGTGTGGGTACGTAGAAGACGTTGAAAATCACCGTAAATGACTGTCTGACGAGTACACAGCGGCCAAGGATAAAGCGATCGGCTGGGCGCGTGGTTTTGACATCAAGTCGCTCGATGAGTGTGCGGCTACCCATGTTGTCGCTGCCTTCGACACAAGACTGGATAACTATAACGGTGCCTTCCTCAACGATGGAAACGTGGCGCCACAGGAAGTGCAGCCGACAGCGAAGAACCCGGAAGATCCAGAGAAGCTTTGGAAGCTGAGCGAGAAGCTGGTAAGAGAAGAATTCGTATACTGAGCACGGAGGCTGCGCAGATTGTTCTCAAAATGTATGGGGTAGCATAAGGCATCTTCACGCCACGCAATGCCATGTTTATTTGCTGCCTCTTCTCATGCCCATTTCAAGCACCTTGTAGCCTCATGCGCGTCTTTGCACTCCAATCCACACACGCGCGCGCCACACTTGCGACACTTGATCTGCCCCCAATATCCACAGTTATCGCAGAACTGTCTCTGCGGTGCACCGCCAGCTGGAGGAGGCGCTGCGTGGCTTGCAGCGTACGAGAGCGGCGGTGCGGCAAGCAGTGCCTCAAGCTCGGCGGGGTTGATTGGTGCAGGTATAGAGTCGTCGACGGAGAGTAGCGCATCGTCAGCATTCGCGTCTTCGAGTCGTGATGGCGTTTGTGCTATGGCTGCGGGTCCTGGGGTGGCTTCCGCAGGTGTCGCGGGCACGGAAGCGAAGGCGCTCTGTCTTCGGGACGCTTGTGTTGCTCCTCTTCCTCCTGTGGACTGAGACACACTCCCTCTTGATGTCGTCGTTGCTTGTCCCAATTGCGCCTCTTCGTCGTCGAGCCAATGCTTGATCTGCCGCTGATACTGTATGATCCTCCTTGCATTCTGTGTCTTGGGCACGCTCGGCTTTCCAGGCACCGTGATAAGCTGTTTGGGGTCGTTGTCGCGTTCTAGCTCTGCTATGCGTCGCGCTATAGCCGTCTGCTGTCGTGCAGATAGCTCATTCTCGGCGCGCTGACCGCCTGGCGTTGCTGCCGCTGCGCGCTTCTTGTTCTTTGGGTTGATGGCAACCTTGGAGGGGTCGTAGCCCGTGTCGACGACATACGTCCATCCCGGTGCGACGGTCGCCGTCGAGTTCGGGAGCACCTCAACGTGTGGCATCGTGAATGGTCGAATGTGCAGGGTCGTGTTGCGGAGACTTCGGAGGTGTGGAAATTATGCATCCACATGCCGACGCGCCCAAAGTCCAGACGCCGGTACCTGCATGATCAGTGCGGGGTACGTACACTACTTGGATTGCTTCCCGTCTCGTCATCAACATGTTCGACGTCAGCCGACATGTGCAAAGCTGTATTTGAGAACATGCTATCCTCGGCTACTATCTACCTTGGTAGCATATAATCCCATAGAGTCAACCATCAAGGCACAGTAGCCACTTGATCGATTCACTCAAGGCTAACTGCATACACTTACCTGCAAGTCGCTTCTTTGCAACCAAACATGGCGCCTGAGAGGAAACCACCTATCGTACTTGCGCCTACTTCTCCACCAGATGATATCTCCAAGTCGGCTGCCTTCGTCTTTATCCATGGCCTCGGTGACGAAGCAGAAGGCCTAGCAAACGTCGCCAACCAATTTCAGTCTGCGGGCAAACTACCGTATATGTCTTGGGTTATTCCCAATGCGCTAGAAAACCACGATCTAGCAACTACTGCCTGGTATCTCCCCACACGCCTCTCTCCATATCCACCGTCGCGGCCTGAGCTCGAAGATGACGAAGACGAAGACGGCATGATGGCAACAGTATCGTATATCACCACATTGATTGATGATCTCGTCAGACAGGGTGTCCCTGCGGAAAGAATTATTCTAGGGGGTTTCTCACAGGGTCATGCTATGGCGCTTCTAACTGGCTTGATATCCAAGTACGCTGGGCAACTTGGGGGACTGGCCGGTTTGTCTGGATACCTTCCTCTGGCAACACAGATACCCAGGCTGAGAGAGCAAGCCGGGTTACCGAAGGATGTAAGTGAAAGTAAGGAGGTATTTCTGGCAAGGGGAACTGGGGATCGATTGGTGCCAAAGCGTTACCATCGTTTGTGTTATGAAGGATTGTATGAACTTGGTATCGAGAAAGAGAAGGTAACGGTAAAAGAATATGAGGGAATGGGTCATATCATGGGCGCGGCTGAGCTGCGAGACTTGTGTGCTTGGTTGGAGAAAGCAATACCCGAAATAGACTAAGATGAGGAATAATTCGACCCTGCGAAGTTGTGGCAGGCGAAACTGATGACTACCATGTTGTATCCCTCGTCTCCTAACTATGATTCCTGCTCCATCTCAAAGTCAAAATTGCCAAAATACACACAAAGTGCCTGCGCAACATCAGTATAGAATCTAGCTTCATGGCGGCTAGCTATATCATACCTTACTAGCACCCATCACAGTATAATGAGCAACCTCCAACTTCTTCCCATCTTGTCCATATCTCGCAATCTGATTAAGATCGGACGTTCTCGGCAGATACAGAACAACTTCTTTGCTTATCTTCGTAAAGCTCTTGTAGAGTGTTTCCAGGTTGTATGGCTCCATCTTACTAAGATCAAAGATATCTTCCGCACCGTATTCGGTTCCTATGTCGGTCAGCATATTTCGCATGTCGGTGCTCTGATTATACGAACCTCCCCATGGCGGGCTAGCGAACACGACAACATTGCTCTGTCCAGAGAATCTGTTAATGGCAGTGAAGCAATCTGCGTTGAGCCAAAAGATCTTATTGCTCACACCATAGATCTCAGCATTGTGCTTTGCGCACTTCAAGGTCTTGGCGTCTTTCTCGATGGCGAAGACGCGTTCCCAGCGACCTGAACGCGCTAATGCTATGGCATTACCACCGACACCCGCAAACGCGTCGACAATGACGGTCTTATCCTTGGGCGCAGACTCTGCGATGTGGGCTGCGATCTTGTTGGCGATGGGTTCTGGAGTCACGCCGAACCATGCGTCTTCAGTCATCCATATGCCTTGGTCGTACTTTTCCCAGATCTTGAACCGTTGATGCCAGTACCTACTAGTATTAGCTGCTAGGTTTCGCGAATTCGGTAGAAGATGAGCCATACTTCTTTAAGTGTTCAGGAAATTGCTCGACACGCGACCACTGGTCCACGCCTTTCTCATCCGGTTTTTCACTCATGACTATAGTGAGCGCAGTGTGTAATCCCGTAAAGGTCGTTATTTCCTCACAATCACACAAAAGACGAGGATCAGTTTAGAAGATATGTTGATGACGAGTAAAGCAAGCAAACGGTATGGATGGGTGAGAGCAATCCTGATACGCGTTACTATTTCGGGTTAGTCTTGACCAACGCGACTGCCTATTCAGATTCAGGTTACTTTACGACGTGAAATGTATACATTTGACTGACTGCGGACAGTTCAGAGAGGAAAATTTATCTTTGACTCGATTTTGAGCTATAGCAACCTGTCTCACGTCCTGTACAAGCACTCACTGCAGCGCAGCGCCCGCTAGCGTGCCGCAGATCCTGAGCTATGGCCACCTTCCAAAACCTCCAAGTCATCAACAACGACACCTCCACCACCACAACTTCTTCTCCGTCATCTTCATATGATCACTCTCTAGAGGGGAAACCAATATCACAGCCTCTCATAATGTCTATGTTCGGGGCGCTAAATCGCTTCATATCGCGATTAGACGCTGCACCCCTCAACGAGGAGCAGCAGTCTGCTACCAATGGCGCATACGGATTCCAGGTGCTGAGAAATGCCAATCCAGAAGTACCTCTAGAGCCATGGTTTGATTTTGTCATTGGAATCAATGGGCGAACTATTGTATGTATGATTCCGTCTGATTCAAGGGCGGCAGCACAGGAAACGAAAGAGCTGGAGAGTCAGGAAAACTACGAAATGGGTGTGAGAGGTTGCAAGACGAACATGAGATGGCCGAAACTAAGTGGAATTGGAGAATGTTGAACTGACTTTGCAAACAGGATAACCCCGACCCAAGCCTCTTTGCGACAGAGGTACGGAACTGTGCTGGCACAACAATTAGTCTGGGCGTATTCAGTGCGAAGGTAGGTCTGGATTGCCCCTTCTGCGTACCATGATACGTGTTATCACGCATTGCCCACTTTCTCACTGCACGACAACAAAGACACAGACTAGTCCTCAAAGTTGATTTCACATGGTTATTTCGTTTCATATCTACGGGTCTAACACCCTCTGCAGGGCCAAAAGATCCGGGAAGTCTATCTACAGATCCCCGCAAACCAGCCTACACTAGGCATCTCCCTGCAATGGTCCCCACTTGCCATCGCAGAAGACGTCTGGCACATCCTAGACGTAGCTCCCAATTCACCCGCTGATGCCGCGGGGTTGCTACCCTACGGTGATTACGTCATCGGCAGTCCCGAAGGGCTTGTGCGCGGCGAATCCGGCTTGGGTGAGCTTGTTGAAGACTTCATGAACAGGCCGTTGAGACTATACGTGTATAACCATGAATACAACGTCACCCGACCTGTTACCATCACGCCAACACGTAACTGGGGCGGTGAGGGTGCGTTGGGCTGTGTTCTGGGCTTTGGGGCTTTGCATCGTATTCCAGCGGGGCTGGACGAGCCGCCGCCAGCGCCTGGGGAGACGTTCTTCTCCACGGGCGATGCTAGTGGGGCTACCTCGTTCGACGAGAAACGCCCTTTGACGGGCACCGCTGATTTCTCTGCTGTTCAGCCCCAGGGTGCACCGGCTGAATTGTTTGTACCAGCCAATATGGCGCTACCGTCGGTCTCTCCACCGCCTCAGGGCACGGTGCCGCCTCCAAAGAGGAAAGGCAGAGCGCACCATGTGGCTAGCCCCGCAGATGGCGGTGGTGGTGTCCTGGACGACTACTTCAAAGAAGGCGAGCAGAAGAGTCTAGAGCAAGATTATGCACCAAAGAAGACCAGTGGTGTCCCTCCGCCTCCGAAGGCTGGCGGTCCGCCAAGAGGTCCGCCCAAGAGTGGTAGTGCGAGCAGGACAGGCACACCAGTCCAAAGCGATGGCAATGCGGAGGGTACAGCAGACCCAGAAGCAGCATAAGCTTGACTTGAGATTAGCATGATATCTCAGAGAAGATGAATGACAGCAACATACATTTGATGACACCGCACTCCTTGTTACTTTCTCACATCCTCATTCAGTCCTCAGCCTCAAAGTCTAGTTCTTCCCTGAATCGGCTCATCCTTCGCTGTTTCTTTTCTTCTACACTCTCGTTGCTTGCATTGCTCGATTGCGTCATGTACGAGTCGGCTCTAGCTTGCACTTCAGGCCTCTTCACGGCACCGCTAACACTCGTTTCTTTGCGTCCGTTGACCTTCTCAAAGGAGGAAACTTGGGGTGAAGTAGGTGATTGTTCTGGTGAAGAATCCGGGGAGGAAGACAGAGAGGTTTTGAGTTTGGTAGTCAGGGTACGGAAGATAGGCATCTTGGGTGATGGTCGTGAGTTTTTGTGATGATTTTGAGTGAAGATGTAGATGGTCGCAGTGGTTTGGTATGTCAGGTAGTTGGAATATGGTAGTGGTGATGTCGAGACCCGAGTATTTGCATGTATCCAGTCGATAGGTAAGCCAGTGTAGGTTATTACGATGGACAGGCAAAAAGGAAGCAACCACGATGGTATATGGACAAACAAACGGTAGTAATATCCCAACGGAAAATGCGCCAACAAAGGCGAGGCACACGACCACTCTAAATACCCTTTCCCCCACCACACACACACTCACATACCCAACGCATAACAGCAATCCCAATGCAGACTACAGCCCCAGCACACCACGTCAGGGGGCCGGGCGCCACCTAGGGCTAACCCAATACGCGCGACTCTCATAGCCGCAACAACCCAACTATCAATAAACACGCGCAGTAGTTTCAAACCACGGGTTCCATGCAAACCACAGAACGAGCGTGCGTCTAGACCGGCATATTCGTGGTATGTGGGTACGTTAGTTGACGATGCAAGGCCAGACCCTGCGCTAGCTATTGCTGATCGCCATTACACTGTGTCTGTTCCTGGCCCAATTTACGTAGTAGCAAGGGAGTCACATGGCAGCTGGGTATTCCCGAGGTGCCGTGGGGCGACGGGCAGCTGGCTTTCGCTAATATGGGAAAGACGTTATGGGCTTTTCTATGACGGTTTCCCTGATTGCGAGCAAGCTTCCTGCAACGCCGATCAAAGGAATCGCAATCCCATGCCCAGCGCCGATGAGTCCCCGGAAACACCTGGCGTTAGAACAGCGGCAGGACATGTTATGTTGTTACGGTCAAGTAAAGCGATTGGCTGCACAGCGGGGTAAAAGGAGAGAGGCTTGGCTTTTTTTTCCCGCTGGCCAAAACGGACAATCACGGACTACACCGCCATATGTGCTTTGCCGGCTTTAATCTGCTGCGACGAATCTATGCTATTGTGATTGGCGTATGTGGGCAAAAACGGGCGCAGGCGAAGTCGCTGACAGCAGGAAACAACGTCGAGGCAGTCATGAGACGTTTCCATCCAGCCTCCCACAAGTGTCACGAGCCCATTTTCACCCGGGCAACCTTCTCCCGCCCTCCCTCGCACCAGCCCTCTGGATCAGCGCGAGCCCAGATCTAGCGAACAATCGATGATGGGGTGTATCGGCGCACTCTGTGCAGGTAGGCAGAACGAAACATATCCGGTCGCCTTTACAAGTCGGCCATTGCTCCGCGCCGCGGCCCCCTTTGCATCGTAACGACGGCGCCACGTCCGTTTACTTGCCGGAACCAATGCCTTTTCTCTCACCCAATTATCCACATGGTTCCTGCCCCTGCAGCGACAACTGCCAAAATAGACACTTAACGTCCTCCACCACATGGGAAACTCCCCGGTTTCAACTGTTGAGATGGTTTGCAATCTCCACCTCGTGTTCCTGTCTATCAAGAGTTCTGGCCACCTAGACCGCTTCGGACTTGAATCAGGTGGTAAACAGTCGGTTCGAGTAGTGTTGCATCCGGCAACGACGGGAGTCTCCAGTGCTCCACCGGCTGACACCTCTGACGTCCACTGAGTCTTCAACCAAACCGTGGTTCATTCACCGCATCTTACCCCTGCCGAACTGGTGCCGAATCGGTCCCAGAGAAGGCCTTTACAAGCACTATTGATGCTGACACCTAGGACGGTATTAACAGGAGTGCGGAATGAAGGCGGAACCAGATGCACAATGTGCGCCGAAAGGGAGATTAGTGCAACAGTAAACCTGAGTGTCAAAGATAGAAACGCTTGAGGCGTAGGTACACGCAGGGGTTGCATTCGCAGGTAAATCTATCTCTGCGAACTCTACATGGGGGAACAATATCTAATTGGTCTCCTCGTAACAACAACCAAATCAAAACTCCGACTTGCTTTTCGAGCAGTCTATCCGTAATGAGCCTCCCAAAACAAAATATTTGAACGCCCATGTGGCTCGTGGAGCTAACAATACTTGGAAACGGGCCGGAAAACAGGCACAAGGCCAAGGGAAAGTCTGGGGTACGCAAAAACAAACGCCTTACTATGATGTAATGCCCAAAACGCCATGTTTAACCTTGCTTCATCTTATATCGAGCTGGAAGGGTTTAAACTTGGCTCCAATAGTGCTGCATCGCGGACACGTCGGCACCCGACCGCGGTTGTGCTCACTGACAAGTACATCGACACACTCTTGACAAAGGCCGCAGATGCATTCGGAACATGCATAACTGTCGCGCAATATGGAAAGTTTCCGACATGCAGCGCAGTATATTTGCACAGGGAAAAGAGAGCTAGGAGAAGAATCAGATAGACCCTGGGAGGGCATATGGAAAGTTTGACCGGACATGGCTGATTCAATGGACGACTCCACGGAAGGGAAAGGCTGGAGATCCGACATATCAGGCGGCGGAGGCGTCAAGGCGTTGTTCAATGGTGATGCGGTGTATGACTGAAGTTGTGAAGCAAAGTTAAAGGGAGGTAGAGAGGTTCGGTTGTTCATCATGTGAGGAGATTGATTTGGCGATTGTGGGACCTGTTCATGTTAGACGAGATAGGATACTAGAGTGTGATACCAACCGGTGTAAGATCTCGACTATCCTCTTCTGTGGCCGAAGCTGCAGCGTCAATCAAGTCTTCCCATCGTTTACCCATGATGGCCGCAGCTGTTGCCGGCTCAGCTGAGTAAGCTTTCCTGTCGTAGCTCAGCCTACGGGAGTAGTCCTTTGACTTCTGCCGCTCATGCTTTCCCCTACGAGCATTCTGACCTATAGATGACTTGCGAGGTCTGTTCGGTTTGAGAGAGTGAACGCCTGGTGGCAGTGTTGAGGAGCGCCCGGGGGGCGAGCGGGCGAGGGAGGAAGGAAGCAACTCTTGTTGTATAGAATTGGAAGTATAGTAAGGTTCCTCGGCATTAACGTGTTGCTCTATGGTGGTAGGAGCGAATCGTGCGCGAGGTCTGTAGTTTTTCGAGTCCGGGTCGGATGCTGCGTCCTGTTCACAGCAGTTGTTAGCTCGGTCTTATGCAGGGAAGCTGCAGAGCGGCTTCATACCGGATCTGAGTCCCAGTCGTACTCGGCACGATGGTTGTGTAACGAGGCCAGGGCAGCTGCAGCGGTTGCAGCGGGTAGGAGCGATGGCCGTCGCATCTCATCCGATGTGCGAATGTTATTGGTACCGAAGTCGGTCTCGAAGAAGGAGTTATGTTCGTTTCCGCCATAATCGTACGTCTGCTGGGGTGCTGCTGAGGTCGTTGCGGGTGGAGGTGGGGGTCGTTCTTGTGGTGGTGTGTTCACCATCAACATGAAGCTCTCCTACAAGTAGGAATGCCGCGTCAGCAAGAGGTTTGCACGGTCTTGAGCAGGGAAAAGCTTACCTCAGTTGCCGGTAACTTGGAGATATAATGCTCCGGGTGGGCACGGCGGATGTGCTCTTGCATGGACCGAAAGCGCTTCTCCTACGCATGGCGTGTTAGTCTGCACCTGGGAGCTCTGGAAGCTCTGGAAGCTTGCCATAACGTGAAAGAACGATGGTGAGGACTTACGCCAGTGCAGCGCTTGCGACAGGCGGAGCTGTCATGGTTGCGCAGCGGGCAGACAACGACATTGTTCTCGTCGCTGACGGAGAAGGAGCTCGTCAGCGGTGCTGCGCGCGAGGGAGGCATGGCTGCAAGCATCAATGGCAGAAGCTTCCCAACGAAGCAATGGCACGCGAAAAAGCTGGGCGCTAGGACAGAGAAGCTCTACCGGAGCTTGCGCAGCTTGGGGAGAAGGTTACAGTGTCGGTAGAGGCTGGTGTGGTGACTACGGCGGGTTGACGAGGAAGCTCTGGGCTGAAGTTGCTGCTACTGCGGATAGACGTAACTGAATGCGGGGCAGCTGGGAACAGCGGCGGGGCTGGAGAGAAAGTGATCAAGTAGTGGCTGTGTTCAAGAATCACGATTGAACCATGGAAGAAGAAGCAATGCGAGTGCACTGCTGCCGTCAGAGGAGAGCTGTATCGCCACAACCAGCTCGAGCGGATGAGCAATCAGACGGCTGCCCTGGAGCTGAGGCGAAGAAGATAGCTTGGAGCTCTTCGTGCTGCCCAATGACCTACCGCTTGAATGGGGATTTGTGCGCTCCAATCAGACGTAGCCGTGATCAAGGCGACTCATAATCAGCTAGACGGCGCAGAAGCCTTCTCACAGCTCAAGTCCCGTGCATGCAAGAAATTTTGACCAATGCGAACTATTGCTCGGATTCTTCAGCAGCACATCGGCTACGGCGCCATGAAGATTTTTGCTCTTCGAATGCCGAGCTAGATCCAGTTTCGGCCGGCAGGACCAGGAAAGTGCTGCACTTGGTTGCAGGGAGCTGCATCTACCACATTTCCTGCGGCGAGCTTTGGGTCGAGGATGCGGTGGTGGGAAGCGTCAAGGAAGACGGGAAGGAGGAACGAACAAGACACACGCAGCACGCGACGACGAGCTTTTGACGCGCCGGGGGTGGCAATTGTTGAGTGACAGGAGCACCGTCTTGCTATCGCTTTCCAAACGCGTCACATGCGTCTCGTCTGCACCTGCTGTTTCCCCCCGGTGCTCGTCTGCACCTAACCACGCTCGCGTCAACCTTCCAAAGCATTTGCTTCTGCGGCCGTTCCAAGGCGATGGCGCACGCCCATAATCATCATGGACAAGGGCATCACAGACTGACACGGCATCGCCGTACCTTGTTGCCTCGTCTCCCTCTCCTCACATGTCTTACGTTGCCGTTGCATCGTCGTGCGCTTTGCCGACATTGTCTTGCACTTGTCTTCCGCTAGCATGGCACTCTCCGTCGAGTCGTTGAATGGAGACACTTCCTTTCTCCTTACCTTTGATCCACCCGCAGCCCCACTATCGTCACCAGGGTTGTTCCCAGGCTCCTTCACGATTCTGGTTGACCGTAAGTCTTTGAGGATCGCGTCTTCGATCGTGCATGAGATGACAGTCTGTAAACACGTGCTAATCTATTTTCTGGATAGCCTGGCTGTCAGGGCCGTCAATCATCCTAAACTCCATCTTCTCGCATTCTGAGCAAAGAGCAAAACCTTCCATATCGAGCCTCAAAGACCTTGACCGCGAACCCGATCTCGTGCTTATATCTCAAGACAAGCCGGACCACTGCCATGAAGCCACATTGCGCCAACTTCCACCAGATTCGGAGACGACTATTCTAGCCATCCCATCTGCAGCCAAAAAGATTCGGTCGTGGAAACACTTCCGTCCCAACCTTGTACATGCTCTACCAAAATACGTCGAGGGCGATGGTCGGTCTATACACCGTGTAGTAATACCGCCACCGTCTCCTCGAGGGACGTGTGGTGAGATAACCGTAACTTGGATTCCAGCGAAACGAGACCTATCCAAAGTACACCACGCCATTGGAATAACATATCGGCCTCCGTGTACTGTGCTCTCATCGCTTAGTCCAATGCACTATATCGACCTGCCCATGAGCCCGCCCCCCTCACCAGGATCCCCTATGACCATTGCCTCATCACCTCGTACAATAGTGCCGTCGCCCTACAATGATCGTGAGAAGACTTTGTCCGTCATCTATTCGCCTCACGGTGTGTCATACGACGTGATTCGTCCCTACGCAAGCTCGTACCTTGTCTCGGAATCTGCCCTTCCACTCACAGCGCTTCTGCATTCTTTCGACTGCGTGGAGAACCCTTGGTGGCTGGGAGGCAACATATCTGCTGGAAGTCCCGGTGGCACTGAGATTGCCAAGAGTCTTTATGCCAAAGCATGGATCTCTGCCCACGATGCAGACAAGGACAATCGAGGCTGGGCAGTCAAGTTGACACAGATTGCACAACACGCAGTCGACGAAGTGAAGAAGATGGTGGAAGAAGGTGTTGTCAGGAAGAAGCTACCCAACACCGAGATCATAACACTGGGTTCTGGAGAGAAACATCGGATCGCTGTCGGATGAAGATGGCGCCATTATCAAAAGCCCGAGGCTACTGCTTGTCTAGCATGTCCGGCCAATACACGACCGGCCACCACCGAGGAAGGTGTTAAGGGAGATTGCCATGTTGGATCACATTTCAGACATAGATTGTAATGCTGAGGCCCGGGCTCACCAGAGTCGCATGGTCGAGCGTTAAAAGCGACGGTGGGGTTTGTGTTTGGGATTCTTGAAAGCAGCATGGTAGGGGAGCGGAAGAAGGCTAGCGTCGCGAGCGCAGGTGCCATTGGGTGCGCGATAGTCAACACAGATGCACTGGGGAGAACGTGTCATAGCAGTGTAGATCTATACATGGCCAGCTGTGTGGGGGATATGTGTACGATGCGGAGGACTGCATGCTTGAGGTAGTTGCTACGCGATGTACTGCCATGTTGGGCGGACGAAAACAGGGCTGGGCTAGACAGGAGATTTGGCAGTGGAGCAGGGGCTAGATAGTGCCGGCTATGGACGAGTGGGCAAAGTGCGGCGCAGGGCAAAGGCCGGCTCGCACTCTCCGTTGTCCGGTGCGCGACAACGTGGGCTGCATGGATAAGCATTGGATAGCAATAGCAAGGTGCAGCTTGGGAGTAGAAAATAGCCCTCTCCTTTGCAACGGTGTCAGAGCGGTTAAGAATAGGCCTGTTTGAGAGCCACAGCATGACGCCGTCCCGGACTGCTGGGACTATTGGTGTGGCTGAGGGGATGCATGTCGACTGTTCTTAATCCAGACGCGCAATCTCCCTCCACGGACTCGCGGAACGAGCAAACGAGGTGCGTACACCGCATTGAGGCGGCTTGAAGGGTGTGAAAAGTAACAGAGAGAAGTGACGAATGGACTGAAGCAGCTCCGAGTGCATACAAACTGTCGTGATTCACAGCACATCGGGCCCTTGTGCTGCTGCTTCTGGTGGCTTCGCAGCGTGCAATAAGGCACGATCCACCTGCCAAGGCTAGCGCAAGACGGAAGTCGGATCGCGGCGAGCGAAGGGCTGACGAGCGCAGTGCCAACTATTCGCACGAGCATCACCAGCTTCGACTCCTGGCTGCTGCATACTACACACCACGCCCATTCTTGCGCCCGCCGTTCTTGTTACCACGACCCCATTGATTGAGCGCCTGCCGTCCCCGTCTCTCCTCCACCGTCCGCTCTGCTCTGGTAGTCTCTGACGGCGCTGCGCTACGCTACGCAATCCCCCGGACGACGCCCAACCCGACCTTCACAAGCCACACACACCTACCTCTCACACACACTGGCTTCCCACGCTTCCTCGCCGACCCCTCCTCCGCAGCGCTCGGGGAAGGCTGCCTCTTTGATGAGCGTAACCATCCATGAGTCGCAGATGATGCCCTCGTATGGCGCCGAAGCAACCGACCGCCCATCCTTTGCCCATGCACAAACAACATCCACACCGCCCGCGCGCACCCCCTCGGACCGCTCGTCACCCAATGGCACTGCTGCTGCCATGAACGGGAAGCTATCCAACGGCCGCCCGACCAGGCCTGCGAGCATCGACAAGCGCCTGTCGCAGGAAGAAGGGCGCCATGGCCGGAGTAGGGGAGACGCCATCGACGTCGACACCTTCAACAATAACAACCGCTCGCCCGACATGCACCGGCTGTCCAGCGAGCGCCCGAGCAGGGACGATGGCTACTTTGCCTCGATCCACAGCAGCAAGACCAAGGACCGCCTCTGTGGCAGCACCACGCACGTCGAACTCGGCCAGATAGATGCCCTCGATGGCACAAAAGAAGCAAGCAAGGACTTCTACGTGCCGCATGTCGGCTCCATGTCCAACCCTACCACATCGCCCTCGCCCCAGCCTCAGCCCGACGAGGCCGCGTCAAGCCTGCAGGTACCGACCCAACCGCATCGCGTCTCCTCCCCACCGGCTTTTAACCACAACAACGCCAACTCTTCGCAGCCACCCCACCGCCTACAGCAACGTCACACCCTCGAGGTCCCCAAGCTGCAGACATCGCGCGCCCGCGACACCCAGAACAACACTGACGACGTCATCAGCGCAAGCGGGAGGTTCTCGCCCTCTACACCGCACCGCCGGAGAGGCTCCATGTCGCTTGTGCGTAGGACCACACGCTCCGTCAACTCAGACATGCCTCTTGACGAAGTGCCCCAGGACGATGAGGCCGCGCGATGGGCTGAACACATACGACAGAAGAGAGCCAGCAAGAGGAAGCGCAAAGAGGACGAGGACGAGGATCGCGTCGTAGTAGGCACCAAGGTGGACCAGAATCACGTCAACTGGGTCACTGCCTACAACATGCTGACGGGTATTCGCTTCACCGTCTCACGAACCAACGCCAAGATGGATCGAGATCTTACCGATGCTGACTTTGATGCGAAGCACAAGTTTTCGTTTGACATGTACGTGCCGGCTGTTTTTCCTTATACCATCACGCATTTGTTCGATTTCAGCTTCACTTCGTCTGCCAGACCTGTATTCTCTGCTCATTCGCCCAATACTGACACTCCCACAGAACTGGCAACGAGCTTACTCCTTCCGCCAAGTACGACTTCAAGTTCAAGGACTATGCGCCATGGGTCTTCCGCCATCTCCGCACTACCTTCAAGCTCGACCCTGCCGATTACCTTGTCTCGTTGACAAGTAAATACATTCTTTCCGAGCTCGGCTCTCCAGGCAAGAGCGGCAGCTTTTTCTATTTCTCTCGCGACTACAAGTACATCATCAAGACTATCCATCACGCTGAACACAAATTCCTCCGCAAGATTCTCAAAGACTACTACAACCACGTACAAGAGAACCCCAACACCCTTCTTTCCCAGTTCTACGGCCTGCATCGCGTAAAGATACCCTATGGACGTAAGATCCATTTCGTCGTCATGAATAACCTGTTCCCTCCGCATCGAGATATCCACCGCACATTTGATTTGAAGGGCTCGACGATTGGGCGAGACTTCAAGGAGGATAATCTGGCGACCAACCCTCGCGCAACTCTAAAGGACCTGAATTGGTTACGCAGAAATCAGCATCTCGAGTTAGGACCATCGAAGAAAAAGATGTTTATCGAGCAGATGCAGAGGGACGTCAAGTTGCTGCAGCGCTTGCACATCATGGACTACTCACTTCTCATTGGTATCCACGACTTGGAGAAGGGTAACGAGGAGAATCTGAGAGACAAAACACTCCAGGTCTTCTCACCAGGTGGAGAGGAGGCACCAGAGCCACAGCCGAATCAGCTCATGCGTACACCTTCAAAACTAGAGAGTGCTCGGAAAGCACGGGAACTGAGGCAGATGGTCAAGACCCAGAAGCCAGTACCAATGGGTCAGACCTCCAGCAAGATGCCGGATGAGTTGGAAGACCCTAACCGGAACTTCTACTTCTACTCCGATGATGGCGGTTTCCGGGCTACTCATGAAGACAACGCCCCTGGAGAGGAGATCTACTACCTTGGTATCATCGACTGTCTGACACACGTAAGTCTGCAACATGATTGATGTGCATGTTGTAACATACTAACTTCACTTCAGTACTCGTTCATTAAACGCATGGAACACTTTTTCAAAGGCATCGCTAATACCGAGTCACAAATATCTGCCATACCCCCCGAACGATACGGTGATCGATTCATCAAGTTCATCAGTGGCGTCACTAAAACCAAAGAAGCGGCCGATCGCGAGAAGATGGAAGAGGCTACTAACGATCTCAACGAACTATCGCTGGACGGTCTCAACCGATCATCGACCGACCGCGTCGTAGAGAAGGCAGAGCACCAAGCTGAACGCTCGCGGCGACAAGGTCATGGCGAGGAGAACGTACCGAATCTGCACATGAGGGCAGTACGTAGTCCGTCCGCGGAAAGAGGAGAGATTGGGACCACTCTTCCTGTAGTCGAGGAGGCTGGTGAGTCTTCGAGTGTTGGTGGGCATAGCAATCGGAGCGCCTCAGATGGTGCTCATGCTATAACTACAAGCAACAATGAGGCCTCGCCGCCTCCGCCACTCACAGGAGCACCCTATCTTGGCCCCCCGCGCCTTGAGTCCAGAGCTAGGTCAACGTCCAGAGAAAGGGATCATTCACAGGGTAGGCCACCGCCAACACCACCCAAAGACTCGGGCACCGCAAGTAGCGATGGTCGGCCACCCACACCAGCAAAGGATTCCGAGTACATGTCTAATAGGCACTCTGGGCCGCCCACACCACCGAAAGAGGACAAGAGAGGAGGGATACCCAGAGCCTCTCTGGACAAGGACCTACCACGAACACCATTAGAAACCACCATCAGGGTTACCTAAGCTCGCCAATGGAATCTTGTCCAAGTTCGCCATCTTGTCACACCTTTTCATACAATGCTTTTTGCATACCGCCTGGTCAAGTGCCAGGCTTTTCCTTTGTCGCTCCCCTGCGTCGCGAATGCATGATACCATGAGCCGCCGCCCGTTTTTATAGGGCGTCGATCCGCTCCTGCTTTTTCCTTTGTTCACCTTTTTTTCCATTTCTTGTCTCTGTTTGGAGCTATGTAGCTTTTCTTCCCTTATTGTTGGATCACGGAATTGGAACGGACGGCCTGTGTAGTACATTTCTTTCTCGTTTTGTCTCTGTCTCTATCGAACTCGTGGTGCCGGTGAATAGGAGTTGGTCGCCGCCCCTTGTTCATGTAGAATAGCTTCCGGTCGATTGGTGGAAGGAGGTGATAATAGCAGTTAGTGTTTGCTGACAGGTACTGTTGACATCGGCAGAAGAGCCGTGGTTGGGAAAAGAAGAAGAAGAAGCGGTTATGCCGTTGGGAAGAGATGGATTGGAGGGCTTGGTCATACATCTAGTAGATAGAGACGAAAGAAATTACAATTGCATATAATAAACATAACCTCCTCTCCAGTCCATTCTGATCACATGCTGAGAAGACGATGGGACAAGCCAAGAGTGTCTTTTGAATTATAATTCATGGTCTTTTTCTGTCTACTTTGAATCGACATTCAACCTTTAAAGCGGGCAGGAGAGGGATAAGATGATTGGCCAACATTTCTTGTCATCACATACAACTGCGTATCGCACGATGTAATCACATTTAAACCTTGAGTTCAACGAAGAGTAATTCACAAAGGACACGGTCGCGAGAAGCAATGAAGAAGCAGGCGATACAGATGTGTTCACGTAGTATCATGCATTAACAGAGTTACGACGGTACACGCCTCTGCAACGCTCATAACTCGAAGGCCTAGTCTATCTAGTAGTACAATGCCACATCTCTCTCGCGCATTAAGTTTTCTCCTCACAACTAAGCAGCGAATTCGCTTACTTATAGAAGTCGAACTTGTCAGCCTCAGCTGCACCCTTGACCTGGCTCGTGTATGCTTCCTCCAAATCACTCTGGATGATGTTGTACCTGTTCTTGCGGACAGCTCTCAGACCTGCTTCCTGCATGATGGCCGCAATAATGGCACCGGAGAGGGGGTCGTTGCGGACAATCAAGCTGTCGAGATCTACTTCAGGCGACAAGCTCATCTTTCCGGCAATGGTGGAGAAAATAAGACGACGCTCACGGCGGTCACGTAGCGAAGGGAATTCAATCTTCCTGTCGAGACGACCGGGTCGGAGTAGCGCAGGGTCGAGGGTATCCGCACGGTTCGTTGCCATGATGACCTTGACGTTGGATGTCTGGTCGAAACCGTCCATTTGGTTGAGTAGCTCGAGCAAAATACGTTGAACTTCTCGGTCGGCACCCGTCTGCGCATCGAAACGTTTGGTAGCAATAGCGTCGATCTCGTCAATGAAGATGATGGATGGTGAGTTCTCGCGCGCCATCCTGAACACGTCACGAACCATACGTGGACCCTCACCCAGATACTTCTGCACGAACTCGGAGCCGACGACGCGGATAAAGGATGCTGTGGTGCTGTTGGCTACAGCCTTGACCAACATAGTCTTTCCTGTACCCGGAGGTCCGTACAACAATACACCGCGTGGTGGATCGATACCGATCTGCTTGTAGAGGTCGAAGTGTGTGAGGGGCAATTCAACAGCTTCCCGAATCTCCTGCTTCTGCATATCCAGACCTCCGACGTCGGCATACGTGATGTCGGGCTTCTCATCTTGGCCAAGCATGGCAATCGACGAGTCAGCCTCTGGTGGTAGGATGTCGACGAGGGCATTTGAGTGGCGGTGTAGCGCAACAGATGAGGATGGTTTGAGGAGTTCGCGATCGAGGGTGGAGAGGATACGGACGACGTAGTTGGAGCCGGTTGATGATTGTACGATGCCGGTGCTATGTGCGTCAGTGCTATGACGCAAGTGCTATGCTTGTGTTAAGCTTACTTCTGGTCGATGGCCTCCATGAACTGCCCTATCACGAGCGGTACACTCTGAATACGCTTGATCTCTTCTTGTGCTCTCACCAACTCTCTCTTCAAACTCCGCTGCTCATCTTTGATGTACTCTTCCTGCAAATGGATGTACCTGCTACTGTTAGCCACCTGTGTTCCAACGTGTCTGAATGCCACATACTCCAGTTGCCGTTGCAGCTTCTTGAAGGTCGAGTAGTCATCGTTTCCCTCTGTGGAGAAGCCCTCGAGGGTATCAAAGTTCGGTATCGATGAAGGGAGCTGCTTCTTGTGCGGCGGGACGGTGTTGGCCGGGTTCTCGACGGCGGTGTCAGCCATGGTGATGGTGGCTGTTGGCTGTTAATCTGGGGACGAGTCGGTTGTGGATTTCCAACAGCGAGAGACGGTGAGGGTCGGCGGTGATTGTTTTTAGCGTGTTGTTTATGAGGCAGTGCTTGTCTGTCGCAATGTTGATGAAGCTCATGGGAGGCGCGATCGGGCAATGCGAGACGCTAACGCCGATATCACGTGAATGTGACGATCACTCAAGCACCTTCGCTGGGAAGCACATCTTAGACACCATCTATTGCGACGTGTTGAAAAAAAGAAATTCACGATGCCATGGTCACGCGCTAAATGCCCGATATGCTATCAGGTGACAAATTGGACATCACAAATTATCTAAATGGAGCGCAAGTACGCGCCCCCAATGCTGTCGGGCTTTGGCTGTCTCAAGCAGTGAGCAAGGGTCTACAACCATTCAACTAGGCCTGCGTAACAGACTGTGTATGCATGAGGGGTAGTAGCCTGCTCGCCGTGAGAAGTTACCTATTAAGTGGAAGAAGATGTGGAGTACAAAGAAGGCCCAAAACCTAGTTTTACCCACCCCTTGGAGTAGTAAATCGCGCGCCGGTTTACAACAACGTCGACTTTGTATTTGGCACGTAGGAAGCCATGCATGGATTTATAGGTCTACCGAGGCATTGGATTGATGGAACAGAACACGAGCCTCCTTACAGACATGTATCATAACACATGCGCCGAATCTGACATGTACAACCCCAGTCATCGTGGCAGATTACCGGCGTGTGACGTGCCGATCACCAACGGGTGTACATGAGTAGATGCGAATTTGCACCGTACTGTACTCGGCAAGAGAGAGGCCGGCTGCGCCAGGTTCGAGCAAGTTCGCTGGTGGGCTGGCTCTAGGGTGAGGGCGAGTTCAACGGTTGGCTGGGGTCTCGACGCAGAGTCAAGCGGTCTGGGGTGCCCACTCTCGACGCCCAGCTATGCGATAACAGCGCCATTACTGCAGGAACAAAGTGATGTAATAAGTGGAGAGACAGATGTTTCCGTGTCACGACGGCCAAACTGACCCGGAGAAATCAAATTGAGTTAGACTAGGCTTGTGAGTTGCCGGCAACGCAGGCACTCCACTGGCCTGTCGCGACGCGCGAACGCGTCTGCTGCTCCGGATGCGACTGTGCCTGTGTGTATGTTTTGGTGAGCTTGCTGTCGCTGCTGTCTGCGGCGACGTGCTTTCAGTTTTCAAGTCGCGGACACTGCTTGGTCTCGTGATGCCCGACAAGGCTAGTAAGTAGAGGCTGGGAGGCTGCCAAGAAAACTGTTCCTTCCTCCGCTCTCAGCAACGCATAGTCCGCAAAGCGCGTCTGCGGTACGTGAAGTTATCGACCGCATTGGAAGCCACTCGTTTTCCGTCCTGCCCTGATGAGAAGATCATTTTAGCGTCGGTCTATTGTCGCGTGGTGTGTATTATCTCATCCTCCCTCCCTCCCTCTGTTGCGTGTCTGTTCTGGACCTCGTGCGAGTGCTGCTGCTAGAGTCGCGTCCATCTAAACATCAACATGCGTGCTGACCAAAGGCTAGCCAAGTCAAATCCAGGCACTCACGTACCCCCATCGCTCTCTCGCTCGTCTCTCCCTTTACGCGACTGTCCGTTCCCTCTCCCCGCCCTTCTCAGCCATTCGCGGCAGTAGCGCACCATCATGGACTTCCAGTCTCCCCAAAACGGAATGTACGATCCCTCGAGCTTCATCGACCCGAGCGCCATCGCAAACCCCCAGATGAACGGCGCGCGCCCATACAACCCTATGCCGTCGGTGCCCCAGAAACGAGATTCCACTGGCGCTGCCCTCTCGCTATCGCGCTCCCAGACACCTTCGCAGCAAGCCCAATTCGGCTTCCAACACCAACAAGCCTTCACCAACACGCCTTCCCCTACTATGCAAAGCCAGCACTTTGCGCCTGGCCAAATGGGAGGCCAGCGGATGAATACTGCCTCGCCCGCGCAAAACCCCCATGCGCCGCAGATGTCTCCCATGAACTTCCAGGCCTCGCCCATGAACCAGGCCTTCAACGCCGCCAACTCGGGAAACCAGTTCCCAGTGCAGTCAGTCCAACTGTCGCAAAACCTACAGAGTCGCCAACAAGAGGCGCAAAGACAATACGCGATGCGCCTGCAGCAGCAGCAGCAGTTGGGCAACCTTGCCGCGAGCAACATGGCCGCGCGCCAAGGACAACAACCGGGCGCGCAGATGCCCGGCGCAATGCAGAACCCTATGCAGCACCCAGGCATGCAGCAGAACATGATGCAGGCCCAGGGACAAACACAGAATCCGCAATCACAATACAACCAGTTCATTAAGAATGTCCAGGCACTAATGACCCAGCACAACCGGCCCTTCAATCACCAGCCCCTCTGCGCTGGCCGTCCGACAAATCTCCAGAACCTTTACGCGGCTGTTATGCGCTTCAAGGGTCACCGATTTGTGACGCAGCAAAATGGATGGCCCAGGATCGCGCAGATGATGAGCATACATCCGCAACAGTTCCCTAATGCTCCCAACGAATTGCGCCAGATATACGAACAATATCTGAGCCTCTACGAAACTGCTTACCTCCAAAGGCAGCAGCAAATGCAGCAGAAAGGCATGCCTCCGCAAGGACAGATGGGACAGATGGGGCAAATGGGTCAAATGGGGCAGATGGGATCTATGGGTCAGCAGATGTCGCCAACAAGACCGACTATGCCAGGGCAACCGGCCAACGTTCCAGGACACCAGGAGTATCTCCAGCAACTACAGAGATCGCAGGAGGCCATGAAGCAACAACAACAGCAGCAGCAACAACGGCAATCGCTTCCGCCGGCTCAGCAGCCACATCAGCAACTCGAGCCATCCCCACATCCACACCAGTCGACACCTCTGCAGAGTAACGCAGCGCTTCCAAGCGTTAATGGCAACACACCACAGCCCGACGGAAACGCGCGCAAAAGCCTCAGCAGACAGCTGGAAGGGACTCCCACTCAGGGCCAAGAGCCTAGCCAGTCCCAGTCGTCACCGATGAAGCAGGAGGATAATGCCACCACCGACCCGGCAGCAGCTGCTGTAGAGGAGCCCGAGAAACGCAAGCCAGTAATTGAGCAAGATGATGGCACCCGGGTCTACCAACCCGCTTACCGAACGCAAGACACATGGGGAGGCCTCGACTTCGATTCCGACAATTTCAAGAACATGATCGACACGATTACAAACTACAAACCAAATGTGCCATTACTGCCGGAGATGGGTGTTATCGATGTTCGAGCTATCAACATGAGCATCAAATCGGGACTCCATGCGGAGGTGCGACTGGGGCTGGACACCCTCACGCGTATAACTTACGATAACACCGTACAATTCAATTTGTCGCACTGCGAAGATCTCACCGAGGTGTTGGTGGAGTACGCGGAAGATCAATTGGAAATACTAGGGAACGATAATCCCGAAGTCACTGACATTATCGATCTCACACCATACGAGGACGTTCTGCACCACTGTCGCGAGGAGGCTTCAGCACTACAAGAGCTCCCACAGGCTGGTTCGAAGGAGTACATGCTCGATCGCACTGCGGATCGATTGCTCGCAATCACAACCATTTTCCGAAACCTGTCCTTCCTGGAGGTTAACCACGACTCCCTGGTCAGTCCTCCTGTCATCAAATTCCTTGCAAACTTCATACGGCTTGTTGGGACCCGCGTACTATTACTACGATCGCATATCAACACCTTCGACTTCATGAAAGATGTCGTTACTTTCTTCTCCAACACCAGCGCCAAGGTTGTTTTACCCAACCGCGAAGATGCCTACGCTGTGTTGCATTTCCTATGCGCTTTTGCACCAGTTCCACGACCCGCTGAGCCTGTTAAGTTTACGCCTTTCAACCCGCAAATCCACCGCTATCTCCCCTCTGCTGTTGACAGTCTTGCAAAACTCCTCGCTCGCGACGATCCCAACAGGACGTACTATAAGCAAATCTTCGTCAATGAGGCAACATCCACCCCTGCATATGACCTTCTGACGCGTTCCTTCGCTCTTGCCATCTCCGTTGTGCCGGACCGCAACTACATCGAAAACAAAATGTACCAGATGAAAGAGCCACGCCCCAAGGAAGTACGCATGTTCGAAGCGCGCGTTGCGGAGTCAAGAAAAGCATACCTTATGCAGGGCATGCTAGCTGCAGACATACTCGCTAGTTTAGCCCCAGGGCCTGAAACTGGCATCTGTCGCTCATGGCTTGAGTCAGAGGATGGTTGGGCGCATAGCCTACTGAAGTTTGCAATGTCGCTTTCCGCTACCGATGCAGCCATCCCACACCCCCCACAACCGCCAAATCACCGCGGTCAGCGACCTATGGACCATGACCGGGAAGGCTTCCAGCTCATCGTCCACCGTGCGCTGTCGACTCTCAAACGTTTAGGCGACAAATCGAAGGGTGGCGAGCCCCTGGTCAAGGGCGTGCAACAACCAAATGGGCACGTGAACCACGACGACGAAGAGGAATATGACGACGACGATATGGAGATCTTCAACTTCAACGGTAGCTCGTGGAAAGTCAAGGCGGATATACTACCTCGAAAGGAGACGTTGCTCGGCGCACTCTTGACCGCACAATTGGACGTGCGGAGCCTGAACCAGTTTTGCAAGATTGGCTATCTGGACGAATAATGGAACGTGTAGGATAAGCGGGATGGGATGGGATGAGGTGTCTAGGCGAACATAGGATGTGTATAACGGCGGAGTGGAAACTGTTATCATTTTTGAGTGCTGTAGCATTGCGAGAGAGTTCACATGGTTTTGCTTCAGTCTTCTCGCCGTCTGTACCAAACTCTTTTTCATCTTCTTGTATAGACAATGTATGAGACTGTATGTGTAACACCATGTACAGTTTCGCTCCCAAAGCCGTGTGCTCTGCTCCAACAATCTCCAACAACAGTGAACATGAGAGGCAGAAGACTGTTTTTATTCTTCCATCTGGACCAAGGATGTTGTACAAATTACTATGCTTGGAAGAAGCAACAGCCAGGGCCACACAACTGGGTACTCTGTACCCATGAACAAATAAACACCATCAGAGCCATCCAGGCTCGAAAATCCCAAAGTTGTTTTTGACTGATACTTCCCGTATCATGAGAAAGCTATTCCACCAACGCCATGCTATGCATTAAGAAAAAGACTTCAAACCCTTCACGTTGAGACACGTAGCGCGTCAGTGTCTCGATCCACCATTACCTCTTGGCATGCTTGTACAACCGTACAAACCCAGTCAAGATACGTAGCGGCTATTAAACCTCGTTGATGTCATCCTTTTTCTCCCACAGCGGTTATTTCTAAGACGGTGAACCAGCGAAAGAAGGGGTAGCGGGAACAACAGTAGCGGGAGATGCAGCACTTGCATTTGCGTCCCTGAACGTGTCGTTTTGCTTCCTTTGGCCGTTGAGGAGCGGGCAGAGCCTATTAGGGATTGTGTTAGCGGATTCGTTCAATAAAGAGTGAATCTTGACGACTTACTTTTTGTTTGTCTTGATGTGGCCCACCTCGCCGCAGTTTGCACACTTGCGAGGTGTGGCTCCACCCTTTCCTGGCCCACCAGTCGCTCCACCTTCTCCCGTCTGCGACTTGTGCAATCCTTTTGCCTTTTCACGGCCTTCGCGACGCTCTATGTTGCGAGCTAGACGCGCCAATTCCGCCTTCAGCTTGATCTTTTGTGCCTTGTCCACTTCAGGATCACCAGTTGGCTTGATGTCTTCAATGCGCATGTTGAGTAGACGCTCTTGTCGCTTGTGCTTAATGTAAAGCTGGATGACAGCAGGGTCGGTGATTATCTCAGTGACATCTTCGAACTCGTCGTACTTGTTCTTGATAGTACGAGTAATCTTGAGCTTCTTGCCACGGTTGTCCGCATTACTATTGCGAGACATCTGGGACATGGTCTCATCATCAGGACGCATAGCTGGAGTACCTACTTCGGAACGTTGGCGACTGTGGTTTGTTTGGTTGACAGCAGAGTCAACGTCGTCTTCGGTGTCGGACGGTGGGTTTTGGGCAGACAAACTCTCCTTCTGTTTGTTCCAGATACGCTTGATGGCATTCTCGTACATGACCTGCTGGCGCTGAACGTTGTAGCTGTGACCGCCAAGCTCTTTCATCTTCTTGTTATCAAGACGATCAGCTGCGCTCTCACCGACATCCCTGAAACCACCCTTCATCGAGACCTTGATGAAGCTGAAACCTAGGCCTTGACCAGTAGGATCACCGTCACCATGGAGCTCCAACATAGCCTTGCCAGCGCAGGCGTTGAGGAAGTTCTTCGTTGTGTTCCAGGGCGCAAGTTTGACATCAGCGTTCTCATTATCAGCCTCTTCCTCGTCATCACGGATCTCGTTGGATTTGATACCGGCGTCTTGCAGCTGTTTGTCACCAGCATGCATCGAGTCGATCAGACAGACGTCTTCTGGCTTGATCCAAGTACGTAGGATCGGTTCCTCAGGTACAGTCTCGCCCGGTACCGGCTCCCAAGTACCAATGTCCTTCTGATACTTCATGATTTCTCGCATTCGAGAACGATTCTGCGCAATCTCGGTACCAGGCAAATGCTGCTTGATCATCTCGTTACTAACCCAAGGCTGACGCGCATTCTTCTGCTGCCCCTTCCGGTACAATCGGAATGCAAGCATCTTGAGTCGCTTCTTCGAGGCTTCAGTAACTTTGCGAGCATGTGTACCAGGCACCTCAACAGAGGGAAACTGTTGGCCGACGACCATGAGGTTCGGAATGTTTCGCATGTAGTACCTGGGGCCATTAACCCCGGTCCAACTTCTGCTCACAAGGAAATCAGTCTGTTCGGGCTTATGCTTGAACACAGGAGCTCGGTACATGGCGTTGTGAAGCGTCAGCACTTGCTGGCCCGGTTCAACCTGACCGAACAACGAGAACGGACTCTTATCCTGTGGTAGCAGCACTGAGGTCTCGCCGATTCCGTCTTCCGGTTTCGGTCGTGCAGTGTCTTCCATGTCCTTTCGGCGGTAGTAGTTGAGGATCTTGACACCCATACCAAAGTTGGACAGGGTAGTGGGGTACTCCTCAGAGTACTCGGCAAGAAGCAGGTCGGAATTGTCACCAATGTTGAGATCTTCGGCTGACGCGAAGGCCTCGGAGGGCTTGAGGTTTTTCTTGTGCTTCCTTTTGACGGACTTGAGCGGTGTGATGCTAGCTCGTTCTCCAGGCTTGAAGGTAACAGTAGGACGATGGAAGGAACGGAGCTCGCGATCCGACAGCGCAACCTTGTAGAAGGGATATTGCAACTTCAGTGCGGGCAAGCTGTGCTCAACATTCATGTGGCCAATCGTACTACGGACCTTCTGCTGGCTGCTTTCCTTCAGAGCGTCATATGCCTCATCATTGGAGATGTTGTAACGCTTGAACATGGGGTTTGCCAGGCTTCCGCGGCTATCACGCTTAAGACCTAGGCCTAATGTTCGAGGTTTTGGTGGCTCTGCACTGGGCTGCTGTACATCAAGCAGAAGATGTGGGTCGTTCATGTCGAGAAGAATCTTCTTCGACAATCGCGCCGTCTCGAGCTCGGGATCGTCCCATGTGGGCAGCTCCATGTGATCGTAGACAGAGAAGTGAATAGGCTGGTCACGGCTTCCGAGTCTCCGCTTCTTGTTTGGCGACAGTTGCTCAGAGTCGATACCGCCGTTGCTGTCGGGCGGCGTTGGTGCCTGGTTCTCGTCGGACAAGGTTATATCGCTTGCACCATCTGGCACATCCCAGTCTTCGCAGGCAATCCTCAGGTCACTCCACGACACATTGCCGATCATCTCACGGTCGTCAATGGTATCGAGGTTATCGAGTTCCAGCTGATCTTCGCTATCGCCGTCCTCTTCTGCAGTGTTGGTGATTTGAATTAGACCGCCCTGCTCCTCATCTTGCTGTCTACCCGATTTAGCGGTAGTCGTTGTAGGCTGTAAGCGGAAACTTTTCTCTTGATCCGTCGCAAGGTCCAGGGTGAGCTTATTAAGCTGGAAGGGTTTCGGCGTCTTTTGAGGAACTTTGGGGATGTAAAAAGCACGCTTTCGTGGTACCAGACTGAAGAACCGTGGTGGTTTGTCCGCCTCGAAATTGGGCCAGATCTTTTCAAATTCTTCCCGTGATGTCTTGACTGGAGCAGCCGCTGGCTCGTCTTTCTTGCGCGAAGATTGTGCGAATAGAGCCAGTTGCTCGCGCACCTCGGGGTCCTCCTCTTCTTCCTCCTCTATCTCTTGCTGTGCAGCACCAGCAGCGGTGTTGCGAGTAGCGGGCTGTGGCGTATCCTTTGCGATAGTGTCGAAGCCTTCTTGGACCAAGTCTTCGATGGAAGTAAGAGGATCGTCTTCGTGTTGTGTAGATGTTTGCACCGGGTCAGAGTGACTGGGGTCATCGCCGAAGAGATCATCGTTATCGTCGTTGTCATCGTTGTTGTCGCCAAAAAGATCGTCCATGTCTACATCTTCGTTGTCCACTGCGCCGCCAGAGTCCTGTAGGGTAGTTCCGCTGAAGTTCTGGGTGCTATCGGCGCCCTCGCCCGAGTCAAACTCCTCGTCCGGCAGGTCGTCGTCGCTGATGTCTTCGTAGTCGACTGCGTCGTCGGCCTTCTCACCAATGTCCAGCGGCCTATCGGCGATGCCACCCAAGAGATCTTCTTCGCCCTCTGCAGCACCCCGTGACATCTGTTGCATGATCTTGCGAAAGTCATCCTCATCCTGGTCTATGCTGGCGTCACCACCGCCGCCGTTCGGGGGCGGGTTCTCGTCGGACATGGTCGCGTGTAGTGTGGCGGTAGCTGAGCAGCGGGATAAATGCGTTGAACGAGTTGGAGTCAAGTCCAGGTATTAATATAGGCGTTTGTTTCAACGGCGGAGTGTGAGAGCGCGCCGGGGGGCGGAAGAACGGTTGAGGGGTGCGCGCGCCGTCATTCACGCTATCACCGCGCTCGAAATCTGGTGAAGCGCTCCCGATATAGGCGACGTGTTCGCGTGCGTTCTTCGATGGCGTCGCCGGCGCGTTCTTCGGTCGTGTGGGGGCGGTTGGTGTCGATATAGCCAAATGGCTCGCTGTCGTGTAGAAGTGATGGAATCAGTCGCGGTTCAAAGCCGCGGCGAGTTGGCCCGTGCGTCAGGCTAAAACTAATGAAAGAGAGGGCGAGCATCACCGCCTCACACGATAGAATGAATACACGAACACGATTTGATACACCAAAAAGTATGATAAGCTCACGGCAGGCGGGTGTGTTTTCATGCACACATTTTAGGTCCTCCTCATGTTGGCTCCGACAGACTTTCCGTGTTGCTGTTTGACAGTGCAGGCTACCCCGTCATCTCCAACTCATATCTCATCCTGTTCAATCAAGTCCTCCTTCATTTCAACGTCTTCTCCTTCCCCGTCTTCAGTCGCATCTCTTTCTCCATTTTCGTCCTCGTCAGTAGCCATGTCCGGTGCAGCCGTGCCCCAGATGCGAGCACGAGCCCTCGTGTACTCCTTCTTGACCGTGGGCTCACCCAGGGACCATCCACGCTCGTTGTCGAGCCTCGTGCGGATGTCCTTGAACGACATCTTATCAGCGTCGTGCCAAACAACGATACAAGCCTTGTCGAACTCATGGCCCTGGTGGTTCCGTTTCTCGCGTTGTGCCTGATTCGTAGCTTTGGCCAGGCTACCCTTTGGAGGAGACGGAAATGTAGGAGCCAAATTATCTTCAGGGGCGGAGACATCGCTTTCAATTTGCTCTTCAGATGGAGAAGCAGCGTCGGAAGGATCATTCTCGGGCTCGATACCACTCAGACGTGGTGCACGCGGCCTACCACGCCTTGCGATATTCTTGCCGACTATGCCAATCTGCGCCACAGGCTTTGCACCGTAGCGCTTCTGAAGCCGCTCCAAAGATCTAATGTGACGACGACGTA